GAAAAACAAAAAATTTATTGTCACACATGCCTATTATCGGACATATTTAAAAACTAAAATGTGGCACCACCCAAAAAATATAATTCTGAGATCCTCCTTTGTCTTTAATTTGCACCTGGAAATGAATTCTTTGTTCCCCGTCTATGTCATCGCGGCGAAAAATGTCAGACTTTTCTTCTTTTGAGATGCACATGCAGCCTCAGACAAATGTGCCAAAGAAGTTTTGTCTTCTTGTGTTCCTAAAGTTTTGGGCAATATTTTTCAAGTCCAGTTTATCTGTACGAGATTTATATATGAGTAATATTGAGCTTTGGTTGAGCTTTCTTTGGGTCATTGTACTTATCAGATAAGTTTTGATCCCTTTCAAGACAGAGAATGTTCTCTCGCAAGTTGACGTTGTAACCGGGATGGTAAGGTAAATGAGAAGAAGGATGTGCACCTCTGGGAATGATCTCTTATAGATTGGACTGTTGTTGAAAAACTCACAGATTGTTTTAATGTATTTTATTCGTCATACACGTCTTGGAGGCTTGTTAGCCGCCGAGTTAATGCTACAAACTCAATATCTCCGGCATACACTTCCCTCAACTCATCAGCACGAACAAAGTATTGGGTAGGGGGGGGGGGCTCATGATAACCGAGCCCCGCAATAAGTATCGGGGGCGGCTCAATGATATCTGAGCCCCACTTAAAATATTGGCGGCTCAATGGTATCTTAGCCCCCTAAATATCTAAGCCCCACCAACAAATTGGGGAGTGGGGGCTCAATGATATCTGAGCCCCCCAATATATATATATTTTTTATTTTGGGGGGGCGGTGCCCCCCCAAACCCCCCGGTTCCTAATCTTATGTACAGGTCAATGAAGTCTACTTTTTGAAACTTAAAGGGATTGGGTAACTTTGTCTCGGGTTCTGAAACAAAATCCTAGAATGATAGTTAGGGCTAGTTCTGATCGGAAAACGACCCAAATATCGGAGTATGGCTAGCTGCCCCAGGGCCTTGTCCTATATACGGATTAGGGAAAAAAAATACTTACAAAATTTCGGGGGGCTACTTTTATGACTTTTTGGGGGCTCTTTTTGGCATTTCGGGGGTTAATTCACCCAGAGCCCCCGTGTAATTTTCCCCCTGATACGGATAAGTGAGCGCCCTGATGGGTCCACTTCTAACTCGTGTTTTTAGCCCTTCTTTCTTTACTTTTTCCTTTCCTATCCTTTCTTTTTTTTTCAAAGAAGGGGGGGGGGCGGGTCCGTCGCCCCTGTATATCCGCGCCTGAGTGACACCTGAATAAACAAACCTTATTTATTACCGATCAAAAAAATAAAGAAAGAGCCCCTCGACACCATAGGTGTAAGTATTCAGCCAGTTGCTACCCCCCCCCCCCCACCAAAATAAACTTTTAAAGTGAATTTTGTTGTTCTAATTTGATACCAGTGATTTACAGATGTTGCTGAAATGGCCTATTTTCCGGGATTTTTCCTCACTTTTTAGTAAATTATACTTTTAAGCGTTTGTTGGAGAATGAAAAATATCAAAATTTACAGTCAGGCAAGAAATGTGCTTATTTACTATTTAGAGGCCTACATGTCAGGTCCCGCGGAACGGCGGGCTTGGGGGCTCAAGCCCCCCCCCCCCCCCCACACTTTTGAAAAAGTATATTGAAGATAATTAAATAGAAATAAATAGAAAAGAAAGTATGCTCATGTGACCGTAATTAAATGACCATACCCCTGAGCTTCCGGGGGCTCTGTCCCCTGGACCCTGGACCCCACCTTGGTACCTAAGGCTGGCCCCTGGATGCTAATCTGACCTTAATTTTAATGCCTAAAACCCCTGCGCTTCAGGGGGCTCCGTCCATACGCCAATTAGTGATCTGCCAGTGTCAATAAGGTATTAAAATATGCTCATCTGACCGTAATTAAATGCCCCTACCCCCTGAGCATCTGCCAATTATACGCTCTACCTTATCTTAAATACTCTATCCTCCCCCACTCACTTTCAACCCAATTTTTAATCACTTTTATTTCTCATTTAACTCCTTCATTAAACCTGGAAACGCCCCCAAATACTTGGGGCGGGGCCTGTATCACGAGTATGAGGTATGAGTTGGTTGAAGTACGAAGCCACGTTTAAAAGTATAATCGATTACAACAGTTGTGGGTCCGATATCACGAGTATGCCTTCATAAAATAAAGGTTTTAAAGAAAATGTTCACTTCTACTTTCAAAAGGACTGGCCCATTTGATTAAAAAAAATTGTAGAGTTATTATTATGTCATTTCTAGAAAAAATGTCAACCACATGATTTACAATGAGTCTTAATACATTGATTTGCCGAGTTGCTTCCTTTTATCAAATATACACGTAAAACAATAGGGGGACAAAATGTGCGGATAGCAAACCGCACAGATCGTCCCTCGGACGATCCGTGCGAGTCACGGACGATCCGTGCGAGCAGAAAACCCGCATATTATGTCTGACAGACAAACAAAACTGGTAGGACAAACGGCGCGGTCACACCGGCACCCTTACTCACTCAACCAATTTTCACCGGGCACTTTCCGGGCGCCGCAGAATATCTGACCACACAAAATCAGAAGGGTCCCGTACGGTCTTTAAAATCCACGGCTCACCACCGGGTAAAGAAAATCGCACGGGGCCGGTGTATATGTGACTTAGGCATTAGGAAGCGATTGAGACGTATTTTATTACGTACCCGCGCGTGGCAAGTATGGCCGATTTGACGTGAATATCTCATTTAATTTTGGATATCGGTGCACATTTTAAATGTCGGCCGTTTAAAGATACTAAAATAAATGCTCAATATAAGTAGGTCTAGATCTATAGTTTCAGAATATATTTTAATGGATTTTTAAAATTCTTTTCTTTTTCAAAACAATCATGGGCACTTTTAAATGTTTTTAGAAATGGCCAAAAAAAATGTTGAATAACAAGTGAATAACTAGGTCACATTTGCCACGGCGGCCGTGCGGTCTAAAATATCTAAGGTCAATAGCAATTATAAGACCGCCACATCATTCCCACGGGCACATATGGTAGCGGTCACACATGTTAGGGTAGCCGCACGGCGTATTTTGAATTTGTGGAGACAGAAAGTCTGCGACTGCTGTACGACCTTTGAAGTGATGACTCATGGACGCCTCAGGGCGTCCTTGCGGCGGCCGTAGCTTTTTGACAAAAACTAAGGCAGACGTAAGGTAGCCGCAAGGTGTCCGCAAGGCGGCCCAAGGGGCACCCAACGCCGACCGTGTGGCCAGACTGATGCTACTGCTTCAACCCTGGAGTATATAAAACGCTCAGTTACCTTACGTCCGACGTACGGTCGCCATGGAACCGTTCTACGGCATGGGTACGGCGTGTCTAATCGCTACAGCAAACCTAGAAATGAAAACAGTATACCTCCGCGTTATAATCCCACGGCGACCTGTACGGCCTGTAAAGAGAGGGAAACAATCCAAGGTGACCCTGAGGCCACCTCATATTCTCTGCGGCCACCGCAAGTATCTCCCAAATTTGGGGGCGTATGGCCGCCGTATGCTAGCCGTAGAGCAAATGTGACCTAAGCATAAATAATGACGTTTATCCTAGTACGTACCGCTTCGTAGGAGCAACCTGCACTTTCTCTCTCTCTCTCTCTCTCCCTCTTTCTGTATTATTTACCCCTTCTCTTTTACTGTCACAGTATTTTGTATGTAACCATGAAATAAATACATTTAGTAAACTATTTTTTGGTAATTAGATAGAATATGAACTCTGTATACATGTATGTGTAAATGAGAATCCAGTAAGAGGATTTCATTATATTGTTTGTAAGTGTACTAGTGCTATATAATGAGTGCAGCCTAAGACTACTTAGGCCATGTAAAAAAATATACATGTTTAGCGTCCCCGCCCGCTTCCTTTTTGGGGGACGCCTCCTATTTTTTTTAAAGAAAAAGAAGGGCCTCCTCCTTCCTATTTTTCGAAATAACAGGACGCTAAACATGTTTTTTTTTTTATTTGGCCTTACTAGTTCTGTGAATATTGTAAGGAGTTTGGAATGTAAGTTGCTGAAGATGTTTTCAAGCTCAGTAATTTTGCTGAAAAAGGAAGTTTCGGATTGAAGTGATGCAGATAACTATTGGAAAATACATGAATAGTTTCGAAAGTATAATGATTTTATTCAGTTTCAATGTGAATACCTGAGACAAGGTATGACTTGTTAATTTATGGATTATTGAAGGCTGAGCGTAGAATAAAGTCTAAAGCAGGGCTCCCACTTAGCCGAGTTGGAGCCTCGAGTTGTGGCGAGCTGGCTCGATCTTATGGCAAGCCTTTTTATCATTAAAACATATTTCTTGATATCAAGAAATAATTTTACGTTGTAAAGCAATGGTAATTCTTGATATCAAGAATTCGATTTCGTGATATCAAGAAGTATGTTTTAATGATAAAACTGCTTGCAATAAGATCGCACCAGCTCGCTACAACTCGTGGCTCCAACTCGGCTAAGTGGGAGCCCTGCGTCTATGTGGACAAATGATCATCAGTCTCGGGCCTTAACGTGTAGGAATCTCATTAGGCAATAGTATAGGGATGTTTTAACGTGCCAAATTTAATGTTTGTGTACCGTATCGCTTACGTTTCATTAAGTTAATTATTTTCATGTTTCATTTTCCAAGAGCGGCAATCCTAACGTTCAAATATGTAACATTTGGAACTTATCCTACGATGGTAAATGAACATTTGGGAACAATGGTGGAAACCAATTTTAGATGTTGCTCCTTCTGTATATTTGAATGTATTGGTTGTTTATCAAGAGGATTTTATTCAAATGTACATTTGTCTACCTATTTGTTTATTCATTTATTTAAATATTTTCCATTAACATAATTATACTTCTATACTTAAAAAATCATTTAAGGATGTATTTATCTATATGTATTTATCGATGTATTCATTATTTAACTCACTTTCATTGTATCATTACATGACGTAGGTGAAGTATGTCCTCATGTGACCATAATATGTCCCTTAACCACTCTGGAGAGCGGTGAGACTGTACAGTTCATCCCGAAACTCATGCAACCCGGTCAAAAGTGGTTAATATCCGGCCTCCCAGCAAACCTCCGGATTCCTGATGGTGTACGGCGTTATTATTGCACAGAACCAGGTAGTATTTTCATGCAAAATCTCCGAAATGAGGCGGCACAAAAAAAAAAGGGGGGGGGGAGGGGAGGCCTCGTTTTTCCGAAGGTTCATAACTGCAACGTTTCGTACATCCGAAAAACGAAATTCCCCATATCAGGGGTTCGTAATCCCATGGTTGAGAGAGGGTTCATGATTTCGAACATTTGCAGTTGAAAAAGGGTTCATTATTCTGAAAATGTGTGTATTTCTGAAAATTAAAAAGCCTCGGTATTCGGAAGGTTCATATTTCCGATAAACTTAACACTGTTGTACCTCATTTCCGGAATTACGAATCCTATTTCTTTTTTCGGATATATGAACTATCGGAATTATAAACATCCGGAATAAACAAACTATCGGAATTACAAACCTTCAGAAAGAACGACATGTAACCGAAAAATAACGCTGGAGCCGAAAAAATACATTTGTGTCAATTCATATTTATATGGCACTAAAAAAAAAACATTTTTATTATGACACCGATCAGAACATGTGGATTGCCCTACTAACGTGACCAGGCATATTATTACAGAAAATATCATTCATTCAATATATTTTCAATTTTATATTCACTAATATAGGGTGTCGTGATAATAATAGAGGTTAATTCAATTAACTCTCAGTCCAACGGTAGAGGGTTCGAATCCCAGCCTGGAACTAAAATGTGCTTTGGCAAGGCATACTTGTCCCTCTCCACCCAGTTGTAAATGGGTAATCTTTCGCAATCGACAACTGTAGGATAATTGAAGTGCTCCAATAAAGAATAGCATCAATGCTGAAGAGGCTCCTGGATAAATAATAAATATTTTCGATATCACCAAAGATTTGAACCTTTTGCCTTCCGGTTTCGTTTTTTCGTGCCATGCCATTTTCAAAAGCTTCTTCCGTTCAAATTGTTTTTTATCTTCAACTTTTAAACATGTATTTTCAACACAATTTCTGATGAATAAGAGAGGCATGTCAACTTAAACTTAAACTTTTAAATGGACGTGTGACATAATAATATAAGAAACGTGTAATTTTAATTATCAAGTAACTGTTGATTAGGTAGTCTATAAGAAAACTGCATTAAACATTGTTTCGAACTTACGTTGAATAGTTTATTGAAGGGGCCGTTTGACACTTATACGCTACGAACCCCGAACCCCGGACGCTTACGAGACCACTGCTCTACCACTGAGCCATACTTTATTATGAAGTACATGTATAATGGAAAGCGACAAAGCTAATTTTAATTTAGATGTCAGATATAATATAATCTAGCTTGAACAAAATATTAAAAAATCTTCTTAAAGATACTATATGTCTTTAAGATGAAACAAGAATTTACAAGGCTAGTGATTAAGGGGATTTGATGGTTAAGGCGTATTCGTTTTGGTTTGTACATGTATGTATTTGACCTTGGGTTATTCACTTTTCTTATCCATGTTTTCCCCTGTATTATTTCTGTCACAAGCCTGCCGCTCAAACCCTTGTTTTAATGGAGGCAATTGCAAGGAGACGGACGCAGGATTTACTTGTCTCTGTTTAGGTGGCTACCGTGGTGAAAGATGTGCAGGTAAGTGAAACAAAGGGACGTGCATGTTTTTTTTTGTATGGGGGTAGGGGGACCCTTGTACAGCCAGGAAATCCTGAGGAGAGCGAGCATGGCAAGATAAGAGGAGTAGCATGGTTTTTGTCTCGCCTGCGTAGCAAAAAGCGAGACATATGCGCCGTCTGCAAACTTAGAATTTGTTGCAGCATCAACATCAAGATTTAGAATATTTAGCATAATTTCAAAAGTATACATTTCTATTCCATGAAACTGGAACATAAGTGTTATCAAGTATCAAAAATCACGTAGTTAGTCTTTTAGATGACAAAGTCAAGGTCAAGTGTCATTTCAGGTCTGCAAACTTAGACTTTGTTGTGGCATCAACATTAAGATTTTGAATTTTTTGCATAATTTCAAAAGTGTTTGTTCAAATTCCAAGAAACTTGTACCCAAGGGTTATCAAGTTTCTCAAATCAGATGACTCAAGTCAATTTTTGTTCATATTTCATGAAAGTTATCAATCTTGGTACAAATAATAGTAAACAATTCTTTTGATGATTCTTAGTCGATATTCACTTCAAAATGCTGATGATATACAGAAGATTTCATATATTGGGGCTTGTTAATTGGCCACCCTGCATATAAATAATGTCCAAACCTCAATTTGTCATCATATCGAATTGCGTAAAGCAGGCGAGACCACCGAGAGCGTTTACCTTGTTTGTTGTTAAGGTCTTGATGAAAGGTGTGAAGAGTGTCAGTGAAAAAGAGGGATACGCAGAGCTTTTGTTTAAAGCAGGGCTCCCACTTAGCCGAGTTGGAACCTCGAGTTGTGGCAAGCTGGCGTTATCTTATGGCAAGCCGTTTTATTATTAATTGATATCAATAAATAAATTCTTGTTATCAAGAAATAATTTTATGTTGTAAAGCAATGGTAATTCTTGATATCAAGAATTCGATTTCGTGATATCAGGAATTCGATTTCGTGATATCAGGAATTCGATTTCGTGATATCAAGAATTGAATTCTTGATATCAAGAAATATGTTTTAATGATAAAACTGCTTGCCATAAGATCGCGCCAGCTCGCCACAACTCGAGGCTCCAACTCGGCTAAGTGGGAGCCCTGCTTTAGGGGGGGGGGTGGGTGGGGGTGCAAACCCTTGTTGAATCCTTGTCTACATGCACATGTTCATGTTCTCATGAGAAAAGCGATACAGGATGTACCTGCCTCTGTTTTGAAGGCCATCATGGTATACATCGAGGAAAAGTATTGGCTAAGTATACAAAATGAGAGGTACGGTCAAACCAGTTTAACAGTGGCCACCTCACTATAAACGTCACCTGTCTACAGTGGCCATGTATTTTGTCTTCCTTGAGGAAGAAAAGTGAGGTTATAAAACTTGCCTAGAAACGCCACCTGTGTACAGTGGCCAGTATTCCCTTGGGTGCTCTTAGTTGAGATGTTTGACTGTATTTGAAATAATTTGCTTGTTTTGTGTGGTAAGATGAACACAATCATTTAAAGATCACCAAACACGCGGTCATAATTATGACCCTGTTGATTTATATGTCTGTGCTTCTGTGATCCAATGTGTTTCTTCAAAACTTCCGAGGGGGATTTCACAGGGACTCCAGAAATATGATTTGATGAAGTGCTAAATAAAATGTCATTGTAATCTATTTTGTTCATGCAGTGAAGTAACCCTAGGTAAATTAATAGTTATACCTCTTTCTTTGATAGTGGGCATTTCCATGTACCTTGTCCAACGGGAACTCATGTTTCAATTGAATTAGATATCTACATTCTATTATTCCTTTTAGCAGATGACCCTGTAAATATAGGAGTGGAAGATCACAAATCGTTCATCAACTGTTCACTAATTGCATTCACACCAATACACAACGTATTCTAATCAGAGGCGGCGGAGCGACTTCCAAAGTGGGGGGGGGGGGGCACCAACAAAAAGGGCACTTTCAAAGGGAAATCTCACAGCGAAAATATACAATTGTTTAGACATTGTTATATAGCCCTATATTGTGAGTACAGTATCAGGGATGATTTCAATATTTGTTTCTCTTTTCACCTCATATAAGATATTGCTTAAGCATCATACTTTGCAATTGGATTTGATGGTCTGAAAATTTTAAAGATTTGTGAGGTCGCAGTGCGAAAAATTATATCTTATAAAGAGAAAGAACCCAATCATGATGGGATTATAAGCACATTCTTATAACGGAAGACTGAAAATACCTTTGATAAGTTACATAATTATAACATCTATAACTTACTATGAGCGAGCGTAGCGAGCGAGCTTTGGGGGAAAATTCTCTCAGTCGCTTGAAATTAGGGGCACGTTTAATGATAAGAGGAAAAGGGGATACTAATCGAAAGGGTTAAGACACCTATTAGAAAAGAAAAGGAGCACGGGTAAAAAAAGGCTATTTATCAGAGGTGAAAATGGGGCACTTCTTACACCTAAAAAAGAGGCATGCGCACCAGGGATAAAAAGGGATTTTATGAGAATAGGAAATTGGCATTTGTCGACGGAAAAGAGGCACCCATCAGATTTTGATAGGGGCACTTATAAGAGATGAAAGAGCACTTATCAGGAGGGGAAGGGGCACTTGTCAAATTAAAAGGGACACTTATCAGAGGTGGAAAGGGGAAGGGGCACTTTTAAAAATGAATAGGGGCACTTGTCTCAGAATTGAATAGGATGCATATACAAAAGATGAAAAGGGGCACTTATGAGTTAAAAAAGGGTAGTTATTGAAAGGGGAAGGGGTACTTTTTACAAAGGAAAAGGGGAACTTGTCAAAGTAAACCGGGCACTTTTCCTTTGTAAAAAGGGGCACTTCTTACAAAGTTAAAGGGGCACTTTTCCTATGTAAAAAGGGGCACTTTTGGGGGTACTTGAACAAATTGGGGGCAATGTGTCCCCCCTGCCCCCCGGGAGCGCCGCCTCTGATTCTAATACGACTATGGTTTGAGAACTTAGTGACTATACGATGTAAATATGACTTGGTCAATTTAGCGCCCTACGCAAAACCAATTTGATGGGAGTGCTGAGAAAGTTACATATTTAAGACATTTTACATCTCCGTAAAGTCTTTGTTAAAACTTATTTTACCGAATAACTAAATGAGTTCAATTTTCTTTCTTTTTCCCCTCAACATATCTTTCTAATATTGATTGTAAACTCTATAGATATAACCATCTACTCGTTAAAGCTTCTTGGTGAAAAGGTAAATGAAGGAACACTTTCTTTAGCGTCCCGCTCCAGTCCTAACACGTACGTGCTGGTACATCAAGATCATTGGAACAGGAAATTATCCCAATTGGCATGTCAGTATCTAGGGTTTGAAGGTAAGACATTATCAATATCATCTTAATGGCCTTCCATTTTTGGTTGCAAGTTTGTTCAGGCTTTGCCAAATGTGTGAGCCGTTGCCTTCCCCTGCTTCTCTTTTCAGCAATCTTCCCTGATAATACATAAATATATTCCTCTACATTTATCCTTTCTGTATGATTATGTGACCTACAAATTGCATTTGCCTCTTTCTTATTGTGTTGATGAGTCTTGATTTTCTAAACACTTCTTAATGATTTATTTTTTCATCATGATATATTCATAATCTTACTCAAGAACCGGGTCTCTGTGGCCTTTACTTTTCTCTCAAGCTCTTTGACTATTGTAACCATTGCAATTCTTTCATTTATCTCATGAATACCTTTCCAATCTGATGCTGCAGTGTACCCAATGTATTGCAATGTGGACTTGCTTTATTGTTTCCCTTTATTTTTGAGATTCCATGGAGGTGTTTGAGTTTTTAATAATACACCATGTTTTCTTCTTTTTAAATGTAATTTGTTTAAATAATTTATTTTAAGTTATTTATTGATGAATTTACTCTTTTTTCTTCAAACACTGGTATTATAATCAGTAGTATATATATTTTGGTCGAGTTGGAGATTTTAATTCCATTTTATAGATGAAGTTTCTCCCTCTTCAACCTTAGTCCTTTTGTTATACTTTCCAGTTTTCGAAACGCTTGTTTCGGGAGCCTGTCCAAATTGTGTATGGTGTATGTCATCCCAAATTAGTTCTTGTGGTACCCGATAAAGTAAACATTAGTGTTGTGGTTTGCATTTATTTTCTTCAAAATATTATTGTGACTACTCTGGTATCCTATTTTTTTACTTCACCTTTATTGAACAAGGAGTATTTGCGACGTTGAGCGGTCCGCTGTACGAGTCCTCGTCCGTCGATGCTCAAGCTGAAGCCGAATCGGTGATCTGCCCTCCTAATGCCACAAACATCACAGACTGTTGGTACAGTGAGACTAGAGTGGGACGGATAAACGAGAGTGAAATTATTTCCATTGTGTGTTGCCCCGGTGAGTTATAGTAATAATGATAAAGTTATTAGTAATCATGATTTTTAAAAAATATTATAATAATGGTAATATTTAATTATATTAAAAAATGATAATAATACTGATTGTAATAGCAATAATAGAAATCATGATGATGAAGATGATAAAATTAATAACAATGATAATGATAATAATATACATTAGGCTTGCGGTTGCACCATGTAAGAGAGAGGGAGGATGATAATAATGATAATATGCCTTGTCTACACAGGGTTGACACCGAGTAACTTCATCAGTGAAACTTTATCAAAATAAAAACGTGTTCTACATGTACAGGGAGTCTAAAAAAACGGAGATACATTTTGATTGGCAATATCTTTAAAAATGCTCGACCATCCTCGATACAAATTGATTGATAACATGCAGTAGTATCCCCTTAATATAGTGGTCCTGTGAAATTCAAAATAATGCCAGCAAAAAATACTAACTTAAACTTACAATCAACTCTTATTATTATAGGCTAATCTCTAATTTTTTCATTAAAATTCACGAACGTGCATTCAAATTTACATAGAGGTCGCTCGCAGGTGAATTTGGACATTCAATTTCAAAACCCGAGCAATCAATTTAATTTTAATATCGGCACTCTTTTTCTTGTTCAGTGAAATCAAATTCACGAATGTGCGTACAATTTTCCACTTCGTGCATTCAAATTAATGCGGCGCTCACGATGAGCCTGTTTGGGCATCCAATTTCATGTTTCGGTGAGCAATTTCCTACAACGTGCATTCAATTTAGTTTAATATTGAGAGGGATTCCAGATAAGAGGGACACTTTGATTTCTTTAAATTGATTACTTGGAATTATTGCTAATCACTGTTACAAATGGGATCTCCACAGTTTAGTTAATATTCTTTGTTTATATGACAACTGCTGCCTTTTGATCATGTATTTGATGATCACATATCTAATTATATATACATATATACACATAATTATCCCGTGCTACACATTTCTATCAATATATATATATATATATATATACACATTCGAAATAATTGGAAACATTTATATTGTTTAAAAACATAAAAACTGGTGATTTTGAGGTGATGTCTGCTATAGTACTGCGGAAATGCATTTTCCCTTAATTAAACAAAAAATGCAATTACTTTGAAATGCATTTCCACAAAAGCGTAACAATGGGATGTGTAACATTCCACTTGGCTTTGAAGTTCCATGCTCCGAACCGCGCTTCCACTGCGGGGACTTTCGGAAGCCAGGCACCAGTTTTACATTTATTACAAAATATTAAATTACCGGCAAAATTTCATTGTAAATCAAAAACTTTGTATGGGGATTCTATTGGGAATAGTGCATCAATATTTTAGGATAATGCACTAATTTGTGCATGTTTCAATGTCCCGTTATTTGATCCATGATTTACAACCTTCAATAGCACTAAGCTTGCTAATGCATGTTTTCGCGTGTTTTTTAAATATTTTTGTAGTTAAAAAAAAGGATGAAATTACACAAGTTTGTGTTCGCTTGTTCTACTCTTTACACATTCAACAATGGATGATAAATCATTGAAAGGGACAGCGAACAGTTGCTGTGATACAATTTTCTGATGTAGGAATTCTAAGTCCTGAAATGTCATGTGCTCTTTTATCTCACCACCTGGTCAACAATTGCAGATTAGCGCATAACTTTTCGGCGGCTTGGAGCATGGGGTCAAAGGAGAGCGGTTTGATTCCAGTCCTTCTCTATCACGTCCCTGCACTATGAACATGACTGACAAAGAAAGCGGACAAAATATACAGTTCCTCAGGTAGACAAAGGAACATCCCTTCACTGCTTTTATGTAAAAAGGTGAATATGCATGTGACACCTGTTCTACACATGTTTACATAAAAGCAGTGAAGGGATGTTCCTTTGTCTACCTGAGGAACTGTATATTTTGTCCGCTTTCTTTGTCAGTCAAATTCATAGTGCTGGTTATATCTAGCCCATTCCCTTTGTACCATCTTCGATGCCGCCAGGAGAAAATATGTCAGGCATCTTGAAGATGCGTAGACAAAAGATTCCTGCATAGCTGCAATCTAACGGGCCACTTTCAAAGGGAAATATACTTTTGTAATGATAATTACCTTTTGCTACCACTCGTCTGATATTAGGGACTTTTAGATTTGCACAATGACAACGTGGATTGCTACAATCGACGTCCTTTCAATGCACTGCCTTTAATGGACGTCACACGTACTATCAGTCCACGCAAATCTAAAAGTCCCTATTAAATACGAGCAGTAAACAGTGCTTACCTCAACAGGAGGCAAACGAAAGGAAATGGAGCAAAATTTCCTGAAATATTAATCAAAATTACTCGACTGGGCATGTGTGGGCACTAATCTGACATATAACATCTTTTATTTTCGTGAGCCGGAAGAAATTGGAAAAGTGTCAAATTGCAGGTTTTAGGACTGTCAAATTTTCCCGCAAATTTTACTATATTTCACAAATTTAAACTGCTATTATACAATATAAGCAAATTTTTTGACACAGTATAGGCTTTTGTATTCATATTTTATCATCTGTTTGATTTTTCCCTATGTTAGTTCAAATAAAAAGTGGGATATAAACAATATTTCGTTGTGAACAAAAACACTACTCAAGCTTTCCAATGATATTGGCGGCTTCAAACCTCGGACATCAAAGGTGACAGCACACATCTAGATTCTATTGTGCAACCTTAGAAAACGGCAGCTGCTTATAATAGAATAAATTGTTGTCCGTTGGGACTCCACCTCTTTACACTATGAACATGACGGACAAAGAAAGAGGACAAAATATACAGTTCCTCATTCTACCCTCAACAATTGCTGTGGTAAACAAAGGAACATCCCTTCACTGCTATAATGTAAAAATGTGTATAACAGGTGTCACATGCATATTCAGCTGATCTACACATTTGTACATAATAGCAGTGAAGGGATGTTCCTTTGTCTACCGCAGCAATTGTTGAGGGTAGAATGAGGAGATGTATATTTTGTCCTCTTTCTTTGTCCGTCATATTCATAGTGTAAAACTCCTTGGTTATACTAGCTGTGTGCACACTGCCGCCCCATTATCTGCTATTAAACTAGAGGCAATCGCGCAAGGACCGAAACATGGAGAAGTTTTTCGTTGTAAAAAGTGTAAATCCTCTGAAATCTGGCATTCCAAAAGACCAGCAAATAATGAACCTCGACCAGTAAATATACCGAAAACTAAATTTGTAAAAGGAAACCTGTTGGCAAGGAGGCGACTGTATGGGTACCAATTCAATGGAAATTTTTATTTAAAAAAAGAGCCCCCATCAGTATTAAAAGAGCCCCCGTAAAAAGGCTCACGGGTGCTCTTTTTTTGGAGGGTAGAGCCCCCGTGAACAAAAAATTAATTTGAGCCCTGCTTATAAATTTTAAGGAGATGTTAGGAATACTCCAAAAACCTCACCTACGAAATGTAACCGAGGACGGTAAATTCTTGTTAAGATATCATAATCTTGTTGCATTTTTGCAACACCGCGTGTACTGACGGTTTCTATGACTTGCTATGGGCACATGCGCGTACAGGCGCAATTTTCAAATGTTAAAACCCCCCCTCGAGAAAATCCTGCTTCCGCCACATATGAAATATAAATTTCACTGTCGTGTTTTATTTGCACTTCTATGCCTCTGTCGTTTTACTCTGTAATATGCTCTTATTATTTCTTTACTTTATTTCCTACAGTGAACCAGTGTAATATAACTGGTCATCCACTCGGCCTTGAAAGTGGTGCTCTTCCCGATTCTGCATTATCTACATCATCCTGCAACTCGTCGCTCGTCTGCAGCAGTTTTGGCCGCCTGAACTCTGTGAGAGCCTGGCTCCCGGCAATTTCCGACCAATACAGTTGGATACAGGTCCATTTTGAGTCAAGTTATATCGTAACGGCCATAACGACTCAGGGTTTAAATGACGATGATCAATGGGTGACGTCATACACCTTTTCGTCTAGTTTGGACACCATGACTTGGACTGATTATTTGAATGTATACTCTGGATCAGTTGAGGTAATTGCAAAACTGCGGTTTTTCAATTACATTTTTAAAAAAATTAATCAGTGGTCTTTGTGTTCAGAGATAAATGTAAACTCGTTGAAACTCCATTAAACTATGTAAATTTGTTGATGTAATACAGCTTTGTGTGCCATGGCTGAGAACCCCTCCCCCCCCCCCAAAAAAAAAAAACAACAACAACAAACAAACAAACAGTATATACTACTTAAGAATAAAACTGATTTGATCGTCTTGCAGAAGTTAAAGTTAATATAACGATGTTTTCAATAACAATGTCCCACTGTAATTTTATATTTAAATATTATTATTACTTATTTTTTAGGCAATAAACAGAAGACAAATTAAATCAGAAAACAGGAACTGCCATTTCTCATTTTATATATGTATAATGGGCAGAAGAAAAGTCAAAATAGCAATATACATAATATTAGCCTGCGCATATTAAAACCACAGAGGATCATTATCAACCCAGAAGGATTTCAAAAAAAGAATTATTAGAAAAAAAGAATAAAAACTCTCGAAAATGACACCTTGGTTGAGCAAGCCATGTTGATAGGGAGGTTTCGACCACCCCCGAGCGATGGAACTCGGGTTGCTCTTCTTCTTTTTACACAATACTGTTCAGGATACTGAGATATGGACTCGACAAAAAATGAGAAAAAAGAAGAAGAACAAAAAATGGCCATGTTTTTCGTAATTGGCCCTTCTTGACAACAACGTGTGTAGTCAGCATCACATGCCGTATAGGTTAATGAACTAACGATCAGCTTCATTACGAATGAGCTTTCTTTGCAATATTACTAATAACGTCATTCTCATTAACTATAGATATTTCCGGGAAATTATGACCGTGGTTATGTGACTCACACGCTTGCTAGGCCGGTAGTTGGACGCTCTTTCCGGATCCATCCAAAGACCAATTATGATGATTGCGTTTCTTTGAGGATGGAACTATATGGGTATGGACCTCTAACTGATGCCATAGGTAAGTGCAGAGTAGGACTGTTACTTAAAGAGAAGGCTTATACATATGCAGGGGCGGCCGAGCGACTTCCAAAGTGGGGGGGGGGGCACCAACAAAAAAGGGCACTTTCTGGAAAAAAAGGGCACCTACAGTGGGAAATCTCAAAGCGAAAATATACCATTTTTTAGACATTGGTATACACCCCTACATTGTGATTACATTATCAGGGATGATTTCAATATTTGTTTCTCTTCATACATCATACGAGATATCGCTTTAGCATCATACTTTACAGTTGGGTGTGATGTCTGAAAATGCATTTACGAGCGAGCGAGAATTTTTTTAAAGATCTGAGAGGTCGCAGTGCGAAAAATTACATCTTTTAAAGAGGAAAAAAGCCAATCGTGATGGGGTTATAATCACATTCTCATAACGAAAGACTGAAAAGACCTTTGATAAGTAACATAATTATATCATCTTTAAATGCGAGCAAGCGCAGCGAGCGAATTTTGGGGGAGATTGCTCTTAGTCACTTTAAATAAGGGGCACGTTTAATGATTACATGAAAAGGGGACAATTATCGAAAGGAATAAGACACTTATTAGAATAGAAAAGGAGCACGTGTCAAAGTACAAAGGATAATTATAAGAGGTCAAAATGAGGCATTTTTTTCACCTGAAAAGAGGCACTCACCAGTGATGAAAAAGAGGCGTTTACGAAAATGGGAAATTTGTTGACGGAAAAGGGGCACCCATCAGATTTTGATAGGGGCATTTATAAGAGGTGAAAAGGGGATAGGTCCCTTATTAGAAAGGAAAAGGGGCACGTATCATTATTAAAAGTCGGTCTTATCAGAGGTGAAAAGGGGCACTGACCAGATATGAAAAGGGGCACTTATGAAAATGTAAAAGGGGCACTTCTCGTACCTGAAAAGAGGCACTTACTAAAGATTAAAAAGAACACTTATTCAAGATAATTTGAAGATTTATGAGAATGGAAAATGGACACTTATTGCAAAGCAAAATGGGAACATGTCGAAGGAAAATGGCACGTGTCAAAAATAAAAAAAAGGGCACTCGTCAGAGGTGAAAAGGGGGAAGGGGCACTTTTACTAAGTAATAGGGGCACTTTTTAAAGTAAAAGGGGCAATTCTTACAAAATAAAAGGGGCAATTCTTACAAAATAAAAGGGGCAATTTTCCTATGTAAAAAGGGGCACTTTTGGGGTATCTGAAAAAGTGGGAGGGCACTGTGCCCCCCCTGCCCCCCCCCCCCCCCGGGAGAGCCGCCTCTGTACATATGTTTATAGATTCGTAGGTGCTGAACTGAATGAAAATATGTTGGCGAGCTTTCCCTCTCTTTGTGTGTCAGTGTGGTAGAAAATTATAGTTGAATTGTCCCCTGAACTGCATTGCTCTTAAAATGCTCACATCATTCTACAAGAAATGGTCAAAACTTGAAAACTCTGGACGAAACACTTGACTTGTGTGCAGTCCCATTTACCCAATTCTTTGTGTAAAGCATGTGGATGTAAACAAGGTTGGATCTTCTTTTTTTAGATTTTGATCATCCCAAACCCCAGAGTATATATATCATTGGTTTTGTTCTACAAGGCCAACCGTTCACAATTGCCTCCAAAAAGTCTCTGTCATATTGTGATATTATGGCCAGTTCTTGAGACAATTTTTCAAGACACAATATTGGAAGTGGTTATCCCAGGGAATATGACATAATGTTTAGTGTTAGTCGGTAACGGGTGTTATCAATCACACAAATAAATGTGTGCACTACAGGGGCGGCGATCCCGGGGGGACGGGGGGGGGGGGGACTTTTTTAGGCGAGATCGTCCGTCCCCCCCCCCCTTGAAAATTTGAAAAAGTGCCACACAAAAAATGTATAGCAAATACTGACTTAAGGCTGCAACACACTTTAAGGCTCTGGAGGGCCCAAGGGTGCAGCGTTTAGACAAATAAATATGCAAAAATCTTCTCGCTCCGTCGCATAATATCCTTCAAAATATTCAAGTAAATACCGAGAAAGGTGAAGTGTGAAAATAGTATATTTTTTGTTTTAATAGTATAGTTTTGCTAAGGAATGTAATTTTTTAATACAACAAAACTTCAAAAACCTATGCGGGGGTATTCACTTCCGTCACCTACACCCCTCTCGCCCTTGCGTACTGATATGGGGAGCTAATGGGGCAGTCCCCATGGCATGATTTCTCCCTGAGCTTCCGGGGGCTCTGCCCCCTGGACCCCACCAAGACCCTAAAGCGGGCCCTTGGTTGATCAACTGACCGTTATTAAATGCCTAAAACCCCTGAGCTTCCGGGGGCTCCGCCCCTGGACCCCACCAAGACCCTAAGGCGGGCCCCTGGATGCTCATCTGACCGTTATTAAATGCCTAAAACTCCTGAGTTTCTGGGGACTCCGCACCCAGGACCCCACTCCAATTAGTGACCTGCATGCCAGTGTCACAAATAAGGTATAAGAATATGCTCATCTGACCTAAATGCCTAAAACCCCTGAGCTTCATGGCTCTCACCCCTTGGCCCTCACCTGTGCTTGGCCTCTGGACCCCACTTCAATTAACGCTCCACTTGCTTCGCTCGCTTGGCTACCTGATCGTAAATATTTAAGCCCCCCCCCCCCCCACTTTGAAAAACGTTCCGCGGGGCCTGCATGTAACATGTAAGGTTGGTGGTGATGCGGATTTGCTTTTCTGACCCCCCCCCCCCCCCCCCCCCCCAAAAAAAAAAAAAAAAAAAAAAAAAAGTTTTTGCTCATTGCGCCACTGTTCCCTCGTCCCCCGGTCATGAAAAGAAATCGCCGCCCTTGGCGCACTATTAAGACCGACCCTCTATCCTGTTCAGCAGAACCGCCTCACCGCACACTACACCATCCTCCTGCGATCCGATTTTCGAAGATTAATGGTAATTACATAAGTGATGGAAATCTAAACAAACATCATCTTCCCAATTTAGGTCCTGAATAATGTTAAGAATAGTATCCACTGAAATCTTAATGGATTTAATTCTTCTAGTCATAATAAACACCCAATCGGCTTCAAATCGTAGACAATCGCACTACTGGCCTGACGTCACTACGAGTCAGAGCCGATTTAGCTTGCCCTCCCTCAAGAAAGTTTCAAATCCCTCAAAAATTAGATTGGATAATCCATGAGAGTGATGAGACTATTTGGACCCTCGATCAATAAGATTTAGATAAGTTCGAATGTTCCTATCAAATGTCGTTGCAAATGCTTCCAAAATTGGTTCGTAGTCAGATCGTATATAGAGTGCGATGGGTTTAACTCATCCATCATAAATCTCCCTCACCCGAATGCTCCCCGAGCGCAGAGGCAAACTCAAGACATTTCCAGGTGGGCCAGCGAGTTTCGCTGCGTGCGACATGTTTAACCGTGCCCTCGTGGTGCGGTCGGGTTTCATTTCTTTAAGATTTCAACGAATACGGTGATAATTTGATCACATTATGTCAAAGATTAAAGATTATGTCAAAGATTAATTTATTTAAATCGGCAATTGCCGAACGGTACTACTCTTAAGAATAAATAAATATCTTTTCCATCAATATAGAATTCTCGTTTGGGTAACGAGATGTCGCGGGTTGAACGCCTGGACAGGCCGGCCCCCATCTGTTTAAACATGAATATTGTAGGTGATTACAAGAGCATCCTGTCACACGAATGCTGAAGAAATACAAGAAAATACAGGAACTCTTGTGTACCAATATGACAGGTGTTTTTATTAACACGCAAAAAATCAGCATACCTGTATATTCATAATCGTGATAATTATTGGTTTCCTAAGATTCGTACCATTCCCCGATTAAAAATCTCCCTTTGTTTCCTTTTCCATTTGTTGTTGTTGTTGTTGTTATTTTGTTTTGTATTCCTTGCTCGTTTGTTCTTATTAATTCGTTGTATAACTTGTTGACAGAGTAGATTACCGGATTACATTCATGAAAAATACATTAAAAGAACAACCTTGCCTTGCGAGTAAGTAGGAAATATACAAAAGTTAGTTACAAGGTCAGTAAGTTGTCTTCGTCTTTTTGTTTTGTGTGTGTGCAGCGTCGCTGAACCTCGATGCGGAATTTGGTTGTAATCCTCCTGTCCTAGGTGAGGGGCTTGGTGTGGAAGATGGCCGTATACCAGACTCTAATCTGACCGCGTCATCGTATTTGGGTGCTAAGTTTAAAGCTTACGACGGAAGGCTGAATGCCGTTGCCGGCCAAGGAAACTACGGTGTATGGGCCGCCGACCATTCAGACAACGATAAGTGGGTTAAGGTAATTTGCTCTAGCATGTCTAAATGCACGTTGAGATGATATCAAAAGATAATTTGTGTACAGCTAGAATGCATAAAAATCTAACTTCTCTTCGTGATAGGCTGCACCTTGACAGATGATTATATTATGAGATACAAACTAGGATACAACGCTATAACAAAATAAAAAAAAAGTAAGGGCTGGTCAGACTCGACCTTCAACGAAAACGAAATTTTCCTCCTGAGGTCTATCCTAAATAAACATTAAAGGGCGTACCTTCAATCGAAAATCCCGCTATCGCTATCATTCAAATCTGACCAGCTCTTTCGTTTTGCTCATTTTGAAAGCAACAATTGTGTTCAAATGGTACATAAAAATTTTGATTGCTTGTCCTTATTATATTGTTATCAAATGCAAGATAATCTGCCATCGGATATATTAATATTTTGTCTTCTTTTCATCATTAACATCACCAAAAGGTCGAGCTCAGCGAGGATACTTTGGTAACTGGTGTTATCACACAGGGGCGTGACTCAAGTGACCGATGGGTTACGTCATTCCAATTCTCCTACTCAAGAGACGATAGAAATTGGACCTTTGCTCTGGAAGAGCATTGCGGGGTACGAAAAGTGAGTGTCATTTTCGCACTTCCAGAAAAGGCCAATTTTGTTTTGGTTAAATTTATCATCTTCCTTGTTTATTCATGTTCTTTTAATTACTTGTATATTTAAATACTTGTTTAAAATTTCCTTATTTAATTTTGCATGCAATTTTTCAACCATATCTACATACGTTTACACATCCAAAAGGATGAATTTCCTATGCAAAATTAAAGGATTTGAAAAAAGTATTTTTGAAATATGAAATCATTCATGTGCCTCGGATACGATATCTCTAACATTAACCAACGTTTGCCATTCTCCACCTAGGTGTAATTCAGTACCTGGAAGTTTCCGAGGGTCATAGGGATTGCGGGGCACTTGGGAAGAGCATAAATGATACTCATGATGAGCCTTTACATGGTTACTACAAAAATTATAGATCACTATTATTATCATTATTAGAAATAAACATTATCTATCGCTTTCATTCTTTTTCAGACTTATGCAGGAAATTTTGATTCTAACACACATGTGACCACACTGTTTCCTGAGCCAGTAACCGCACGGTACGTCAGGTTTCATCCTAAAACATTTCGTTTTCGGACGAGTATGAGATTCGAAGTACTTGGTATCAACACTTGAAGAATAACGAGTTATCATTAAATTGATTTATTGTTTTATTAAATCTTTTTTATTCATTTAGCGAGTTATCATTAAACTGATTTATTGTTTTAATAAATCTTTTTTATTCATTTAACGAGTTATCATTAAATTGATTTATTGTTTTATTAAATCTTTTGTATTCATTTATTTATTTACTTTTTTAATTTTGTTATCTATTAATATATCTATATATGAATTCATTCATTTATTTAATGAAATAATTATCGTGCTATAGCATCTAAATAAAAGGGTTTGATTAAAATTCTAAATGATTTGAATATAGCGCCATAGTTGTGTTGTCATAGGATTACACGATTACAAGTGACAGCAAGATCTTTAACTCTAATAAGGCCGGGGACCATTATGGCCCCCCCCCCCCTCCGCGATTTTTATGATTGTTCGGGAATGCATACGGATGGCGCCCCGCCGCTCGCTGACTTTTTGGTTGTTGGGTCTTGTTTAAAGTTTAGGTGTTTGTGTTGGGAGTCAAAATTGTAGTTAGAAATTTAAAAAAAATATAAAAAAATACAATAAAATACAAAAAAAAAAATGAAATACATAAGAAATTATCAAAACAAGAGATAACATAATGAATAACCTGTCTCTTCCAAATTTTATGTCGTATTATTGTTTCAAATAGTCTAACGAATACATGTAGTGAAAAAGAATCCTTAAATATAAAGAAAATATGATTTATGGGTAAAAATGTTAATTTTATGACCTTATTTGCATACATTACCATAGATATGCAAATGAGTGAATTTTTCAAAAAATTAAATTTACCATAGTATTCTATACACTTCACTTAAAATGCGTGCAAAGTTTCGCAGCGATCGGCCGTTTCACGGCCGAGATCTTAAGGGGGCCATAATGCCCCCCCCCCCGGCCGCATCAAAACCTCAAATAGTCCAGCCTTTTTAGAGTTAAAGATAAATAATCTACTTTCTTTTTTTTCATGGAGATTTTATACCATGTTTGTACCGGGTGTTTACCCGATATTAGCTGTATTTGATAACCGAAGGTAAACTTTACATTTAGGATGGAGTGATAATTAAGTCTGAAATGATCAACAATATACGGCAAACTTCGATAAACCCTACTCCTATGGAAAGCTCATCATCATAAATCTCCATCCAGAATGCTCTCCGAGACACAAAGACAAGCTAGAGTAATTTGATTCGGTGGGACATCAAGTTTCGCTGTTTGCGATATCGATATTCGTATACACGATAACTAGTAATTAAGCTCTTTCTTTTGTTTTGTTTTGTTTGTATTTGTACTTTTTGTTTATCTCTAATGTTTTTTCTTTTCTTTTGTTTTCGTTTTCTTATTTTTTTCTTCTTCTTAAAGACTAAGTGTATGGTTATTTGTTTGTTTGTTTTGTTGTCTGTCTTTTATATAGATTCCGATTCATGGGTGTTAGTGCTAAAGGGTGTATTTTCTCATGTAAATTCAACACTTTAATTTTTCTTAACATACACTTAACTATAATGATGTTGATTTTGTTCATATGGTATTCATGAAGCACCGCCATCACTTCGACAGTGATCATTCTAAAATGCACAAGTGGGACGTATCCATAGTGTAAAAGATATGTGGATATTTGGGGGTCATGCGTTCCGAAGCTATTTACGAACTGGCTTATTATCAATTTTTGTTGAATGTTTACCAAATATTTATTTGTAACACCTGTGAATGATGGAAAAAAATTAATTAACAAGATTAAAAGACGTCAAAGTCACCACCACAGATGTTGAAACGCTACAGGTACTGTAGAAAACAGCAGGGAAAGCTGCACGGAAAATGCTTTGCTATTCGCTAAAGCGTTTGCTAAATGTGGGGGAAAGAACTACTTCTCCGTCATGTGCAAAACCAACTAAAATCCAGAGAAAGTTCGTTAGAAATAAAGATGGGAAAACGGAGTTAAATGTATTTTAACTTGTATCATGTATATGAAATCCACTCAATGAAAACCAACTTATTATCAGGGTGGACTTCCCCTTTGAACCAGAATGTAGATGCTTACTAAAAGTGGCAAATCCGAAGGTCAACTAGGAGTATATTTGCAGCGTTATAGGAAGAAAAAATTCCCCCGAATCATTCTGCAAAATGATTGATATATGGGTGACACATCTGACTTGTGGTGTTTCGGTAGAAGTCTACAGCCACTAGAGTGATTGTACATATATTTTGAGAACGCGATATAAATCTGTGTTTCATACTATACTACTTACTACTACTACTACTACTACTTCTAATTATAATAATGAATTTATCTAGCGCATTTTGTAATTATTCAAACGCGATTTACATTTACTCAATATGATAATGTTGAAGGGTAACAGAGGATACGATAAAGCCATTAATTCTCTGCCAAATGTTTAAGAATATATTTTGTTTTAGATTCTGACCACGTTCCAACGGTAGTTTGTTTGCCAATTAGGCTTACGTCAGTTTGGGTCACATTGGTGACGTCGGCAGTTGAATAATTCGAAGATACAGATTTGGTATTGAGACCAACAGTAAATGAAACGTTTGTTTTGCAGAGGTGTCGTAGTCGAGTGGTTCAATCTCTTTATTGGAAATGCTTAGGTCTTGGGTTCGAACTCCGGCACGGTAGTTATGTCCTTGAGTAATGTCTTATAAGACATTCCGGTAGAATATACGAAGTTCAAAAGGCGACCAACAGGAACGCTCCCCAGTAAGTGGAGAAAGTGTTCCATAATGTGCGGAATAGTTATTTAATCCAGTGACCGGGATAATAGTACGTGCTTTGGTATATATGGTAACGCTATATAAGTACCAGTTAAAGGAAACCAAAACCTTCCTATACTACGTTACTTTTATTGTAAAGTTTAAGATATTTGAAAAATATCAGTGAAAATTCAAACAAAATCAGGCAAGGAATAAGGAAGTAAGAGTGTGTGTGTGTGTGTAATTGGGTTTTTACAGACGTGTATCAATCAGATATGATTATTTACGTCTGGGGACCGACCTTTAACGTCACCATCCGAAAGACGTGACTCAGTTTCGAACCTGCGTCCTCTGCTGAATCAGTTTGTAACTTCCACTGTTAGCTGGATTACAGGCGCACGCCACAACGCCTAGTTAAGAGCTTTTTTAAATGACTAGTCACTAGAGGGCGGTATTCAATTTGATGACATCTGTGGACAACTCTCCATGCCTTTTGTACATCAAATTTCATGTTTTTCCTTCTTTCTTGTGATTGAGATAATGTACTCCCCTGAAAGCAAGATATAGAATGCAAAATGATATTCTACTTCACATGTTATGAAGTCGGATCAAGAACACAAATAAATACGAAGAAAACAAAAAAAATTGTGAAATTTTATGTACAAGAGGCATGGAGAGTTGTTCACAGATGATGTCATCAAATTGAATACCGCCCTCTAGTGACTAGTCATTTCAAAATGCTCTAACTTTTTTATTCTTTGCCCGATTTTGTTCAAATTTTCACTGATTTTATTCAAATCTTTTAAACTTTACAATAAAAGTAACTTAATATAAAGGTTTTGGTTTCCTTTAATACTACTATTGTTATTATTGATTGACATTCCTTATTAAAAAAAAAGAAAGTATGTGTCCAATTATAAAGCAAAGGACATTAGTACTTGTTTTCAATGTGTCTTCATGTTTATGCAACTGCTGAAAGCTATTAGAATTTTATACTATCCCATTATACTGAAAGTACTGCAGTTGACTAATAATTATTCCACTATGCTGAATATACGGCAGTAGTGATTGTTGGCTATATGGAAAGCACTGTAACAATAGTAGTTTGATGTAATTAGCATACACAGGTGTATTTAAAATGATGTTAATTCATCAATGTTTTACAACTATTTGCATTTCATATACTCAATAAGGTGGGCTTTATATAATCATTGGTATTACTTATTCTATATAATTAAAATAATTAAACAAAACAAGAGAAGAGAAAGGAAAGGAACTATTAAAATGGTGTTAAAGAGTTTGAGACAATGACTTTTGATTTCATAAGTCAGAAATGTGTTTCTATTAGTTATATGGACTTGGTAATTGAACATTTCATCATTTTGTGAAGAAGTTTTTAGAGCCTAAGTGTAAAGCGTATTAATTTTTCTGGAGTTAGCATTTTGAAGTTTAAATAAAAAATGCTATGTTCTAAAACAACTGAACATTTTATATTGACATTTCGGGGAATTTCACCCAAACATGAATGTATAAGTTAATATGGTAGGTTTGGTGGACATTAAAGAGTTCAAAATGATTGCATGAGCAAATGTCAATTAATGGTTTTGTTTTAAATGGTAGCCATGAACAAAGAAGACGAAAGACTCGATGCATGGCTGATCGTCAACGAAACGGAGTTAAGTCTTTTGTCAACTCTGTTTGTTGCTACGGCAGGCAGCCAGTGAAAACGAACTCGTTTAATCAAATTATGGATATGCAAGCACTACTTTAAACAAACAGAACTTTGTTATTCCTGGCTCATTTTTCCTGATTGAGGTGTCATATGAAAGGGCAGAAATTGAACTTTCTCGAAATGTGATTTTCTCGTTGAAATTCAGATACCGCCTCCAAATGACATTTTGGTTTCCTCTCTTCAAATTGTTTTTAATCGCTCATGCAAAGAGGATCTAAGCTTTACAAATATGATAGTTGTGATTAAGTTATGATAAAACATCGATAATTCTCGGTTTCGTTTTTTTCTGGGACGCACTGTATACCTGTATTCGTGTATGATTTGGTGAACAAGTGTAGAATTGGAAACAGACTTGAATTAAATGTTACGTCACGACTTGACGCTCATGCGGGATCTCGATCCTTGTCAACTAATAAATAGTCTAGATATTTGATAATTTTACGGGATATTCGGCTAGCCTTAAATAAATGTGTTAAAACTTAGATTTAAAACATATTATACCCCCCCCCCTTCTCTCTCTCCCTCTCTCTCTCTCAATCCTTTATCTAGAACCCCCCCTCTCTTTCTCTCTCCGTCCCTCTCCTTTTTTCTCCATCCCTCACCTCTCCCCTATCTCTCACTTGCCATCTCTCTGAATCCCTCATATCTAACTCTGTCTCCGTCCCCCCCCCCCCCCCCCACTCCGAACGGAGGGATACCATGCGTGTTCCCAAAATGTCCGGTAAAGGGGTACTTTTCACGCACCAAAGTCCGGCTCGTAGTACACAAAAATCCGGCCCGTATTGAGTTTACACACCGGACTTGGGGGTGTTTTCAAAAGGAGGGAACATGCATATGCGTACCCTAAATAACACTGAGTCATGTTTATCATGATGCACAGGATCTTTTTAGAATTACAATCACATAAAATAATGATGATGATTATAATAATATTTTATATATTTAATATTTTAAATGCTGGCTTACAAAAATAGATAAACTTATGCAGCATAGCAAAAAGTGAAAATTGGACCCATCTTTACATCGTCAGTCCGAGACGGTGTCATCTATGAACAGATGTCACGTACAGGTAGATCTTTATGTATCAGATGTTTTGATTTTTGACACAGAGAATTAGATGTCATGAATTAACTATTCAAAAGAAAAGACAAGGCACTTTGAAGCTGAAGTGAGCTTTTCGGTGCATGGAAGACGGTCTGGACTTGAACATCCCAGTATTTGAATGTAAATGGTTGAAATCACATCATACAAGAAGGGCTTGTTCTCCGAATATGGCAGGATACTTTATAGTTCACTTGCAAAAGAATCTGTAAAATGGTGTTCTTCCTTGATTGAATGTGCCTATTATCTGTTTAATTACTACAAATGATTGTGTATATAACATACTTGTACAACATCGTAGATAATATCTACGTGGAGAATATTAAAGTAACAGTATCATAATCAAAGTAAATGTTATTCCTATGTGAATTTGTAAAGAAAACAAAGTGAAGAGGAAGCAGAAGGGAGAGAGAAAATGTGTGTGTGTGTGAGAGAGAGTGAGAGAGAGAGAGAGAGAGAGAGAGAGAGAGAGAGAGAGAGAGAGGAGGAGGGGGTGTACATGTAGGTAACATAGAGTGGAAATGTGACGTAAGTGAGAGGGAAGAAAAGGGCAGGGGAGGGATACTTGGAGACTGGCTCAGGTTAAAAACCAGAGCATTAAATTATCATTCACACAGAAATTGAAGCTAAAGATGTACTGTTCAAGTATACAAGAAGATAATAAATGATACAGATTTTGCAAGAATATATGCATGAACACGTATTTTCTTTTTGCCTTATAAACAAGCGTATGCAAAACTCATTAACAGAAAGACTATGAGGGAAGATGTGCAGACAAAATGGGATTAAATAGAAGGGCTCAAGACTGTGCACAGGATAGGAGAGACCCACAAAAGAGAAATGAATGAACAGAAAATTATATCAAGAGTAAGATGTATTGATATTAAAAGATTGGGAAAAGGGGAGAAGTGAGAAGAAAGAAAAGGAGGTGAGAAAGAAAGAGAGAGAGACTCGAGAGAGAAAAGCAGAAAAGGAATAAAGAAAGATGGAAAAATAATACTAAGAGTGAGAATAAGCCAAGAAAGCCAAGATTTATAGCTATTTATAAAGAAAAGAAAGAAAAAAAAAACCCCTTTCGTACAACACCTAAATGGAACATAATAACCTAGTATTAAAGCACATACGTGGCCAACCTATAGCTACACGAAGCTTTTCTTTTTGTCTTCCTCCCTAACAATTACATTTTGTCATTTCCCATTTCTGAAATGAGAGTGACCATCTCGTTAAAATCTTCTTTTTTTTTAAAGAAGAAAAGTATTTACAGTATAACATTCATTGTCGTTTGTATTTTGAGAGACATTTTGTATCGATCAATTAAAAGAACAGCAGTAAATATGGACTTTGAATGAGATAAAATGGGTTTTAACATCAGTTTTTTTTCTTCAAAAATAAATTAAAAAACACTAGCTGGGTGTCGAACCTGATACCTTCCAGTTACCAGGCGATTGTCTATCCACTAGACTAATGTGTCACACTGGTAATCCCCATGTATTTTTTCATATTGATACTTTTTGTTGTAGATGTAGCAAAAGACGTATTCTAACTACTTCAGAGAGTGTCCAATTAAAAAAAAGAGAAGGAAAAGCCAATATCATGGGGGACAAGAAAAAAATGACACCAATAACATGGGGTATAAAGGAGAAACTGGGAGTCAAAATGGGAGTCAACTAGGCGTTGTGGCGTGCGCCTGTAATCCAGCTAACACTAACAGTGAAATTCACAAACTGATTCAGGCGAGGACGCAAGCTCGAAACTGAGTCACGTCTTTCGGATGGTGACGTTTAAAGGTCGGTCCCCAGACGTAAATAATCATATCTGATTGATACACGTCTGTAAAAACCCAATAGACACCCACAATCAGAATAAAAAAACTGAAAACAATAATGGACCTCTTTACCCAAGACTGTGGGTCTTTATTGTTGAGCAAGAAATTCACACAATCTTGCCCCAAATCCTGTGCCCCGACTGAACACTGAAATTTTTGTATGGGACTACAAACACATGTGGCATGAAAGTATGGTCCAATTTACCTCGCATAATGCATATAAAGAGCCATTTTTTTCACTTTGTCAGGTGACACTGTACTCGGCCGGGGGTACAAACCCAATGATATTCTTCCAAACTATCTCATGGAGTACTTGTCTTGACTTTTGTGACATGGGGTCGGCCGGGTCGCAATAGTCTTCCCAGAGACAAAGATATAAGAGGGAGAGCGAGGGATGAGCGAGAGAGAGAGAGAGAGAGAGAGAGAGAGAGAAACATACAGACAGACTGATATACAGATAGCCTAGACAGAGAGAGGCAGAAAGAGAGAGAGAAAAAACGAGGGGGAGGACTAGGTATAGACAGTAGTAGGAAGAATCTCTTTTTTTTTGTCTGATTCCTCAACCTACTGCGCTAAGTTTAGAAAAATGGACTTCTAAAACAGTCTGCTCTTGATTCTAAAATATGTGAGAATAATAACTCATGATAGTCTGGAAATACATGTAGTTTTACAAAGTACTCACTCCAGTTGTTTTGTCAGCTATGCAGAGATTTCATGATATGAATTATGCATAATTGTTGGTAAAACAGTGTTTGAGCGTCCAGTAACGCCTGGCTGAAACACTCCCCAGTGCAGGCGCGGATCCAGGATTTCTTAGGGGGAGGGGGCCCAAATTTGAAATTATGCGAGCAAAATATTGGTACGTAATGGTGACACCAGCAGTGGCGAAATGAGCAAAAACTTTTTTTTGGGGGGGGGGGGCGGGGGTTAAAAAAAGACGCATCATCCCATTCTTACATGCAGGCCCCGCTGAACATTTCTTTAAGTAGGTGGGGGTGGTTTATGTTGATACCTTATTTGTGACACTGGCAGGTAACGAATTGGCGTGGGATCCAGGGGGCGGAACCCCCGGAAGCTCGGGGGATTTATACATTAAATTACGGTCAGATGAGCATATTTGTATACCTTCAATATTTGTGACACTGGCAGGACACAAAATGGTGTGGGGTCCAGGGGGCGGAGCCCCCAGAAGCGCAGGAGGTTTATACATTAAATTACCGTCAGATGAGCAAATTTTGATACCTTATTTGTGACACTGGCAGGTCACGAATAGGCGTTGGGTCCAAGGGGCGGAGCTGGCCGCTGGCCGGTGCCCCCTCCCCCTGGATCCGCGCCTGCCCCAGGAAGTGGAGATTGTGCACACAGTGTGTGTGGGCAAGTTTTGAATCCAATGACCGGGGTAATAGTATATCATTTATTTTGCAAAGCGCTTATAGAGACATCGTAGATTATTATCGTATTATTATTATCATTATTATTCCTTTCCATGAATAAAAAGCAAAATGAATTACACTATATATCAAAAATGTTTTTGTAACCATTTTTTGTTGTTGTCCCTGTAAAATATAGTCTTACATGTATTTGAAAATAAAAGACCTTTATAACCTAGTATGAAAAGACTTGTTGTCCAAAAACTTTTGTACTGATAGCTCAAATAGTTCACTGTGTCAAGTGAATGAGGTTAGTCTCTAGAATTGCAAGATTGAGAGAGAGAAAAAACTGGGTGATTTCCGTGGAGGTATTTGCAAAATCCAATGTGGCAAACACTCTGCCCCAGGTCATCCCTTACGCCGTTCATGTAAACCTATATAGGCTAATTACACGTAAGTTAATAATTAAATGAAAATCTTGATTATCACTTGATTATCACTCAATAACTATAACTTATTATCAGCGAGATTTCCTCATTAATCAATAATGATATTTCTCCCTTAGTGATAATTGCTGTGGGTTTTTTGGTTGGGGGGGGGGGGGCGGCGTCACTTTTAGAACGGTGAGAAAGGTAGGTATATTTTTTTATCTCGTCTTGAGCTGTTTATTTCAAATTAAGGAAAATTTCCGTTACTCCTGTAAACTCCCATCCTTTTCATACATGCACGTTTTAGTCAAAAACGTTTTCTATAAGAAAGTTTACAGATACAAACTGCGCATGGGCAGATAAAGGTCCGATTTGTACCAAAAAGGTAAAACTCACGAGATGAATACTGGATATGAGCTCATGAAAGTTATGTAACATTATTCATTTATGCACCAACGGAAGGCTACATTCTAAGATACGCAGTTGGAAGTATTCTTTTCAAGAGGGCAAACAAATGGTATTCATGAAGCACATCTAGGACTTATTCTAAGATTGGATTGGATTGGATGCTCAAAGTGGAACTTATCCATGTGTAAAAGATCTGTGGATATTTGGGGTCATTTGTACCATGTGCTATCTGTAAACTCCCTTAATTATTAGGCCTTATCGTTCATTGTTTATATCTACATGTAAATGTGTTATATGGATCTCTGCTCTTGCAGCTGAGTCTGGAATTAAATACAAAGAACTTTTAACCGGTTTCAAATGCGCGCGTTCGGTTCGGATCGGATGATGGTACACGTACACATGACCTGTTATGGATCAATGGTCACGTGACATAGCTAGCAAAACGTAAATACACGTCAGGTTAAATCAGCCCGGAAAGTTCCACATCATTCAGATCCAGTCTCAAGAACAATGTTAGACTTTATAGAGTGAAACCTATTGCAGGAGTGGTGAGTCATCGTTCCCCAAATCCCCTTTTGGTTGCCCTTGGTTGGAACTAACAAATGGTTGATGGATGCAGCCAACAACAGAGCAAATCTAAGGAGAATTTGCTCACTTTTAGCTTGCATTGCAGTGGTCTGCAACAGCATTGCGTCAACGGAGGGGAACCCCGGGACTTTAGGCGAGAATGACAGTGACCGTTTGGGAGATGGCGCAGGTATTGGAAATGTTGCGAATCGCCCGTCATCAGAAAGGTGTACAGCCTCTCACTCACAAGGTGTCAACAGGTAATAATTTTATCGTTGATTCTTATTGTAATGCCATGCACAATTCAATAATTACAATTTGCTGGATTTTGAGATTGATTATTAAAACAAACATTTTTGAAATTTGAATTGTATTTGTGCAAACAATTTAAAAATCTGTCCACAAGTCGAGGCCAAGGGCAAGGGAATCACACTGGAATTATGAATATGTGCACATATTTTTTAGGAAAAATAGTAGAATCTTATGTAGATTTAGGGATAATGTAATGAATTTGTTTTGGGTTTGCATTTTTTTTTAAATTGTGTGTTGATGTTGATTGACTCACCATTTTCCCATTAATTTGGAAACCATTTTCTTCTTCTTCTTCTTCCTCGGTAAATGCACCTTCATACAACAGAGATTACGGAGATTACGCACTGCAGTGTGGTGTGTGCCATGTCCAAAATGTGTGTAGGCCTCAATCCAATGCAAAATATATATATACAGTGATGTGCTGTTAAAAACGTGGAAAGCGGTGTGCTGCCATCAGTTGGACGCTACCTTCAATGCCCTTTTAAAGGCATCTATACTATAACTATAAGGAAAATTTACTGTACAGGCCGTTAACAAGATTTAATTTGTTACCGACCTGAGAGAGAGAGAGAGAGAGAGAGAGAGAGAGAGAGAAAGAGGGAGAGCAGAGAAGGTGAGAGTTAAATAAAGGGAAGGACGATCCTGATCACGGGCAGCCAACACCATCATCAATTCTAATGTCCATCACTTGTAAAACTTGACAGCTTTTGTCACATCATTCTTCCAACATGTCCAAAGAGGTTAAAACTTAAAAAGATAGAGGCACTTGCGGTCGAACACGGGCTGTATCACACACAATACATGCCTTTTTTTTAAAATGTTGAAGAAAGCGTGTAGCTTCGCAAAACCATCATATCAAAGCCCCTCTGTACTACTTGTAGCTACTTGCTCCCTCTATATGCCTAAGTGGTGCCCATTAGTCCCCCATGATCCTCTTTATCTTATATTAATTGAGAGCTGAGTTGATGAGATAACTACCTGTCGGTGACCCCGCTGGGTGGTCTAATCCCTCCTGGCCAAACTAGTACAGACAGGCTTTAAAGTGCAAGCTCAATGCCATTCCATTGAAACGTGCGTATTAAATTTACAAGCACTTTAATCAGATTTGGTGAATTTGTACTGATAACGGTTTTGTGAAATGTTGCCCTAGTTTACAAAGTATCTGAGCGTTCATTTGGATCATTGCCTAACGCTATAGTGATAACTCTTCAGTGACTTTTTATCAAACTTCTCCTTCAATGTCAGACCGATGATGATCGTCAGTACTGTGGATGGGAAGGTTCTTGCGCTGGACATCCAGAATGCCGGTCAACAGCAGTGGAGTATGGATGCTGGGGTTGGTCCTCTTCTCTCATCATCCATCAGTCAATTTGAGGTAAGATTTAGCTCAGGATATTCCTTTATTTTGTTTTAATCCCCTTTGCCATTCATTTACATATTTACATAATATTGTTGTGGATTTCTTAGCCACACATGTATGTATGAGCTATTAAAGCTTAAAGGGACCTGGTAACAATGTTCAGATGCTATAAAATGGTGAAAAGGTTGTGACTTCAATGCTAGATGTACAAATAAAGATAATCTGAAAGTTTGAGTGAAAACAGACCATTATTTATGATACAAATTGGGTAAAACTGATCGGATCGATTCCTTAATTCCCCCAATTATATTATTACCATTTAATTACATTTTAGGTTCATGAAAGTCGTCTCAAAGCAATGAATTGGCTCTATATACCTTTCCAGACATTTAAGTGTTGAAAGATTTTATGAAGCCTGTTTTATCATGGAAAAACGGTTGGGAAAATTCAAAAAAGGTTGGGAGAATTTACTGTTAGAGGTTGTTGCACAGTGATGTGACACCTTCAAAGAAAACCATAAATAATCGTGTGGTTTGAAAGATAATACTAATTTAGAACTTCCCTAAAAAAAGAGGGGCTTGATATGTCTTTAAGTGGGAAAATAACGACTATTAGTTGACGAATCGACTTAGGAGGTATATAGCCAATAAGAAATAGTCTTGATTTTCAGACCATTGAACCGATTGGTCGTACATTTTATGCTGCGCAAAGATTCAATCAGTTTAATTTGGGCCATTACAAGAAGTGGGTTATTGATGTAGACAAATGCTCACGTACCCTTTACAGCTCATTTTATGCATGTTATTAACAAAGAAGAAAAAAAGCCAGTCAGTCACTCAATAGTGTCTGACAGTGAAGTCTAGCAAGTAAACAGGTTTCCCTGCATAATTTGAATATGAGGACACTGCTAACGTTTACACTTCACAGATAGGACATACATGACATATATATTCATAATTCCTGCAAAGTTCTACAGAATTTGAGGTTGGCTGCAAAAGGGACATAGTATCTTTAAGGACAATACCTGACTCACAATTTTTCTATTTCAGATCATGGGTCCAGAGGGATTATACAAGGTGATCCCCTCACTGAACGGAGGTCTGTTCAAATGGGATGGAGAGACTCTAGAAGCAGTTCCGCTCACAGCAGAGACTCTTCTCAGTACCTCCTACAGACTCAATGAGGAGACGATGATGGTCGGTGGAAAGGAGATTAACACCTTTGGTATTAATGCTAGAACTGGAGAGGTACGTTGTGGTAAACATTGAAATATTCCGAGAAATTCAAGGGAAATGTTCTTTGGTAAATTATCTCGTACTTACATAAACATCTCTCACTTGATGAGAATGCTTGTAATGGATGCCACACACTGTTCTGCTATACTTAAAAGAAGCAAGTTGTTCGATTTTTTTTCTCCCTTTATGTTACATAAAATTATGTAGACTTTACAAAATGATTACTGAAAGTTCTTATAATGTTAAAATGGGCAAAATTCTGTGGTATACCCTTGGGTATACCTATGGAGTGGCAATAATTGTCATGCAGATACATTTGAAATTTTAAGATCTTTTACATGATATTTTATATTTCAGGTATGGCATATTGAACATTATACACAATAGTGAAGTTATTTTTTTTTAAAGAAAACGGCTCTTTTTGTGTTCATGATTAAAATTTGAATTCAAATGATAATGATTAAGTTCCTTGATCTATTCCAATCTCTCTCTAGTTGCACTATATTTGTGGAACTGGCGGATGTCAGCTTTATGGAGATGAAGCAGAAGATGACCAGGATATCATTGTCATTCAGCATACCAGGCAAACTGTGAGGGCAGTAGACCAAAGAAACGGCATGGAAAAGTGAGTGTATTGATAGGTAGCGAGAGAGAAAGAGAATAGGGTGGGGGGAAGGATAATGGTCATTTGTTTTGTGACATGACAGTTATTAATTTGCAGAAGGAGGGGCCTATAGTATTTACAACATGTATAGTAAATACTGTTGTGTAGTTCACAATCGACGTGTTGATTACATTTTTGGTTCTAACCTAATGGTAATGTTAACATCCTCAGATGGAACTTCAGCGTGGGCCAGCATGATGTCACGTTCCTGAAAGGAAAGCAGCCCTCAAACGATGATCTAGCGGAGGAAGAAGAAGTGGTGTGCGAAGTGGACGATGAATACGACTCTGAGGATAACATCCCATCAGTGAAAGTAGACATGGCAACCAAAACAGTCTTTGCTCAGGGCGGGGCTAGTGGGAGACAACTGCTTTGGTCTCACGAGGTAGGTTCCGTAAAATATGAATTTAATTAATTATTAAGGGGATTTCATGTTTCCTAGATCTGGGAGGATATTTCCGCTTTGGGAATTGTGTATAAAAAAACATGAACTGTCAAACTTCTTTTTAAAAATAATCAACAATGCGCATGCAATGATTTCAGATGCTTTTAATTGCAACTTTTTTTTTATATCCAGATTTATCAAACTGAGCCATGGCAGACAATTATAATCTTTTACGTTATGGTGCCATTACCTGTTATTCTGGGACAGCAGAGACAGGTTCTGCATGGGTTTGGACTAAGTATGTCCAAAAGCAGAAAGGGACTGATATTTAAACAAAGTTTAGTTCCATTTTATTTTGCACCAGGGGAGGTGGGTGCATTGTACATCTAATGTTATCATAAATGTAACATAAATAGGATGTTGATCAATGCTGTTATTAGTACAAAGTCCAGTTGGTGAGATATCACTTGTGTGAATCTAAGGTTATATTTGCATTTCACCCATTCCTTTGTTTGCATACCAGATAAGATTCAAACCCTTTACTTTTAACAGATGTTTTTCATCCCTCTGGACATCTGTAACTTTCGTAATCATCACAATCTAATGTGTACACAAGTTTGATGCATATCTAATATTATTTTAGTGTTGTTTTAGGATGTAGTTCTGTTTATCCATTATCTACAAACCCAAAGAAATTGTAAACTTTATTTGTAATACACATACATTGGAGTTTATACAAAATATTGAACAAAATACTCATAACTTTTCAGAAAGCATTAGCACCACAAACATTACAGAGGTACAGTGAATAATCACAACTCATTGGATTGTCATTATTTTTTTCTCTCTTCATAGTTGGAGAGCTGCATAGCAAATGCATGGACAATCCAAGATGGCGTTGTGAGGGTGGTTGACCTCTTTGAACCTGTGACCCTTGGCCTTTCCTCTGGTGCTGACCCTCAGATGACCCCATTCTTCTCTGATTATTCCCAACCTATGCTGTTCATAGGTGAGTAGCAAACTTGTTCTTACTTATGATAATTTTTGCTGGGTAATTAATTGTGGAGTAGTACCCAAGCTTTTCAAAGTACAGTCAAACCTGCTATAGCAACAACCTGTCTACAAAGACCCCATTTTTTGCTTCCATTGAAAAATGGTTTCTCATTGCAATATGTGCTATAGGCACCTGTACATAAAGACCACCTGCCTAAAAAGACCACTTTTCTTGTCGTCCTTGGGTGGTCTTTTTAGACAGGTTTCATTGTATCTTATGAAAAGATGATCCTACATTTTGTTTCCCTTGTACTATAGGCACCTGTACTTAAAGACCACCTGCCTATAAAGACCACTTTTCTTGTCTCCCTTGGGTGGTCTTTATAGACAGGTTTACCTGTATCTTATGCAAATATGATCCTACATCTTGCATTCAATGGTTGAAAATTTAGCCCCTTAGCACTACTTTGGTGCTTTCTCAACTGGGGAATCCGCATTTTTCTGTGATTATTTTCAACCTGTTATATCAGTTGGTAAGTAGGAAATACCTGATAGTTTTATATTACCCCTGGGGATCGTTTAGATACTAAAGTGGTACCCAAAGCTTTATAAAGGATCTAAAACTATGATCCTAATTGGTGTATTCGTTAGTAGCAAATTAAATCTCCTACAGATACAAAAAGATAGGTTTAAAAGATAAACCTTAAAAAGGTTCCTCATATTGTAAGAGTTGTCGAAGGTTAATCTAAAAAGGTATCTTCTCTATGAAAGATATTAGATAGATAACCTTGAAAAGATGTCTGTTTTGTAGGAAGTAGTCAAGCTACAGCTTGAACTAAATGAGGAAAAATAAAGTGGATCCTTTAGTGGAGCAGAGTAATAACTTTGTTGGTCCTTTAATTCACTCTTGACAGGAAAGCACAAGGACCAGCTCTACGTCCAGCCGTCACCAAACACCAACTCTGAGATCTCCCAGGCTGCTTGGGCGGCCCAGCGAGGGCAGGCTAACCCTCAGGACGGTAGCCTTACAGCACCTAGGGTACGCTGGAGGCCCTATGCATACACCTCTGTCTCCAGGACACCCACCATCGTAGCAGCCAAGAATGAGGAGAACCTGCAGGCTGCTGGCAACAAGGACAAGGGAGAATCTAACAGGGATGTCAGTGTGTGGAATCAGTACCCCTTTGGTGAGATCTTGGATTTCTGAATCCTTCCTTCAACTTTTTGTATATATTTTTGTAAGAAAATGGAAAAAGTTTGACTTTACTTTAAACTGTATCAAGAACAAAAACATGTTTTGGACTTGATGTAAGGGTTCCAAGAATATTAGATATTGATTAAACAAATTCGTTTTCACTGACTGCCTGCCGTAGCAACAAAGAGAGTTGACAAAAGACTTGACTTCGTTTCGTTGACTTTCAGCCATGCATCAAGTCTTTTGAATTTTTTTAATCAAATTATAATAATGCAACATTACTTGAAACAAACAGAACTTTGTTATTCCTGGTTCATTTTTCCTGATTGAGGTGTCATATGAAAGGGCAGAAATGAACTTTCTAGAAATGTGATTTTCTCTTTGAAATTCAGATACTGCCCGTCAAATGACTATTTGGTACCCTCTCTTCAAATTGTTTTTAATCGCTCATTATGAAATATGCATCATGTGAGTCGCATCAAATGAAAAAGGAAGATCTAAGCTTTACAAATATGTGTAATTTATTAATTATAATTGTGATGATTAAGTTATGATAAAACATTGATAATTCTCGGTTTCATTTTTTCTGGGACGCACTGTATAACAGTGAATAACACTCTATGTCTCCTTTTTCTTCTTACAGACAATGGATACTACCTACTGCACCAGCTGACCCCTATGCACATGATGCCACAGAATAGACAGCTAGAGGGCAATGAAAGTCAAGATGGCGGCTTAGAAATACTCTTCAGTGTGTCTGTTTGGACATGGTGGTAAGTCATCAGTTAAGAATGGTGAAATTTAGCTAAACTGTTAAAAAAGACTGCTGAAGGGAGGCAAGAATAGAGCTTTGTATAGACAGGTTCCTTTCATGCAGGTAGCAGTGAGGATCACTCCTCTGCAGTATGTTCATTAGGGGCTGGTGAAAGAGTAATCCGATTTGACAGGTTGATGTAAAAATGCTATGACTTCAATTAATTCAACATAGCTTAAATCAGTCTGAAATGTTGTTAATCAGATACTGACCTTCTAGCCATACAAAATTTCTTATTACACACCAAGAGCCATAAGCTCATATTTTCCAAGATGGCCGATAACAACTTTGCTTAAGTCGACTGATTGGTGGTTCATTTAAGTGCCAATGGCCTTGTTATAGTGTAAGAATTACTTTCTTCTGTAACAAAATGAATAAATGTAAGCCATTAAGTCATGGAATGAATCAAATGATGAATTGATTAATGATGACTTGACTTCCCTTTATTCACATATTTGCTGAATTATGGTAATTTCATTTTTCACAGAATAAAAAGGTTAACGCTTGGCACTCCATAGACTAGTAGACCCTTTGTGCAGACTTACTTAGGGTTTACACCTGTACTTAAGTTAACACGCTGTTATGAATACTAGAAGATTAAAAAAGTTACATATATATATCCTGTTCTAATTCCAGGAGGGAAATCTTTGGAACCAGTATGCTACTTGCTATTGGGATGCAACTGTTCTTCCATTACGTTCTGAAACCACGAAGGAAAAGGAGAGCTGCTGAGAAAGAACTGAACGATGAAGGAGAAGAGACAGAAAAGGAGCAGGGGAAACCATCCAGCCCTGAACTGGACCGTTCAAGCGACCCTCTAGCTCAGGAGTACAAGTCAAGGTAAATGGTGATTTCATAAGGAAATAGTTTGAAACTTGATCGATACCTGCTCTTCATCCAATTTGTATCTCATGTTAACAATTTATTGGCGTTGTTTTGAAAAATATAGCTGACAAATTACACTAAAATGGTTGTTGCTCTACTTGCTCTATCTTTCAAATCTTATATCAAGATAAATCTTGAGAAGTACCACACTGTATCTTTCTTTTCAATACTTTTCCTTTATCACTTACAATTGTATTACTAACAATTCAAGAGATATACCATGTTATCACTTTCTATGAATACCCTCAATTTGATTACACAAAGCTCAAGGATATCAGTCACTACATTGCTCAGCTTAGAGAACTACAGTGACTACATAAACGATACTGCATTACATTGTTACATCATCGATTAGCCCTTGCTTACATTGCAGTCATGCATAATTGCATATTGCTTTCAAAACCTTCAAAAGGACTTTTGCATATTGTACCAATACCATGCAACACATTCATGCATAGATTGATATATGTTTGTGATGGGTTGTTGCCTGACGTGTCTTCACATAACAAGGTTGAGGGCTATGCAAGATGCCAATATCATACATTACATGTTTCCCCTTCATCTTTGTGATGGTATGCTACAGGTACTTGACTGACTTTGAGCATACAGAGTGCCTTGGTAAAGGAGGGTTTGGAATCGTCTTCAGAGCAAAGAACAAGGTGGATGAAAACAATTATGCCGTCAAGAGAATCACCCTCCCAAACAGGTACATACCGGTACCATTACATATTGATGGTGCAGATTGAAGAAATGTTAACCCTGTAGCACCCAAGCTGAATGTAACAGACTTACAGATTAAATTCTTGATTACTAAAAAACTGCTCAAATTATTATAGAAACAAGAGAATCTGGTCATTGGAGACAATGTCACATGAGTTATAGGTGGAAGGGAATTCCCGAGTTTGATTCTGTATCGAATTATTGTCCTACTATATAAGCTGCATTGGTTGCAGAGCACATAATCTATAGGTACCTTGATTCGATGCAACTCTGCATGATGAATATGTTATGGTGTTAGATTTATCAAGAGGAAAGGATTGACTTTTTCTTTGTTTTCCTATTATACCAGCAAGAAATTTGGTATTTATTTTCTTCAGCTGGTATTTACAATTATTACAATGATTACTTCTTATGATATGTGCAGACAGTTTAAAGTGACTCAGATTCTGAAACAAAATCCTGGATTTAGCTCATGCTGCAATGATAATTATAAACCTTTAGGTCAGTCAGGAATCCCATGACTTTTACAAGCCGATCGCCTGTCTGATTATCAAGATATTAATGATTGGAAATCGAAATTTCATTTGTCTTTTTCCTAACAGTTTTTATAACACTACAGTCTATTGGGGGGAAATGAGTATGGTAAAACCGGTCACTCAAAGATTTTTACTTTTTTGAGGCATTTCATGCTCATTTTGAAGCGCAATTTTGTTTAGGTCTTCAATATTACACCTTATAATATTACACTATCAAAGACATTGATAACACGTAGGGCCATGCATCTCAGATTTAACATTGTTAAACGATGCCTTTACAGCAAAAATCATTTTTGTTTTGTTCATTATCAGAGAGGAAGCGAGAGATAAAGTCCTAAGAGAGGCCAGGACCCTGGCTATACTGGATCATTCAGGCATTGTAAGATACTTCAACTCCTGGCTTGAAGAGCCCCCTCTAGGTTGGCAAGACATCCAGGATAAGAAATTTGTGGGTGAAAGGTAAGTGGAGATAATATTATATTTTGATACTTTCATAAAATTACTCTTTTTTGGAAGGTTTTTATTCTTAGGGGCAGTGACTCCTCCCTTCCCCACAAATGAAGTCCATCTTACATTGAAACATGATGTAAAACCTTTTTGTTGGGCATTTTGTTTTATTGAATTGTAAAGTGAATTTGCTCTACATGTTTTGGTTTGTTCAGGAATGCTGTGATGTAAGAGTGTCATATGCATCTAGGGATATGCACAAAAATACCTGGAAATGTTTATAAGATATATAAAGAATTTAATTGATATTGTGGAGGACACTGTATCATGTTACTAGTGTCATCTGGGATTTCAGTGGTACTTGAAATCATGACAGTCTTGTCGACAGTCAGGTTAGACTTCTCTGCATGAAAATTTACTGCTGCTGTTCAAGTGTGTTATGTTTAGTGATGGAAGAACATGTGACATTGTGATCATTGTGATCATGTTATTTATTCCATACCTCAGACAACGACAAAGGCATTAACTAAATTTTCATTCCGTCTATTTGTAGCAGTCTTGGTGGGAATGATGGTCTAACTTCTCTGGATACTCCAGCCTTCTTCAACAAAAACAGCGAGCTCATCCGAAACCATGATCAGTTGATGCAGCAGACGGGCGGCAGATCAAGCATGGGTCCAAGCTATGTTCCTTTCAGCAAAACAAGGGAAAGTCCCATCCTTAAATTTGACCTGTCGGATGATAGCAATGTTAGCAGTGAGGGCAGGGTCGATCAAAAAGGAGACAACAAGAGAGCGGGAGTGGAGTCTGACATCCTCTTTCCCGGAGCCGTTTGTGAGTTTGAGGAGAGTGGTTCATTCAGTATTGTATTCCAAGGCACAGAAGAGGAAAACAGTCAAAATATGAGTGTTATTTCAGACACAGGAGAAGAGACTCCACAGAATCTAGCCACCTTTGATGAAAGCATATCCAACAGAAGTACCGACACATCCCTTGATAATACAATGGATGTACCCTTCAAGCACTATGCTAATGATGCGAAGGATATCAGAGACCTTGATCGAAGCGAATCATTCCAGATAGTCTTTGAGGATTCAGGGTGCACCGATCAGCCTAGGTATTCAGACTCCGAGTCCACCCAGTCGGACACCTCTAAATCCTCCAAAAATAGTTCAACACCAAGCAGCGCTCCTTGCATGGAAGGACATTGGAGAGAGACGTCCTCGCACCATGCCACGGATCCAAGCCAGACCCCCACCACGACATCGTTGGCAGTGATGAAAGTGCAGAAGATCTACCTGTACATTCAGATGCAGCTGTGCCGTAAGGAGACCCTCAAGGATTGGCTTAGTACTAACACGCTGTCCAGGGATAGAAACAAAGTGCTTCATATCTTCCATCAGATCCTGGAAGCGGTCAACTACATCCATGGATGTGGTATGATTCACAGAGACCTCAAGGTGTGATATTTCAGTATTTCTCGAAGTCTTTTAAATATATTACTGAAATTATTTTCATAATTTCTCATTTTCAAAGTTAGGATGGAAAGGGGGTTGGGGTGGGGGGTCACACTATGCACATATCTATCTTAATATGTTAAAGGTAAAGACCAGTTCTGGTCATGCGATTGCATTGTGGAAGAAACGTTATGGAATCGATCAGCAAAGGTTGATCATCTAGCATATCTAAGTATTGGTGTGTACTGCAAGGTTCTGGAATCATCAAAATGATAAGAAATTTGGCACCGTCTTGGTAAAGTTACAAGCACTGTACACAGAAAGATGTATATGAGACAACCTTATATCTATCCATTCTGGATAGATATAATAATTTACCAAATATTTCAATTATTAGGCGGTTTCCCGGTAAAATTTGTATCATCACGTATTAGTCAAAACATATTCCTTCACATGATTGGAGCTTCCATTTCATTTTTTGAGAGGGGAGGCATTTCCAAAACTGGTCTATACCTTTAACCGAAATGTACCCATGTCCAATCAACTATCATGCTTTCTCGTCCTCAAATATATCATCTATGATCTTTTTCGATCTTTCAGCCCTCCAACATATTCTTCTCTGTGGATGGGAAAATTAAGGTAGGAGACTTTGGTTTGGTGACGGCCATTGATACGAGCATGGAAGGAGCTGAAGACTCTGTAGATGGGGCTGCTGGACATCTTCATACTGGCAGAGTAGGAACCCAGCTGTACATGTGCCCAGAACAGGTACTAAGAAATTAAGTCAGATCATGCAGTTTTCATTGTGGTTTGAGCTTATTTTGTCTTCAGAGTAAAATGATCCAATGTAATTTGGGATTAGTACATTAGTACACATATTGACTATGTTTATTCTGCCATGGTCCTGGTCCTTGTCTCATAAAGAGTTGCGATTACTCACAACTTATTTGCTACTATCAACCCCACCCCCCCCCCACTAGGAGGGACCGCATGCGTGTTCTCAAAATCTCTGGTAAAGGGGTACTTTTTCGCGTGACAAAATCGGGCCCGCCATTGACTTTCACACTAGAGATAGGAGGGTGCTTTCAAAAAGAGGGAACATGCGTATGCATACCCTAAATATAAGACAGGGTCCCGGTGTGTGTGTTGAATAAATACATTACATTCAGACATTAAATCAGCTTTCATAGGTCAAAGAATTATGTCAGTGTAGCATCTGGTAGAAAGTGTGTTCATGTCATGTTTTCTTGTTACTTGTTTTGAAACATGTAGGTCTCTGGTCAGAACTACGATCACAAGGTGGATATTTTCTCTCTTGGACTCATCTTCTTTGAGCTGTTCCATCCCTTCTCAACCCAGATGGAACGCATCACCGTAAGTCACGCTGTTCTGGGGGGTGTTTCACAAAGATCCTAAGTTGAACTTATTTCTACCCTGTAAGTTAGACTTAAAATTATGGAAAGCCATTAGCATCCTTGAAAATATTTTGTAAAAGTTATCTTAAAAGGCATAAGATGTTGATTCAAATCATTCATATTTTCCATTTTCAAGGAGATTTCATGTTCTTTATGTGGAATTTATAAAAAATGTAGAATATTTGATTTTTCGCTTTTGAATATATTTAATTTTAAGACTACATATGGCTCTCCATAATTTTTAAGTCCAACTTAGAGTTAAGTTCGACTGAGGATCTTTGTAAAAAGTTAGTCTGGGGTTAAGGATAGTATGGGGCTAATCAAAGCAAGGGGTTAAGCAAAACAACTGTGAAAAAGAGTATTAGCAAAGCCATTAGGCAGCAATTAATAAGAGGATTGTAGAGTGAATCTAACAGGTTCAACTTTGTGATTATCGTGGGTTGTGATTTATTATACCATAAAAGAATGTGTTGACCTCCAGATGGGGAACTTGTCTGGGAATTTCTCTTGTGTGATGTATATTTTAAAATTCTTAATTTATTGATGAGACTGAGACTAGAGCCTCATTTTTTGTCATTGGCACTGTTGTATTATATCACTATTTATCCTGGAACATTTGTTTTGAAACATACATTTAGAACAAACGCTATTGTATATGAATGATTTGTATCCATTTCATCTTGCTTTTTCAGGTCATGTGCAAAGCCAAGAGACAGGATTTCCCTAAAAGATTCACCAAAGAACTACCCCTAGAGGTGAGATGGAAGAAAAAAAAAATCCATCCAAATTTCTACAGTTTAACCTCAATCTCATCTTCATTATCCTTACGATCACTTTCGAAGAAACAATTTCCACTTTTAATGGCTACCGAAAGTAAATGTAAAAAATATGGTAATCATTTCGGTGAAGGATTCACATTTTAAATGAACTAACCGTGTTTGATCTTTTATTGTCATTGGAATATATTTTAATTTAATGCAGTATACATTTATTTGTCCATGACAGAAATTGTATTTCTCAGACAGTTGTTACTCCTATATATAGAATAATTCATTTGTATATTTTAAGGTGTGGAGAGATATAATTGTTTTAAATCTTGAAAAAAAAATTATTTATCGTAGTAGTTATGAATTTCAAATTTATTGAAACAAATTGTTTGAAATAGGTGCCTAATTAATGAGAACTTTGGAGATGAATCCGCTTTTCTGTATAAAGTGTAATAAATTCCAAAATGAATAAATGTACTACTCTCGTTTTTTGTTGTCTCCATTTTCCTCCAGGCGAAATTTGCAAAATGGCTGCTATCCCACGACCCTGACCTCCGACCTGACACCGATGAAATAAGTGAGAGCGACAGTGACATCTTTAGCCAACTATACGAGGACTACGTTCCACCTTCCTATCACAATGTTAGGAACAGAGGAATTTCTAATTCATCGAGATAATGATGGCAGCAAGGTAGTCTAAATATATACAGACTCTGTCGAACATTTTCAGTGTGAATTCAAGAGCCAGTTTTTTTCATATTCAGGAGGAACAGATGCAGGAGAGAGCCTGCAGAACTGTTTATCCACATTCCAGGAGTCAATTAAAGGGGCTGTAGCATGGGAAATACTGGTTGACGCCATCTACGTCTCCTTTTGGACAACTGCACGTACACGAATGGACCGAAGTTCTCCTCACACTTCAGTTTTGCATAATGTTGCATGCACGTGAATACGTAGGCCTACTGCGGTTACGTCGTCCGTAGTCGTATTATACCTGATTTTCCCCAAGTGGGCCTCGGGGGCAGCGCATAGTCTCGTCATGCTACAGCCCCTTTAACAAATGTTAATGTTGATTCAGCACAAGGAATACTCAGTTCACTGCATATATTGGACATGTTGCATTTCATGCACTTTTATGTATTTCATTAGAAAATTAGAGGGAAATATGTATTAGGAACCTTATCATAAGGAACACTGTTAGGACACAAGTTCATTATTTCATGGTTGCTTTGCAGGTCACACTTCTTTTATTCTATTGTGTCTTTAAGCCCTGATGTAATGTCCAAAGAAGTTTGTATAACATGGTTCTGCTGTATATAAGTGTTGTGGATAAATAGTGCAATCATCAAGGCCTTGAAGCAGCACTTTCCTTGGAAGAAGAAGAAAAGGGTAGTTTTAGAGATAGAATGTGATGGAACATCAAGTGTTTTAGTCACCTTCACTGCACCCGACCCTAGTTTTATGATTTGAGCTGTTTAAATATACCTTGAAGCAACTTGGTTGTGTTGGATTAGAAGATGGGTACCTGGTAAAAAAGTTACGGGGAGGTAGTAACAAAATTCCTTGAATTCTGCAATAATATCTTTACATGTAATAGAGAGGTAACATAAATGACCAGTCCTATCTGACTGATAAACTAGAACTGTAAAATCGGCCTACTGAAGTTTATGCATAAAAGGTAATGCATAGATGCCACCAGGAGAAAATCAGTGTTAACTTAAATAATTGAAATGTGACCTACACTGCCAATAGCCAATACTTTTTTCACATGAACATCAGGAGACTGATTTGGTATGGATTTATATGTAGTTATTGTTAACGGATGAATAGGACTGGCCGTAAATGAGACTAAGTAAATTTGCTGCTACTTTGTCATGGATGAATGGACTGGAATTGAATCAATACATAATTGCATTGCATCAATTATGATTTTTCTGCATTCCTGACAGTGCTGTTGGACAATATGTCCCAATGGTGAATAGTTAATACAGTTGTGAAACTGTTAAGTAAACACCATAATGTGCAATTTATAGAAGTGTGTTTATCTTTAGTATGTAGTATGAGATATGTGTCACTGTTGTACCAGCTCACCTCCTTGTCAGTTTGTTTAATGGAGTTTTCTGTAACAATTAAACCAAACTAAGTTTAGATATACATTCATCGCTATTCTAGTATGTTTCAGCATGGAAAGGTGAAATAAAAAGAGTTTGGGGGCGTAAGGTCACATGTTACGGTCACATGATCATTGCTCTGTGAACATACATATAGGCGATGGTATATTAGAGGTTTTTGTTATATCCAACAAATATTTTCTGTAAGTTTAGTACATATGAAAGTGTGCTCAACATTTTCTTCTTGCAAAGAGCTTGCAAGAATTCAAACTGAAATGTCCCATTTTTGTGCTGTGAACAAGTGTAAAGTAAGTTTTGCATTTTTTTTTTTTTTATATTTGTGTATATTTGCAGTCTACTTTATAAGCTTTGTATTTATTTTTGTTTCCCAAATTACATGTACCTTCTTTGATTTAAAGTAGACAACCCAATACATTGTAGTGTTAATGAAACATAAAAACTTGAAATATGAAAAACAGAATATGAACCGGTCATGATTTTTCCTATGTTATGACAAGATATTGTATATCTTGATTAAGATTGTGCAAAGAGTCGATCAACAATTGTGATTTTACATTTAATGACAGCTAACATTTTACAGGGCTTTAATTTCTTTCCTGTTATTTTGTATAAGTTCTCCAAGCAAGCAATATAAAAATAGAATGTTTCATAAACAAACAGTTCTTTAATTTCCTTCATACCTCCATTACATATAGGTTTTAATGATACCAAAAATTGTGTTTTATTGTTATTTGTCCATTCGAAAAGTTATACCCTAACATCATGATGTCTTCCATTTAAATGCATATGTCTTCAGAAATGAATAGTTGATTATGAAAAGTGTTTTATTCTTGTAAGTTCATTTTTCAGAACTTTATTTTTTTTAAATCATTTTTTGGGGGAGAATATATGCCATATCAATTATATTTGTCCAATGTTCTTGGATAATCTGAGCAATGGTAAACCATTTCACTGCAACACAATTATAGCCATAGCAAATTTTAAATGAATATTTGAAGTACTTGTGTAAGCATTGTGATGCGTTATTCTATCAGGAACATGTAATGTAAAGTATAGTTAAAGGATTATGATGTAAATAAATATATGATCAAATTCATATGCCTGTACAGTCTTATCATTACAGATATGTATTAAAAATATACAAGTCTATGCCAGCATTAGTCATTTACCTCTACTGGTATATGATTTTTTTTTAAATTATTTTTTCAATGATCACCGGAATTACTTTTCCAGTGTAGGCTTGTAAATTATACATTCTTTGCAAAAGAATCTTAAAATAAAAAAAGTTTTAAAACAGATGAAAGGGGGAAAATTAAATATTTTATTTCTTCAATCAAAGTTGGTATAATACTGTACATCAAAACCATATTGTCTGTTGGTTGTCAGAAGGGCATTTACTTGTATCATTCTTCGTAGCATTTAGACAACTACTCTAAAAGAAAGCAGAAAAATCAGAGGACCAAACTGACCAAAGTTTTAATTAAATTTGACTAAATATAAGAAGGTTATGAATTTTCGAAAGTTGTAATCACTATACGTATGGGCACTTCAAATTGGCTGAAGCAGTAATGTCAATGTGATGTAGTGCCGGACTACTTTCCCATCTGTTCCATCATATAAAATGACTACAATTTAAATTTTTCAAAAATTTCATGGCTCAAGAGGGTCTATTCTTTTTAGAGGACCTATAATAATATGCTATCTACAATATATTCTGAGTACTGGTAGAGCCTCAAGGGAGAAGGAACTTTTGAGAAAAATAGAAATTAATGATATTTTTTAGACTGCAAATGGGAGATTTATCCACGTCCTACGTCACAATCCACTTTCTTACTAATTGTCTGATTTATTGCAAACTTTTGCCATTCTGTTTCTGTTATTTTTCTTTCATACATGTATATCTACTTATAACAAGGGTTGGATTGCCTTTTAATACTCTTCTGGCTCTTAGCGAGGTATCTGAATCTTCACACCAACGTGGAATGTTGGTGAACCAAAGAAACAAATATAATTTAGTTTATGACAAGTAGAGAGAAAGTATTTTCCTTCATAACTCTACATTGAGGTTTATTTTATCACACATTTTGCAACAAATATCTAACTTCATCCTGAAACTTAACACTATACCTGATCCTACCATATCCCAATTGCAACCCCAACCCTAGACTACACTTAAATCTTTGATGAAATAAAGCCAGCAGCAAATATGATTAAGAGCCAAAATATTGATGTCCTTTGCCCTGACCATGCCTTGACCATGCCTTGACCCTGCTATAACAATGCTTTGACCATAGTGCAGAATACTGAATCTGCAGGATTCAACATACAGTATAGTTTATCAGCATATTCATCAGTACATTTATGAGAAAGTTGGGACAGGGCACATCAGGAGTTGTGAGAACAAGAATATTACCTCAGTATTGTTACACATAATTTTTCTTCAATTCAGTTCTTAACATTTTGAGACTGAGATCATACTACAGTATGGCTATTCAGGGGGGGGGGGGGGTATTGGTGAAGTTTCACTCTACCAACTCGATGCACTAAGCTAGTAAAGTACAAAATTACCATATATTCTTATTCTATGTACAATTTTCTTTGAACAAGGAAAACACTTATCACACTACATGAATACCGGTGCAATCTTTGAGTAAAATTATTGATTTGAGAAGAAGAAACAGAAAAGAAAAACAAGATCAAATCAGTAATAGAAATATGATATGAGGTAATCATACATATTTGCAACATATAATTCAAATTTTAAATTAGAAGGTCAACCAACAAAATGATGATTATTACATTTCTATAAATGCATGTATATTGTACAGTAACAAATGTGTTCATATATCCAAAGTGCACATCTTATCAGAAGCATTTACAGGACTAAACTTCACTCCAAGGCTACTATGTTAGTCCAATGTGAAAGTCTACATGTTTCTTTCAGTTCTTCACTTCAGCATCAAATGAGTCATCCAAAATATCCTCACATTTCTCACATGAGAGTTTGGAGGATCTCATCTGTTGAACAAGTCCTGGGTTGAATTGGGTAGCCAGGTCCACTTGCAAGAGTTGACAACGTACTGCAAGGTGATCAAATACGGGGATTGCAATTTTGCGTTAACTCTTTACTCACAAGATGCAGAGTAAGTGCATGTGGTATGTTGACATTGATTTTCATAGAATGATGTTGGGGAATACACAGAATACTCTGTACTACTGAGTTGATAAAGAAAAAAAGAAAAGAAAAATAAAACAAATAATAATTTTATTAATTCAATTGCTCACCGTGGATAAAAGTAGAAGAGCCCCCCCCCCCCCACCCCCAAAAAAGAGTTCAATTTCCTGCTTTTCTTGTTTTTCATTAAGCGCAAAGCTCTACATAGAGGTTCAAACATATACAGAAAATAACTCATTGGGGGTAGGTCTACTCACAGATGTCAGCCATGAGTTGCTGTCTGACAGAGTCCAACTCGGCAGAGAGCTTTTCTAAGCCCTGCATTTCTTTCTGGTAATCAAATTCCCCTTCACTGCTCTTCCCGTCTGGCATCCCATAGCTTGTAGCAGGCATGTCCTTTGGAACAAAGAAAACAGAGGAAGCAATTCATAGGAAAGAGTAAGTATAATCAGCCAATTGTCTTTATCATTGGTCCTTACCTCCCAAGTATCATCTAAATTAGTTGCATTACCAAAGAAAAGAGGAAACTGTAGCTTCTGAAACAGGTTTTGTGTAGAATTTGGTTATATATATAAGGTAAACATTTCAATATGTACATTAGTCTTTGGCATTCATGCCTGATGACGCCCCCTATTGATATCTGGTAATTACCAAACCAGTCTCTGGTTTTATACTCCTATAGTGAATTTGAATCAGACATGCATATAGTGCAAACTTGTCAACGCTGATGTTATTGTTTATTGTCTTATTTGAAAAGTATCAAGTTTTATCTTTTTTTTCATAAAGGGGACAATATTTAGGGTCAAGTCTTCAAATGTATAAAGCCTAGCCTATATAATAAGGACTGTTAAATTATTATCTGTTAAATTTTTGTGTTCAAAAGATAATATTTTGACTTTATGAATCCCAAATCTTTCATCATATACAATACCAATTCAATCTACCCATTTCTCCAGATAGACTTAGATCTACATCTAATAATATGTTCCTCATAAAATGAAGAATATGAGAAGTAGATCTAGAATAAAATAATGTATTAAAGAAAATTAAAAATACATGCCTGCAATGTTTTTGATATGGGCTCTCCTGAAAGCATGAACCTGCAAAAGAAAATAAAAAAAATTGTAGTTAAAAAACAAAAACAACAAACAAGTAGGCTTCTACTAGTTCTACCAGACTATAGGCAGCAGCAACACAAAAAGTAATACATAAAATCACACACTCATGGTAAAACTAACACAAATGTTAATGTAGCATATCTTAGTCATTTAGATTAAAGTTTAAACATAATTAAAGTTAGCTGTTATTGTTAAGTTATTGAAGAAATGACGAGTCATACAAATTACAAGACTCTATCTGGGTATGGGGAACATCAATCTGGAATGATAACAAATTTGAATCTTACTCTTAGACCTAAAACGCCCAAGGGGCGCTAGAATCTACTGCAGTTCCGTAAAAAAATTGGGCTAAAATTCCTTTGCTAAGAATGGATATGAAACTGCTAAAAAAAATGGATACGGAACTGCAGTAGCGCCAAACAAGGCTAGGTCTAGATAGCTTTGACCCAGTACAACTAAGCCTGCCCCAACCCAAGTTCTGCCCTGTCTAAAAGTAAAACTTAAAAGTAAGTTCTGCAATTCTTGCCAAGCCCAAGTTTGTTTCGCCTTTCGAGATATGTTCCACCATCTGACTGTAGTCTGTAGACTTTCTGCTTTCACCAAATCCCTGCTTAAACTAGAGCCTCAAACTCAAAAGTCAAAAGATGATAAAAACTTTCTCGAATAATTTTCCGTCTCATCTAGTTGAGTCTATCTAAAGAAGATGTGAAGTTACATTCAATGCAAATAATACACAGTAGTCTAGACCCTATTGCTGACTGGACCCCACCCAAGACCACGGCAGCCTTAGGCTTAGATCTAGCCAAAGCCAACGGCAGCCGAACGGCAGTAAATAAAAGAGGAAAATTTCAGTTTCGGCTAAACTCACTTCTTGCTCTCGTCGTGCTGCTCTGAATTTAAATCTCCACATGACCAAATGGATTCGGGCATTCCGGTTCGTGAAGATGTATTTTCAAACAATTCTCTAATGCCGTTCCCTTTGTCTGTCATATCTTGTGTTGTTGCCTGGGAAATCGATGTCAGAATTCCGTTGTCTACTTTGTTCGCCAACGCCATTATTATCAATTTGTTATGCAAATCTAGGAATGCACACACGTCACACGCGCGCATATATTGAATACGCGCACCACATTCGCAAAGCAAAGAAATCGGAAAGTTTTGTCACGAATACATGAATAAATAAATGAATCGACCAATCAGTTGGTCAATCACATAGATCTATATCCATTAACATTAAAAAAAAAATTCACGTTTCTTTTTTTTTACAAAAATTAATTTTTCTCCATCCTCTCTATTTTTCACCCTCCTCTGGCTTCCCCTCTTTTTTAAAATCTCTCCCGCATCTCTCCCAATCTTTCTCTCTCTCTCTCTCTCTCTCCCATCTCCTCTTTCTACATCTTCTCTATATTTCACTTTCTCTCCCCTTCCACCCCTTTTACTCTGTTTCCTTCTCCTCTGCTACTTTTACACCTCAGCATGTTATACAAAATGAAGAATGGACTGGTCGACATTCCTTTGTATGACTATGTACAACCGAATCCCAGAGAAACCAGGGGGAACAACCAGAAGTTCCTACAACTTCGCCACAAAGCTAGAGCCTACCAGGATTCCTTTCTTGTGTCAACCATCAAGGACTGGAATAACCTCCCAACCTCCATAGTAAACAGCCCATCGTTAACCACTTTTAAGAACAATTTACTTAAACATTCCCAATAATTTGATTTGAGTCAACCCACACACAGCGTGCTCTGTCTACAAATACGTTAGCGTGGATGTGTCTGGAAAGGACATTTTGCTGACCAAATCATACAGATACAGATCTTGAGGGCATCCTATAAAAATATCACCTTACCATATTTAACTAATGATCTCAATACCATTTTATAGGTAAAATTCCTTAGATTAAATTCTTATAAAGACATATCAACGAACCCAGAAACAGAATATTGTACGCAACTGAAAGAGATTTATTATCAAGTATCAGGCTGAAGTCATTTAAAAAAAATTGTTACAATGTCAAATGATATTCATATATTTACACATTTACAATTACTTTCAAACATAAGGTCCAACAATATGCAGTTTGGTCTATTTGGACTTGGTGCATAGTTGCAATACATTCTTTTAATACAAAAACCAATGTTGCTTGATCTCTCAAGCAAAACATGCATGACTAATATTTACGTTCAACTCAGTTGAAAAGCATAAACATATACAAAGAAGAAAGAGCACATCTCATGTTGAAAAGAATATGATTATAAGTGTTTTCCAACATTCAAGGCTAAAGCGGGAATGAAGATATGCTGCTACAGTTAACTCTGCATAACTCCAAGTTGCACAAGTCAATTATTCCTTAAGTCAAATCAATTTTCCGACCAAACTGTGCTAAACATTTATTTACACCAATTATGCAGAAATTTTGCACACGTCTCAACAGATTCAACTTCTGCAGAGTTGACTGTATTTTTGCCATATATAGAGAATTGTTTGGAATTTAAACATTCAGCAATCTTTTTGAGACTTTGTTTATCAAACAGAAATTCAATCTCATCAAGAACCATATGGGACACGTGGAACACGTGGAACAGTTGTAAAAATAAACAAAATATGATATCTTCCCTAAATTGTAGAAACACAAATGATACCTAGGGGGGAAAAAAACCCATCTTGTCCTGCAACATGAACATACATACTGTATGCTACCTCTTAAATCATCACATGGCCATGAGATATATCTGATGAACTTCAGGCAAACATTTGTTTGGAAGACAGCACAGCTAATTTACCCTTTTTAGTTGTACACAAAATAAATACATCACAAATATGTTGTTTTTTGCTTGTGCCAATTCAAGTTTCTAGTACAGCCACAGGCTTCTTTCCACATTATGATTACGGGCATAAAAAATAGGAATAGCAAAGTCCATACTTTGAACAATTACCGTAATTCTAAAATTATCAAGGGGTAGGGGGGGGGGGGGAGCATTTCCCCCTGTGCTGTATACAAATAGAAAATAATTCCACCATCCGAATACAATGCTTTCCCAAAGAGCTAGAGAGGTCACTTTAACATTAATATGAATATTGCAATTTATAAACAAATAGTATTAACAGAAACAAATATAGAATGCTTGAGAGAAAAAAAATATGTATGAACATGGATTATACAGACAAAGAAGAAATTACCTGTGCTGGAGTATCCAGACAAACAAACAATAAATTTGTCTCCTTTTTTGTGCGACGCCAAACAAATAATGATGAAAAAAATGTGTGTATGAATTCAATGTCCATAAACAAGTTCCTGCAACATATCCTCAATTTAATGTCCTTGTTTGAAATAAAATATACAAAAAATAAAAATCCCTTCTTTGAAATGATCATCGTGACGATGGTGGTTTGTATCTCTCCCAGTGCCTGTGATTAAGATGACTAAAATCATCCAGAGGTGCGATATCACGAAGGTACTTGGCCAGTCTCATCAACTCTTTGTCATGGTACCTGTTCTTATAGGCCTCCCGGAAAGGGCGGATCTGGAAATAAGGGTGTATATGCGAGAATAAAATGTCATTACACAAAGGTTCGACATGACAAAGTCATAAAAAAGGAGGAAGAAATGGAAAAATATGAATATTGAGATGAAGGCTGTGCTCAAAATTTCACCATGACTCACGTTCTAATGAAATTTACTAGTTTGGGGGCTTGGGTGGTTATGAACTTGAGTATGTCCCTAGTGGAGTAAAAAGATGAAAAATGTGTTGCTTCTAAAGATGTCATGGGGAAGAAAATTTAAACGTATAATTCAGAAGTATATTTCACATATACTTCCATTACATCTCCACATTTTGGTGCATGAATATGAAAAAATTATATTACTCCTAAGAAATCTTGAAGAAGAAAAAGAATAAAGGCAACGGAGGAAAAAGGGGGGGCCAGACGAAGAAGAGAAGCAGCAATATCAGAAGTAGCAGTAGCAGTAGTAGTATTAGTAGAAGCTAGGAAGAAGTAGCATGTGATGTAGTAATGTGGTTGTTGTTGATGATAACTGATAATTAAAGAGAAAAAAGGACAAGACAACAATCATTACAAATACATTTTGCCCTTACCTTGAGGCCATTTTGTGGATTCATCAAGAAGTTCCTCCGTAGATCGTCAAACATGATGGTGTTCTTGGGGTTGTATTGCTCATATTTGCCCCAGATAACACCCAGAGGTTTAGTCTGAAAATTGAAAAAGATTAACAGTCAACAGATTTTTTAATTTTAAATAGGGAAGCTGGAATTAAACAATTGTTTCTCCATAACCCATTGAATGCTATGCTATACGTACATCAAAATGTATACAACAGAGTAAAGGAGATATATTGAGTGACTAGCAAATGCCAAGATGTTGATTTGACAAGTAATATATATACCCATTAATTAGAAGCTTTCATATTCACTATGAGATCATGAGATTGGTTACCATTTTGTAGAATAAACGAGATAGAAATAGAGAGAGAGGGAGGAAGGAGGTGGGGGGGGGGGAGACGGGGAGAGAGGATACAGAATGAGAAAAAAAAGAAAAGGGATATGAGTAGGGGGAGTAAGGAGGGAGAGAGCGAGAGAGAGAGTTTAACTGTAAAGCCTAAAATCTTTTATAAATAAGAGATATACAAAAATACTCAATAACTGTTGTTTCCATACCTCAATTATACCATATTTCTGAGTGTGTATAGTGATGCAAGCTCTGCTGTCTACCATGAATGCTAATTTGTAGTTTGGATTATCAGCAACTCCAAGTTCTCTCATCTTCACGTCAATCCATTTCATATTGGTGGCAGCTGTACCAAAGTGAAAATGAAGAGGAAGCAATATTTATATTATACAAAAATCTATCAAAAGCTACATTGAACTTTTACAAATCTAACAATAATATTTCCATGTAAGCCTATGTACACTTTTGTTAAGGGCATCAACAATTTCATCGTAATTCTGTGATTGCTGTGCAATTTGACAATTCTTTCAGATATTTTGCGCTGAATTTATAGAAAGCCATTGACAATACATCAAAATATATGACACATATAGCTTTTGATACAAGTAGAGACTATATTTAGCAAGTTTCATTCCAATTTTCTTCTTGCTACCATTACTGTTCATAATCTGTACACTTTTTTTAAAACTTACACCAGATGGCAATATCATAATCCTCATAGGCTGATGTAAGGAATTCATGTAGATTAGGTCTCATCAACTCCAAGGCATTCTCAGCAACAGATCGGTGATCTAAGCAAAGGACAGAAAACAATCATAATCACAAGTAATATATATATCACAGAAGAGAGAGACATTTGTGCAAATGGAAAATCAAACTAAAATGGTTCACAAACCATCTTTATACAGGTGAATGTTTTGACCAGAAATGCCTAGTCCAGAGAAAAAACAAAAAATGTTAATTCATGATGTTATTATATAAAGTAACTACCTAATACTTTTCTTATCCATTTATCAACATCTATCAACATTTTTGGATTTTAGATCAATGTCTTGAATATGCCTGGGCTTACAAATGCCTCTGATTTTTTATTTTCTGTTGAACATCGACATACATCGTTTGAGTTTCTCTCAAGGCATTTGTATTAGGTATGTATTATTCAATAGGTCATGATTGAGAGTTCAGGCTATATCTTTCACTGGCTTTGCTTTATACTGCATCTTTAACTTATACAGTCAAACCTGTCTTAGTGGCCACCTGTATTTGCTCCCTCTAAGAGGAAACATGTATTGAAGAATCTGCTTATAAAGGCCACCTGTCTAGAGTGGTCACCTAATATGTTTCCTTTGGGTGGCCTTAATAGACAAGTATGATGACTATACATAATTTTTATGTAATGCAGCTTACCAAAGAAAGTGTAATCCACATCTAGAACAAGGAGTTTCTTTCCCGGCCTGGACTCATTCACTACTTTGATCTCGTATTCCTTGACCCGCCGCTCCACTTTCTGCAAGTACTCCTCCCTGTTTAGAATCAATTCACAGTTTTACTTATGATTCAATCTTTTAAGATTGAAAAGATGATTAGTGAATCTTTATATTATGACAAAATACTGAATACATCACAAATTTCATGGAGCAGAGAATCAAATGCATAGCACCTGACAATTGAATAATACTGTAAAATTATATTTTTCATAGTCATGAAGTTGTCAGTAGAACATAACACTAATATTGGCAGGCTTCAAATAGATTTTCTGCTATGATTCCCTACTCTCAAAATGACTCTAATTTAAAAATCTTTCTTCATCCCACTTTGCTATTGTAATGCTATTCATGTAGTATATTGAATCTGAATGTTTAATATGCTCCTTGCTGGAAAATCTTGCCCTCGTTTGGGGAAGAAGGAACGGATCTTATTTCTTACTTCCCACTTGCACTAAACATCTAGCATTTATATTTTATATCTCATTTGGAGATTAAGCTTAAAGAGACGGTTGAGTTCTGGGAAGAGGTAAAAAATAATTTGTGAGCGTTATCATTGTTATTATGCAAGAGTGGAAGAACATCAGATTGAACATGTTCCCTGAAAAGCATGGCTCTTCAAATGCCTTCATATTCTAAATATGACATGAAAAATCGTAAAAATCGGGGGGTAGGTTTTTTCGCCATTTGCTCGTGTAGTCCCATATACATCATTCTGTGTACAGTGCTTGTAACTTTGCCAAGATTTGGCCAAATTTCTTATCATTTTGATGAATCCAGAACCTTGCAATACACACGAATACTTATATACTAGATGATCAACCTCTCTGATAGATTCCACACCGTTTCTTTCACAATGCAATCACATGACCAGAACTCAACTTTATCTTTAAGCCTTTATAGTGCTAAAATTGATCCTGCATCCTAAGCCCACTGGTCTTATGTCCACATATCACTCTCCAATGCTATTTTATAGATGGAAAGACAAATAGGATGAGAAACTTTGATTTTAGAAAATTCATCTTTTGAATGTAACTAACTCACTGACCTTCTTTCTGTTGACACTTCTTCATCTTCAATGTCAAAGTCATCCACCACCTCGCCGATGTCAGTTGGCTTGGCATTGGCTGCGATGATCGTCTCCTCTCGAGTCCCCATCATCATGATCTTCGTGTTGGGTTTGATGTTGAGGGCACATAGTTGGACGTCGTCTCCTGGCGGTTTGCCTTCAAATATCAAATTATGTAAGAAAATCCATTAGAACTATAATTATTAGACCTTGAAATATTTACTAATACTACTCTGTAGTCATTGTAATCGACTAGTTGTAACTTTTGAAGGAACCAATTCAATAAAATCTCTGGCGTTCTCTGCTAACTTTGGTCACCCAATTATACACACAGTAGACTAGTACTGTACTAGTTGAAGGGACATACATTTTGTATTTGGTTTGCTCACCCACTCACCACAAAGAACTTTGCGCATTGAGTGCTGTACAGTGAGTTTACGCGCTTCCATTTGCCGATCTGCTCGAGTGGCTTCAAATTTAAGTGAGAGAGGGCCTACTTAACTTAAGCGCAACTTAACTTCAGTGGCAATTTTGATATGTCATATTTTTAAAAGGTGACGCACACATGAAATTGCACACACATAAAATAAAAAAATCAACAAACATTTCAGAAAAAATTTCCAGTTTGGACCTTAAATATGACAAAAATGAGAATTGTTCAAACTTGAAAAATAGTTATGTAAGACTTAAACTTAAGGAAAATAACCTTTTTAGGATGCTGAAAAAATCGTAACAAATAGAGGGTTTACTGCATCATAATTTTGGTATCGGATCAAACAGAAATTCGCAAGCTTTCTCCTTGCACCACTATCTTATAAGTATATTGAGTGAACGGAAGCCAGCGATAGCCAATAAGAAGGGCCCTTGTCGGAGATTGGATGAACGTTATGCGCATGCGCTAAAGAAATGTAGAGGTCTTCTTACCTAAACTTAAGTTTTATGTGGTCACTGTCTAGTCTTTGAATTAGAACTTTGACTCTTGAGGCTGTCTTGACTTTGTATTTGTTTTACGTTTTATTTTATCGAAATCACAATGACACAGTTTTGCGACCATCTTTTAGATTCATTAATTTAGGCCTTATCTCATTCACACTGTACACACACGTTTGCGTGCTAAGTCTATGGAGGTGGATCGAAGCCCCCCACACGCAGACGCAATAAAGCCAGCTGTGTAAAGAAAAAAGAGGCGACCCAGATCACGATAATCATAATGCTGAACAAGCGCCACACTTTTTATTAAACAGTGCTGCGGAGGCCGGAGGCCAGAGCTCGAGTGACAAGGGCAGTTCACGGCCGCCCGCGGGCCTGGCCAGAGGTTCTGCTAGCTGGGCCTGCGCGCTGAGCCAGCGCTGGGTTGCGCGATTGCATAATTTTATAAACAACAATTGATCTATTCTAGGCCTACCTTTAAACTTCAATCCAAGAATTTTCTGCCGTTGTGGTAATACCCCAGTTTTCTCATGAATTGCTTCTTTTAAATATTTCACGGTATCGGTACCAGTAACTTCTGTGAATTCATATTCTTGACCGCTCCACTTAACAATGAGCTTCATGGGCGCTGCCATCTTGGAATATGAATGAGACAAATGTATCAGTTTGTAAATTCTAAATTTAAATAATTTTTAATTAGTATATCTCATATAAGTAATTAACAAATATTTTAAGTCAAAATTAATATTTTTTAAATTTTATTTTGACTATTAAATGACATGATAAGTCTAATATTTTCTTCACTTAAACTGGAATCAGTGTCCCTGCCACTAAATCCTGCATAACGGCCACATCCAGCTGAGCTTATGTACATGTCTGCTGCATTAGTGGAGGGTGTGTACAGTGCTACATGTACATGTACCTCGGCGCTAATTTAGTGCAGGTGAAGTGCAGCGCCAGCCATAAACTACGATTTAGGACGAGATAACATCCGGAGAAAATAATGGAGTCCCAAATTCAGCAACAACCCACCAGCGGAAGGGGCCAAGGGCAAGCAGAAGCCAAGAAAGATGTGGTAAGCATAATTTAAGGAAGGACCAGAAAAGAACAACAAATAAAAACAAAACAAACCAAGGAAAACCGATTTAATTTACAATAAAAATGGAATTTGAATTGAATTGGTTTTGTCTTTTGTTTGTTTAGATCTAGATCTACATTGTTTTGAATGAAAGTTAAATTGTCAACTCAAATGAATGAATGCATGAATGAAATGTAAATTGATGTGAACTGGATGCCAATGGTATAATTGGGACTCTTGGCAGTAGACCCTACTTTTGATTTTAAATAAGAAAGTTGTTGATAATAATCATGATAATATTGTCACATCCAGAAAAACTATTATTGTCATGTGTCGTAGAAAACCAAACATTTCTGTCTTTTATTGGTTAGCCTCTTAATGGGGAGGGTCGCGAAACGGCTCCTCTGACCCTACCCAAATAAGACTTAAGAGGCTAACAAATGAAAGCGACAAAAATCTTCGGTCTAGTGACAAGTGTCGTAGAGGCTTGAGCCAACTTAGACTGAAAATTTCTGTCTCTTTCGTTCGTTAACCTCTGATTTGGATAGGATCGGCTTGTCTTTTTCGTTCGTTAGCCTCTGATTTGGGTAGGGTTGGCTCCTCTAGCCTCTGATTTGGGTAGGTCGGCTCGTCTAAAGAGGAGGAGTCGACCCTACCGAAATCAGAGGCTAAAGAACGAAAGAGACAGAAATTTTCGGTCTAGAGCCAACTCAGTTGGTGCACATATTTGTGTGAATACCGTATTTGCCGGCGTAAAGGCTGCAGTATTTTTGGAAGAGAAAATATCAAAAAGTCGGGGTGCGGCCTATGCGGCGAAAGAGTAAAAATTTTTTTAAAAAGTATATCAAAACCAACACGATTTTGCACATATGGGACTAGATCTACGAACGGTACAATAACTATACATTTCCACACATCTTACCGACAATTTTATCTTGCATTGTTGACATGAAGACGAAAATAAACTTCCAAAAACAACATCTGCCGATAGATCTTGATCTAAGTTCGTGCCAATGCATTGCAAAAGTAAAAGAAGGGCCCGTTTAACGGAGCTGCCGCGAAGCATCTAGCTCGCGAAGTCGCTATTTTGAATCCATTTCAATACTTAAGAGAGAGGTGCAATGTATACATCACAGAAAACTCCATATGCTAGCATCAATGCGGCATGGCCGAGCGGTCTAAGGCGCTGATTTTAGTCACATCAACATTTAAACGCAAGAGATCAAATCCCGACTTCGACAATTTTTTTTTTTTTTTTTTTTTTTTTTTTAAACGTCAAAATCGGGGGTGCGGCCTTATCGCCGGTAAATACGGTAGGCAGGAATTTATTGCTGATGGAATTGGAATGAATATGCATGATTTTTATAGAAAGGAGTTGCAGGTTAAAAAAGGACACATTTTTAGCTGTCTTGCCTGTTAATGTTACCATGGATATTCACAAAATCATGAATAAAATTGAGAAGATAATGGTACTTGGAAAACAGAGGTTACAGAAGTGTGAAGACCAAGAGGAACTTTAGGTACAAGGGCAATCACTTCTAAATTCTTCAAAAGAGCACTTTGTAAGAGTTCGGAGAGGCACATGCAGCGACATTTTTTTTAAAAGATCTCCTCAAGTTAATATTACCTTTTATTACCAAATGATTATGTTCAAAATTAGTAGCTCACAGTATAGTATGAAAGACATTTGAAAAATTATGGAAACATGAATGTTTAAGTTTGCACAATTGAGCAATTGCGTAGAAAAATCATTAAGATGAGAATCTTGAAAAAGTCAAATTTTGTACATCTACTTGTACATGTATGCAGTGCTGAAAGGTGTACTCCCAGGAAGAAATACCGGTATTAAATATTGATTGATATGTCTGAAATTGCCCCTATACTAGGGATGTCACATGTTACACATGTAGTTTTTAAAAACAGGCATGTTTTAGTACGAAGGGGACATACCGGTATTTCTTCCAACCTTTTCTACTAAAGTACACAACAAAATTTGAAACAGTGAAAAGGTGCTTGTTTGATCTTTGAAAAGTGGCACTGTAAATTTTCATTTCATTTAATTTATTTTCATATTTCTCATAAACATACATATATTTCAAATGAAGTACAATTTTTTTTTCTTTTCAATAACACATAATAATAACAAAGATAAGTGGTCAATATGAATTTTTGATTTAACTAAGAGAAATATGCCTGTGAACATAGGCGTGTTTACCCTTGCTGCATTCAACTCTTCTATCATTTCATAGTATTGGTAGGGGTGCCTGTTCGTAAAGCCTACATGTAGAGCTGCTCCAATTCTTAAGAGTTCTAGATCTTTATCAGACTTTAGAGTGGGTTTTTTTTACCTGATTTACCTTGATTTACCTTGATGTTTGGCTTCAAGTATAATTACTTATATGCCCCTCTGCAGCAGGATTAATGTCTGTATGTACTGGGGATTGCACCCACGTCGGAGCTTCGGTCAATGCAATAGCAAGGAAACATTTCTTTAGTACATGTACATATTTAGCTCTCCATGCTTTTTCCAGGTTGGATTTGAATGAGTTTACAGATGGGCTATCAATTACATAAGCTGGAAGCGCATTCCATAAATTGACGACTCGTTGTGAAAACGATCCCATTCGGATAGAAGTGAAGGCTCTAACTTTCGATAGTTTGAAGTTGTGTTATTATTAAAAATAGGGCAAGTACATTGGAAAGAGGAACATATAAGAAGTGAAAATGGGCTCTGATTGGAAATGAATAGGGCACTTTTTGATTACCTACAGAAGAAAAATGGAAGGGGGCGATGAGTCCTGAGGAAAGTCTCCCCAAAACATAGCACTTTCCTTTGAGGAAAATTCATAGTTTCTGTAATGTATTTCTTACATAAAGCTCCAATTAACAGTAACAACAACAAGAACGACAAAAAAGTACAGTTTGCTTCCATGAATGTAAAGAAAAGTCAGAGTTTCTTTATAGCTTAAAGAAGAACAGAAACATATGATACTACATGTATCTATATGTACAAGCACTTGGTATTTGGTTGGGTAATCCCTTTGGCAGCTCACTCAGGAAGCTATACTGGGAAAAGGACATATGTTCCGGTATATACATTGTATATGAATTTACTTTCTTATTTGTAAATAAACATGTTATGAAGTTTGTCATAAGGTAGATCCAGTACAGTCTAAAGTAAAACAGGTGCACATCCTATCCAGCCTGTAAGGATACCTCTAACTGCATGCATGCTATTTTTATTCAGGCAGGAAATTGTTGATTATTATCATCATTTACATCCTAAACTGCAAAATTCTTTAGGTCTAGCCTTTGTCCTTGATATCCCTTGAGCGCATGTTTTACGGAACAATACACTATTTCAGAAAAAACCAAGGTTCTTATTTTAAAGATAATTTGTTTACTCTACTGTCGAATCCACTTGACATCCAGTGCTCAAGGTGCACATGTAAAGAAAAAAAAAAGAAAAAAGAGAGAGATTACATAAAAGTATCTGCATTGTAAATAAAGGATAGTCCATACAAAAATGACAGAACAATTGATTATATGCCGAATTAAACAGAAATGTTACAGATTATTTCAAACACAATATTTTACAAGAACATATTATAGCCTTGTTGTCTCTAGATTTAGAACATGTAAAATATACTGTGATAGAAACATGATCTCGTCATAAAAAATGTTCAAAACCAGTCCAAACAGAATACAAAAACAAAAGATTGATTGCCGATTAATTTTACAACTTTACCTACATAATATATACACTTGAACATTGTGGCATTCCTTGATCTCCTAAAGATGCTTAAATACCTTGTGAGTTAATTCATAATAAAATTAGTATGTTGTCTGGATACATGTACTGTATGTCCTTCAATGTTTTTGCTTTGTCTAGTATACCTTTTGTGGTGCATTTCCCTGCTAATCCAGGGAGTTTACCTACAGTCATTTTGTACCAGTAAAATTAGTAATAATAAGATTTGCAATCATATATCCAGTTATACACTGTGCCTGGTTCAAGTCTTGAACAATGTAACATGATCATGTGAAACCTGCGCAAATGTGTTCGTATCCGACTCTCACTTGGGGGACCCTCGCTGTACTGCTTAGCGAACCACATCCTGCTATGCTTGGCGTACCTCCTGTCAAGCGTAAGGAAAGCCAGGGTGTACCAGGGTGTATGATGATTAGTCATGACTCCATAGTACAGTCTGTGCTTTATAATACAACACTCTTTAATACAGGCAGCTTTAAAGGGGAAGTCCACCCGGATATCTTTCTTTCAACAAAAGCAGAAAAATTAGAGAAAGAATTTAGTGAAAGCTGGAGCAATATCTGATTGCAAAAGAAAGGAAAGTTTTGAATTGTTGAAGTTGTCATCAGTGAAATACAAATTGGCAACACTGACGTATCTTGCAAGCTATTCTCCAATTTGCTTTGTGCAGAATATTTCATCAATTTTTCATTTCGTACAGTGGTTGTACAAAAAGATATTTGTCATAATATAGGCCTTTTTGTAGGGTGAATGAATGATAGAATATTTCTTAAAGGGATCCGGTAACTTTGTCTCAGATTCTGAAACAAAATCCTGGATTTAGCTCATGATACAATGATAATTATAAACCTTTAGGTCAGTCAGGAACCCCATGACTTTTACAAGCCGATCGCCTGTCTGATTATCAAGATATTTATGATTGGAATTACAAATTTTGAAAACCGTTCGCCTGACGGTTTTCATAACACTAGGCCTACAGTCTATTGGGGAAAATGAGTATGGTAAAACCGGTCACTCAAGGATTTTTTACTTTTTTGAGGCACTTCTTGATCATTTTGAAGCGCAGTTTTTTTAGGGCTTCAATATTACACCATATCACAGACACTGATAACACGTAGGGCCGTGTATCTCAGATTTAACGTTGTTAAACGATCCCTTTAAATTAAGGCAATAGAGAAATATTAACCATGCAGTCAATGAACATACATGTAGTAATGATATACATGATTTAACTTTAACTTTGCTCCAGTTTCTCCCTTTCTCTTTGGAATGTACTTCTTCATGTATATAGTATACTGTAGTAAAGTAATACATGTAATGGCTTTTTAAAACACCAAATCACATTTTAGAAAAGACATTTTTACATGGCGAATGCACTGTAAATGTACACGTTGGTACAAATCAGGTGTCTCCGTTGTGTGGGCATACTGCTATATTATGGACCTATCCAGCACACACTCTCTGTGTTTAACTCACAGTAAACACCACTGTATTGTCTGTTAGTCAATATAACTCAGACAGTGTTTGTATACTTCCTGTGTATCAAGTCGGTTTTTGTTTTACAATATTTGTTTTTTTCAAAGCGTTTATTTGTTTAGTATCACAGAATAATTTCTCATTACGTATCTTCATACTTTGTTTGTGGTTTAATGATTGATAATTTAAAAAAGAGAACATTTCCTTTTTAAACAAAGGTAGTAAATTCTAAAAACAGTTTAATCTTTAAATATATTATTTCCAGTTCCCTCTCTATAAATTCAACTCAACTCCGATCATTATACCAGTCTGCATGCCAGTCTGTCTTCACAAGTTCACAACACCTTTTGGGGCTATCTTGCACACTGTGAGACATGCAATGCTGCCATCTAGTGGTTCTATTTGGAAACTTTGCTAGAACTATCAGGGGCCCTTCTTGAAGTTCTTGTGGTAGGTCCATGCTAGAACTATGTCAGGAGTCTACTCTAAATGTCAATTTTTACTCCTAATATGGACATTCCAGATAAATCAACTATTCAATGTACATTATTTGCATGTTAAGTTGCAGCTTTCTACAAATATCAATATTCCTATCCCCATCTAGGATCTTACATAAATGTCTTTGACAGAATATTTGGACCAGAGTGTGATATATGATTGATGATTATCTGCTATGAATAGCTTTTATCCCGAATACACATCTAAAACAATGTAGTAAATCGGCCAGATATAGTCATTTTTTTTTCTTCTTCAAACTGTTGTTTTACATGTCACATTTTGCTTTTAAAACTACCATTAGTACCCTGACAGTGCTTTCTTTCCATCATGCATACTACTATGATAATACAATGCTGCCACCTATAGTGCTGGGACCGTGCAATGCCAAAATATAATGCATTTAATTCTAGTACACAATTGAAATTCACTGTACAGTACAAACATTACATAGGAATATGACTTGCACTCAACCAGGAATCCTAGAAGTTAGTGGGAAAAGAACCGATTTCCACATACAAACTTGGAAATGATGTAGATTTAGCTTGGCTTTTAATATTTTAGAGCATTGCTCATTAACAACAAGTTATTTTCAAAATCGTGTTTCAGTTGAAAATGATATTTTTGCAAAAATCCAAAGTGCCTTTTACATACATTATAAGTTTAGCAAGTTGTATATCATCAGAAGATCAAGTAGACAGATTGGATTGACTAACACATCACATGACACCTGATGAAGGTAACAACAGAGCTGGAACACTCAAGTTTGGTAGCAATCTGAAGTATGACGACAGTTAGTTCCCTGACTGGCTCTTTCGTTTCTGTGTCATACTTAGCCACAACATAGCACTCCAAAGGGAAGTGAAAAACAACAGGGGAGAAAGTTTGAATACTGTTACTCACTCAACAACGGCACGGAGGCCATCCCTTTCCCCCGTCTCTTTGCTTGTCACCCATGGTGAGAAAGTGTGTCGTTCTCCAATTCTGCTGCTGGTAGAGACGACCGAGCGAGTAAGTGATTCCTTGAAGTTAACAGAAGAACTCTGAGAGCCAAGGAGCTGTGTCTGTGCAAGCTTGCATCATGGAGTGTGTCCGCAAGGATGGGACTCTTTAGTGACATCGACCGTGTCAAGCACGACCGCAGAGCATGGACATGAGATCCAGGAAATTAAACTTGGCAATCAACAGACAAAATCTACTGATCAAGCTGAACACCAACCAACCAACCTGGCTTGCTACAGTTACAGTGTATACAGCGCTCGAAAACTTTTGTTTCCTGCACTGCGGATTTCCTCTTAAAGGATACACTACATTTTCCTGTCCTGAACCATTAAAGTTATAGGAAAAGTATTTTGGAGTGGGTGGGGGTGAAGGCTCATGAAGTTTGACTGCGCCATTCTAATCAGTGTTTTTATGTGATCCAGCAGTTGGCAACTTCCTGGCGCTGATCTTTATCTCGTTGATGTCCCTCGGTCAATGCATTGGTTGGTTGTATTTTCCTGTGTACATGTACATGTACATGTACAATGTAGTTGGAACAATTGTATCCTGCCCATGCTCTAGAGTAGACTTGAGAACAATCACGCTAGAGATTCAACGTCATATCAGTTCTTGACATCATCCATGCGTAGACAAACTTGAGTCGTGTTTCTACGAAGATCTGTGGATAGTGTTTTGTGTCCTTTTGGATCAGACGTTTGGAGAAACCACGGCCTATGAAATGGATTAGTGGATTAATTAATGGGATTATCCATGTTGATTGTTTTTGTTGATGTGGTTTACACAACAGGATGGAAATTATGCTGTGGAGTAGTATAGAGTCGGTCATAATCAAATTTGTTTAGGGTCTTTTTATTGTACAACTTTCATAATACAAGGCACCTCCTAGTGGCAATTTACGGTGCCCCCTGTAAATGTGCTGGTAGGCATTGGAACACTTGCTGGTCCGGAATACCCTTTAGGTCAACTATTAAATGTGTAATACTTATGAGAGGATATCATGGGCCGTAGCCTTGTTCATATATGTTCATGGATTAATCTGGATATCATTTGATTTCATAAGAGCTCTGAGTCGTCTCTTCCCTGCTTACATTACTCTTTAATAGAGTGCATTTATTTTGGAAATGTACATGAATGTTGATAATATCATAGATTTCTGTAGTCATCAATGATCACCAATGATCGAAGTTGCCAAGAGAGAAATTATAATCTGAGTGGAAATCCATGTTGAAGTTCATTAATTGCTCCATTGTAAGCGAGTCAAAGAGGAGCAGTGTTCCATACCGTAAGATTTAACTTTTCAAATAACCGGTCATCAAGTGAATCAAAATGGAGGAGGATTCTACCCCAAACCGGAGCAGCCAGAGTTTCAAGAACAAACAGCTGAATCGCTTATCGGGCGTCTTCAGGCCCATGTCCAAGAGCAGACCGGCCAGTATAGGAAGCTCGGGTCTCTTCCGCAAGCCCAGCTTCACTGGACATTTCTCCGGCCGTGTAAGCAGCAGCAGTAGCAGTAGTAGCAGCGGAGTGAGTAGCGGTAGCAGTGGTGTTAGCAGCGGTGGCAGCGGTGGGATATTGAGCAGTGGGGGGAGCAGCAGTATGTGGTCGTCATTGCGGGAGAGTACCAAGAAGAGGCAGGCCCCGTCCCCTCCTGACCATCCAGGGGGATCCCCTAGTAGGAGAGCAGGAAACAGGTCCTCTGGGTACAGGCCCGTCTTGAGGGTGGTTAAAACCAAACCAAGACTAAAAGGTTTGGTAAGGCTATTAAATCATTACTCTGACTATCCAAAAGCAAACAACATTGTATCTTTCTTGCTGCCTGCTCTATCACTCATTCATTCACGATTTCACTCATTTGGGTTTATTGAAAGAAAATTTGTTCCCAAAAAACATTACAACAGTCCAAAGATTGATACATACAAAGACTACGTAGTTGCATTGTTCATATTTTATTATATAAAAGAATCCAATGAATTCAACAAAATTGACAAGAAACAAAAATGGAGGTTAGAAATGAAGAGTAATTGTTTAACATATTTCACTTGGTAATAAACATCAAACAAATCTCGAATTATAAAATAAAGAGAGAAAAGGATAAATGAAAAAGGACAAGCTTGGGAAGATGGCAGAGAAAAGATAGAGGAAGAGAAGGGTTGTGTTGAGAAAAGGAAATAAGTGTGCCATTTCATTTGCTCATAGTTTACATTTGGAATGTTAGTACATTCACATAAATTAGCATTTAATACTTGGGTATTTTATTGCAGATATAAATAGATGTAATGTGTCAGTTGAAAAGTAAAATTGTGATAATCACAATGAAAAAGATACCGGCACTGATGATTTTAGCTTGAAACTATAAAAACATATTGTGTAAGTAACAAAAACAGATAAAACAGGCAGAAGGAGAATAAGATTACTTCCATGATTTAAAAAAAATAGGTTCACAAAAATACTAAACCTTTAATGGAGTGAAGGTGCAAATGAAGTACAGTACCTGGCATTAGAAAAACAAAGAGAATCAAAGATATTGAAACAGAGGACGAAGGATATTCAAAATTATAAAAGAACAACATTGGGTAAAGTAAATGAAAAAAAAGGAAAACATATAGAAACAAAGAGAGTAAAAAGAAAAGAAAAACTAGAGAGGAGAGAGGAAATGGAAAGAAAGATATAATCAGAGAAGGAAAAGGAGAGGGAAGAAGAGGGGGAGAGAAGAAGTTTATTGGTAAATAAACAGGAGAAAAAATATATTTAGCAGTGAGATAGTGACAGGTAAACAAGAGAAAGAAAGGCGATGGATATAGATTTAACATACAATTGTGTAAGTAAATAATCTATGAGGTAACATTACATGTTTGATTATTATAAAATGATAAACGGGGCAACTAAGATCCGTTTTCAAATGTCCAAACTGCTACGAAAAATCTGCACATTATGGACATCAGCTCCATCTTCTCTTTAAAAAATAAAAAAAAATTGTTATATATGCCTCTGTCCACCAAATTTGGTCTTGGCTCTTTTTTTCTTCTGATTCTGATGTTATAGATGAACTATGCTGATTTTGCTGACTTTTCATTATATCATCCTTTACATTTCTACTCACTTTAGCATTCTGTTTCATTTTATCTCTTAAAGGGATCCAGTAACGTTGTCTCAGATTCTAAAACAAAATCCTGGATTTAGCTCATGCTGCAATGATGATTATAAACCTTTAGGTCAGTCAGGAACCCCATGACTTTTACAAGCCAATCACAAGTCTGATTATCAAGATATTTATGATTTGAAATCAAACCAAATTTTGCGTTTGCCAAACAGTTTTCATAACACTACAGTCTATTGGCGAAAACGAGTCACTCAAAGATTTTTACTTTTTTGAGGCACCTCTTCATCATTCTGAAGCGCAATTTTTTTTTTTAGGGCTTCAATATTACACCATATCACAAACACTGATAACACATAGGGCAGTGCATCTCAGATTTAACATTGTTAAACGATGCCTTTAAATAATTAATTGATAAATACATTTGTTTTCTTTCTTTTCCATTTCAGTCAGGAACTGGGCTGTTGATGTCTGTCATCAGGACACTCTCTGCAAGGTGAGTTGATCATTCTATTTAACATTTTTAGTGAATTATGCTTGAATCTATTTCAAAATGCTGGAGAAAAAAAAGTGGTGTAGTTATTCTAATTTTTATTCAGCCTGCGAGATTTATCCCTGAAAGAATTAAGTCAAATATTAATGGTCCAATGCAATCTACATGTACATAACAGGACCTGTGCTCCAATAAAAACAAAAGATTTGGAGTTTCCTATCCTTACTAGATCATTTTGGAAGAAAAATGGTTAAATCTTTGAATTTGTACTGAACTATTATTTTAGCCCTCAAATCTGGCCTCTCTTGACAGGTCAATATTTGTGGACCTGTTGCAATTATATATATAGGCAGGGGGGCTGTTGCAAGATAATTGGTGAACTTGGATTCTTGGGATGAGTCCCTTTGTTACTAGTATTCATTGCATCTGTTATTCCACTTTATATTAAGCAGCAGTTGAGCACAAAACTAGTTTATGCCTGTGTTTCTAAACAGTACATGAGAAATCTCCTTGTATATTTTGTTAATTAAAGGCTATTATTGATCCATCACCAACGTGTCATGAAACAGTGCTGTACTCTACAGTGTACAGTATACATTTCATGTGTTGAGGATGTATATTAAAGTGTTTATTTATTATTTAGGTCATGTCATTGAAGTCACCAATCATTAATTATTTTTAACGATGAATCATTTTTGTTTTCCCATTTCTTGCCTCCGTATGATAGTGAGGATGAGCAGCAGAGGGGTGTAGAGAAAGCGAGGCTAGAGAAGGCATACAGGGAGTGTGACAGGAAACTTGACAAGCTTATCACAGGTGGGTCTATCACAACCAAAGAGTTTCCTCTTCTTGGCTGTCCTCCAGTCTACCTTTATGGCCCGAATTCACAAAGGAGGTTTAAATTTAACGCATGGTTTAAACCCTCATTTACATAACCCATGGTCTAAAATTAGCGCAAAATAAGCGTGACACAAGTCAGAGGTCCAATAATAGACGAGTGCAAGCCTGCAAGGCAAGGTTCGCCTCAATTTGCGCTTATGTTAAACCATGGGTTAAATTTAAACCTCCTTTGTGAATTCAGGCCTAAATGTCTGTCATCCATAGTCTATGTTCTAAACTATGTTTGGACTATCCCAAACAAAACTTTCCTCTCTTTAACCTCTGTCTTCTATATTTCAAACTTTAAATGTCTGTCTTTGTTAGTCTATATTCTGAACTATGTTTGGACTATCCCAACCAAGAGTTTCCTTTCTTATGTCTTTCCTCTGTAGTCTACCTTTCAAACTCACTTGTAACCTGCATGTGGGTTTATATGAAACTTGACAAGCTTTTTACATGTGGTTCTACCACAACTGAAGAGTTTCCTTCTTATGTCTGTCAAACCTAGTCTACATTTCAAACTTGGTGCGGGTCCAGTATTATAGGTTCCTTGTATTATCTATAGTTTGCCTCCCAAACTCATGTGTGATGTGGGTTTAGGGGAAACTTGACAAGTTTATCACAAGGGGGTGTATCACAACCAATGAGTTTCCTCCTTGTGTCTGTCTTTCCTTGTCTACACTTCAAACTTGATACATGGATGTGTCTTTCTTGTCTGTCAGTTGTAGTCTACCCTCCAAACAAACTTGTTACATAGGTTTACAGGAAAAGGTTTATCACATGTGGGTTTCCTGCTCATATTGTCTTCCCTGGCCTACCTTCCAGACTTGGTGTAGCCCTAGCACAACGAAAGACAACTTTCTGATGTCTGTATTCTTTAATCTGCTTGCCAATTAAGATAGAAATCATTTTATACTTAATAAGACATGTTTAGTTTTTGGACTTGTCTAGCTAGACCAGACCAGAGCAGACATACCATGTGTTGTGGTGTTATGAATGAGAAGCACAGATACCCTGCCATTATTGAACAGATAGAACGGGAAGAGCAGAATTGATGATTGAATTTGAATTTGGTCTCTCCTTTCTATTCTAAGGCATCCAAATAATGTGTAAATTCATGGTACAACTTTGTCAGATATACATGTGTTGCAGAATATAATGAACTTTTGTATTTAGTGTGACTCTGATTCACAGTAGGCCATGATCAAGAAGAGTAGCTTTTGATCCCCTCTGGACCATTGTAGGACTAATCCAATCTCACATGTTTTTTGAGGCTCACAAGTGTTTCATAGTAAAGATGCTGTGGTCTAGTGTGCAAGTCACTGGACTGTACATCACGAGGTACAGGGTTCAAGTCCCAGCCCTGCACTAACATCCTTTGGCAAGACATTGATCTACATTTGCTACTCTCCACCAAGGTGTAAATGGTTACCTAATATGCTTGAGTGTTAGTTACTTAGGTGGCTCGGCTTTAACCCACTTAATGATGTCTAAGCGCCATGAGTGTCACTACGTGATGGATACAAGTGCTATATAATTGGCCATTATTAATATTTATCAGTAGGTACATGTAAGATCTGCATCACACATGCGTGCTTAGAATGGCTTCAGGTTAACTCAAGGGCCCATAATTTAATCTTCAGCAATAATCAAATTATTTCATATTGTATTTTGTCTCCTAATGGTACTCCAAGAAAATATGTTGAAAAAAGAAAGAAAAAAAAAAGGAGCTACCAAATAATAACAAACAGATACGGTAAATGAATCATAAAAAATGATGTAACCACTAATGAGATGTGAAAGGATAATTCTTTTAAAAAGGTATTTTGACATAAAAATCCTGCAAGCCCTTCTTTTAAATGTGGCTATTAATATACTTAATACACCTTAATACACCTTTCATGTTCTTTCCCTTGAAGTTGTCAAAGTCTAAATCCTTTAGCTGTTACATCCATCCATCAGAATCAACTACAGATTTATCAGATCCTGACTACCGGTACCGTAAAAATAAAAGAGTGCAACAGTCACCTTCAACCGGTGTTATTTTAGGTTCCTGGTTGTGACTAATTTGGCATTTCCATCCATGATTGTTGCCATGGTGATTTAGGATAGACAACAATGTTACCTAGGCAAGAGGATGCTCAGATGTGCAGGGTTTTTGAATGCATGTTCAGTAGAGGAGTTATGATCCAGTTCAGTCATGTACTATGTTAATGACGTACAGAAATTTCCTCAGGACGGGACGATTTGCCAGGTGAAAATCGGGAGGAAAGGGTTGGTGGATAAGAACATGAGATTAGCTAGGTGTTTTAACATGGAAAACATGAGTCTTGAAACCACTTCTGTAGTGAAGGCATTTTCTTTAGTAAGAAATATGAAGAGAAAAATGAGCGAAATAATGTGGGCTTGATGACTAGTCAGTTAATAAGCTTTGAATTTGATTAAAGCGTTACTTCTCCATTGAAAAAAGTAACATAAGAAGGTGGTTGCAATTTTACAGAACAATATAACAAAACCCTGGCATAACATGAAATAATTCATTAAAGAAATTTCTAGCTGTATTGCATTTTGATTTTTTTAGAGAGACTTTAACAACGAAAATTGAGTGCCTTTTAATCCTTTGGTCACAAGAATGTTAAACTCGGCATATAGATGGCAAAGTTACTTATTGGTACACTCGTTACACTTGTACATGAATGTTTAGAGGGTTCATTTCATGGAATCTTATCACAAGTAGTTTATCAACTTTCAACTTCGTAGTCTTTTTTCCATTTTCACTTCGACATTAGGGGCTCATTATCTGTCAGTCTTGTTAACAGAGAGATTTCCTGATAATTGTATTTATGAATAGATCTGCCTTCTTTCATTGAAAATGCTTATGTGTTTCACTCTTATTGTTATATTCACGCTTTAGGAGATTAGTTTTGAAAGCATCAAGAGTATTTCATCTTGTCTTAAAGGGAAACAAAACCTTCATACTAAGTTACTTTTATTGTAAGGTGTAAGATATTTGAAAAATATCAGTGAAAATTTTGAACAAAATCGGGCAAGGAATAAGAAAGTTAGAGCTTTTTGAAATGACTAGTCACTAGAGGGCGGTATTCAATTTGATGACATCATCTTTGGACAACTCTCCATACCTTTTGTACATCAAATTTCATGTTTGTCCCTCTTTCTTGTGATTGAGATAATGTACTCCCCTGAAAGCAAGGTATAGAATGCAAAATGATATTCTACTTCACATGTTATGAAGTCGGATCAAGAACACAAATAAATACGAAGAAAACGAAAAAATGGTGAAATTTTCTGTACAAAAGGCATGGAGAGTTGTCCACAGATGATGTCATCAAATTGAATACCGCCCTCTAGTGACTAGTCATTTCAAAAAGCTCTAACTTCCTTATTCCTTGCCCGATTTTGTTCAAATTTTCACTGATTTTATTTAAATCTTTTAAACTTTACAATAAAAGTAACTTAGTATGAAGGTTTTGGTTCCCTTTAAGTTCTTCAATGAGTGTTCCAATGTCATAGTAAAAGGTATCGTTTGTAAACCAGAGAAAAGTGCTTCAGTGACAACAAACCAGTGATTTCCATAAACTGATCTTCTCCTGTCACGTGAAGAACATTGAAAGCAAGCTAAATCTCTGTCACTCATTGAAACCATGTTATGAAACCCAATCTAGCAACCTTCCATTGACATGACGATGAACCTAGAAGAAAAACAACAAACAGCGCTTGGTTTCCCTGTTGCTACAGGATTAATCACAAGTCTCATCCTGCAGATTATTAGCTTGTTCAGATTATATGAAACTCGTGTAAAGAAATTTCGTATATGTATAGAATCATTGTATCTACATGTACATGTATAGCAAAAGGGGCATACAGACTAGATTAAATCATCGTGCAAAGAAACGTTATATTAATAGTTCATGTATTATTAGTTATGAATAGGTCAGATGACCTGACAGCTGGCCAATCCTCAGTGCCTGCTCACGATAAACCCCACCTAGTTATACAATTTTTGTACGATGCAACGTTCAGTCTAAAACTGGACCCTGATTCTCTGTCAAGCTTTTACTTTGAAACAATGCTCAATCATGCATTCCGCTAAGCGGCTATATACGAGATTCTAGAAATATGGAAATTACCTAGATACATTTAGATATACAAATCATGTGTAGTGATACAATGAATTGTGCTAGTCTGAACAGGAGGGTTAATCACAAACCTCATCCTGTAGATTAAGAGATTCACCCTTTGAGCCGGGATTCTAATCAGTATATCTCCCCAGATAGCAACCTCATAGTGTGTCTTCTCAATCAAGCAATCAATTATAAACAATGACAGATGACAGAAGAAATCATTTGATTAATACATGTACATACACAACATGTACTTGTTCATTTATATTGTGCTTTCTTGTGTAGTGCACCGCAATCTTTAGGAAGATAATGAAATTGATATATTATAGAATAAAGAGACATTTAGGTTAAACATGGGATGATATTGTGACTTTTCTGATTAGAGCAAGAAAGGTATAAACTCCTGTAATATGAATTATATGGGTATGATAAGTATTAACAAGTGGCTCTAAACAGATAATTAAATAAGGTGTACATGTATGTGTCTTTATGCACGTTGAGTTTTGAACCAAGAGTAAACTATCCCTAAGCTATGATCAGTAACTAGAAATAAAACAGAGAATCTATAAGAAATTTCAAAGTATTTACAAACTACCTTAATGCATACTTCACATATCAACATATCGTAGGATTTAATCTTGACTGTCAAATATCTCTATATTTTTCTTCAAATGTTTTGATTTGTGTCCTATGCATTTTTAACACAATAATGATCTACACCTACATCTTGCTTTGGCATGATTTTGAATTGAATTTCATCTTTATAAACGAATAGTCCAAAAATACAATCATCATATTTTTTATTATTGTCCATTTCTTTCTCATTGCATAGAAACTGTATCACAAGCCCTTACTCTGTTAAAAGCTGGGGGGGGGGGGGGATCATGCTTAAGCTATAATGAATTCAGAGTGCCAAGGTTAAGCACTTATGAATGGAATTATAAGGAAATAGATAACCGTGCCAGAGGATATCCTTACAAGAAATTCAATGCACAATCACTCTTAAAGGGACTGGTTAGCATTGAAAATGTTTTCAAGGTTCCAACAGGATAGGCTAGTTAGACAGTGTTTAAAATGTTCTTGCTAGCTAGGTTCTTACTTGATTATTGATATGTCAGTAGGTTTATCAGTGTTTTCATGGAAGTGAAATTAAATAACTGGTTTATTGCTTGATCTGATGTTTGATGATCGATGATCGTTTTACCTGACTGCTAAGATGTACATGTTCATGTATATATGCTTGTAAGTGAGCAACCAGGGGACCAACGGCTTTGAGATCTCTCTGTGGGACTTGGTAATGAGGATTAAACTAAAGCCTTACCAAAGTGACCGAGTGCCTTGACTTGGTTTCAAACCAAGGACCTGCCAGTTATGAGACCACTGCTCTACCGCTACTCACTGAACCATTCTGCCTCCTCAATCTAATCTAATGACAGTGAAAGCCATACTGTAAAACTAGAAACTTTTGTGAAAAGTTTTCAAGATGTCTATTTCATGGCAAGAAACTTATGCAAATTGCAAGAAAAAAGACTACTGTTAGGTCAAGTTCTTAGAGACTACTTGGGGAACACATAGACTTTATTCTCTCATCCTTTAAAATTGGCTTTAGAGTTAAGACTGAGCTTAGACCATTGTTAAGTTTTACATTCTAGTAAAATACAGGCTCATGATTAAGATTGTTTTCGGAAGTAAGACATTATTTTTCTAGGATTGGCTTGTACACGTACATGGGAGTGAGTTGAAGATGAGCTGTCCCATTCTAATTGACCAGATTTGATTTGGGGTTTATCAGACAGGAATTATTTCCTTCCTCTTTCAGCCAGGGTCAGTTCCTCTGCAGTAGATGTATATCCGATCTATCCTATGAAATTAAATTGTATGCTACAGTGTACATGTACATCAGGTCATACAAAGCATCTAAACAACATGGGTACCATATAAGTTGGACCCTGCCCCAGTTATGATATTGAACTGAATGTTATATTAGAAGTTACAATATTTGCATGCTTGTTAGTTAAACCATATCTTCCAGTTATAACTCCATGGAGTGACAATATAATTATGATGATAATGATGTAGTATTAGTAGTAGTATATAGAATAACTTCTTTAGCACAAGGCTAGTCTGCCACAAGATCAATTAATAGTGATAATAGAGATTATGATGATGATAATGATATTATTATTTCTTTCATTAATAAAGATTATTTTCTTTAGCAAATAGTAAATAAGAACCTCTCTTCATATGCTACTAAGTGCAAGTTCAATACCTTCAATACATCATACAGTAGTAGTACATGTATATAGAATAACTTCTTTAGCACAAGGCTAGTCTGCCACACGATCAATTAATAGTGATAATAGAGATGATGATGATAATGATATTATTATTTCTATCGTAAATAAAGATTATTTTCTTTAGCAAATAGTAAATAAGAACCTCTCGTCATATGCTACAAAGTGAAAGTTCAATACCTTCAATACATCATACATCCAGTGATTAATGTCACATGCTTATCATGTGATATTCACTTAAAATTAGTTACAGATACATATTGGGGGGAGAGAGAGAGCAAGAGAGAGAGAGAGAGAGAGAGAGAGAGAGAGAGAGAGAAACAGAGAGAGACAAAGATGGACACGTGGGAAGATAAAGATAGAAAGGAGCAGAGGGCCACACTGTAAAAAAAAAAGAACTGTGACCCCAGTTTGGAAATCAGCCACTAGATCTCAGGATGTGGTTTTATGGCAGAGAAGGGATACCACTCCCAGATAAAGTGTCAAAGTGTTGCACCTCTCTTCAGACAGCTATGCCAATATTAGCTGGGGTCACACAAGAAGTCCAGAAACTAAGTTCAGCTCTTGGTTTTAAACATTAAAGGTTATCTTGTAGGGCCATGCTGACACACTAATGGTTTAAAAAAAATGAACAGTTTACTCAAAGTTTTAAACCACGGTGAATGATATCATCGTTGATTAAAAAAGTATGAAGCAGCGGGGGGTTCTCACTTGAAGTTTTATCCGTGCCCTCTCAATTAACTTTGAGGTTTCGGCGGCTTTTAGTTTATAACTTCAAACACTTGTGTGAGCCTTCATCGTTGTTAGAGGTTTGTTGTTTAGAAACTGTAATATTTTACTAACTTTAATTCTAAAACTACTATGATGCCTCGTGAACACAGTCACAATCAGTCATAGATCAGCACTGTCTTTGAACCAGCAGAGTCACGATAGGTAGGTCAGGCATGCACCTATACAAATATGACTCATGATCCTACATCATTATCCTCACAGAGGCAAGAAATAAATGTGTACATCCAAATTTCATTTCTAGGCTTTAAACTGTCTCACCTTGTCTTGTACTTTCCTCTAGTTCTTCAGTATATCCAATTCAATCAATTTTTTCAAAATTCAACAACGCTGACTGATATATTTTTTTTAAATGCCTATATCTTCAATGTCTCCATTTCCTTCAATTTCTTCAATATTTGGTAAAACAGTGTAATATGCAAGTCAGAATGATGTAAATGAGTAATATCAAACTTTCTTGGAAGGAACTGTGAAACATCCATCTCCTAGTCTTCGAACACACATTGTCCAATGTTCAACATAGGGTGCGTTTATTGACCAATTTTTTGCCATGTGTGTTTAGTTGACCTCCGAGAAACTGTCTGCTTCCCGGGTCAAACGGCGCAAAGCAGCTGCGCAGAGACAAGGCCTTTATTTTGAATCGTGAAGAGACGATAAACGCGACATCCCACAAATCACGTTTGTATAGTGGGGTTCGATATGTACATATCTAGTGGCAAGATACGATAAGCGCACCCATAGTCAGGTTTGTTCATTGTAAATGATGTACATCATAAATTGCGTAAGATGACTGTAGTTGTAATATTATTCAGTTCTTGTAAGCACAATTCACAGTTAATAACTACATGTATGTCTCTATGCGCTTCCAAGGAGTGTTTAGCTGCCATGATGAAGGTGCTTATGCATACATTACATTGAATGATATAAATTATCACATTGCCTCATTTGTGTAATTGTATTTAGTTCAATGATAATTATGTTTCCTCAAAATTTGAGCAAAATATTACTCTCCTTGATGATTAACCGGAAATGTCTGCCTCCTTATCCCCCGTCTCGTTTTTGTAGTTAACTACGACACCCTGACCAAGACCATCCAGGCATACAGCAGCATCTCAGGGCGCATCAAGAACGCACGGGAGAGGACCAAACTCGTCAAGACTGATCTTCTCTCATGCAAGGAACTCCTCCACTGCAGAAGGGACGAGCTACGCAAGCTATGGCTGGAGGGGATAGAACAGAAGCAAGTCCTGGCACTACTAGACCAGATGTAAGAAGACTTGTTAGAAGAGGTTGATAGGAGATTTTGATAATGCAACTATTAACAGGAGGTTTCTGTAGTTCTATTTAATAAGGAAATATATATATCAGATGGGTCAATGCAAGAAATTATTGAATTAAAAAAAAAATTGTAGTTAATGGAATTGCTGTTAGAATATTATGAAATTCACGTAATTTCATTGTCACAATATTAGAGGAATTAAACAACATACTTAGGTTTAGTTTCAGGAATCATTTTAGACATAACACATTCAAACTACCGAAGTAGCAGTTCATCATTTCACTTTTACAAATAATTTAAGGCTCCCCTTACTTTTGGAACAAGAACTCTAGCATTACAATGATAACAGGTGCAATGAAAAAAAAAAAAATTTAAGTGTTCCCATTTTAAGCTTCAGTTGAGGGGGAAGGAAACGATTTCAGCCTGTATTATGCCAACGCTCTGTGACAAGTGTAGGCAGTGAGAGAGTTTGACGTCATATGTGTAAACAGACCTAGTTCAACAGCACTCTTCCTCATGTCAAATTTGCCTCCCCCTCTTTTATCTCTCTCTCTCTCTCTCTCTTTCCCTCTCTCTCTGTCTCTTTCTCTTCTCTGTCTCTCTTCTCTATCTCCTTCTCTCCTCTTTCTACTCTCGCAATCTCTCTCTCCATCTCTCTTTTTCTCTCTCAATCTCTCTCTCTCGCTCTTTCTCTCTCTATCTCTCTTTTTCCCTTTCTCACTCTTTCCCGTTGTCCTACTTCCCCTTTATCTCTCTCTCTCTTTGTCTCATGTCACTTGATCTCCCCTCTCTCTCATGCTCTTTCTCTCCCTCTCCCTCTCCCTCTCTTTTAATTTCACCCCCCCCCCTCCACTCTTCCTCCCTCTCCTTATTCTATTTTCCTATTTCTTGATCTCAATCTTTCCTCTGCTCTATCACTCTTTTCTCTCTATCCTGTTCTATCCTGCTCTCCCTTTCTCTCTAAGGAAATGACGCATCTAGTAAATAACGTCAATGGACTTACGTTTATTTCCATTAGTGTGGTTAGGAGAGAATATTTTGCAAAAATAAAGCCATTTTAAAGCCCTTTCTTTAGTGAATTTATGATGACAAAAATGTCATTCTATGATTTGTAATAAATTATAAAAAACATATATTTGGTTAAACAATTTAATCCCTCTTTGTACAAAATTATGTTTTTCAAGTCATGATACATTTATACAGATTTTGGGGGAATATACAAATGTACATGTATTAGCTTCTTTACAAAGCTCTCAATTTAGCAATATACAGGGTGTATATCAAGTTTCCCCCGTAAGTACCCAAGCAAGTTCTCTTTTCATTATTACAAGTAAAGTAACTTTAAAATACAGGCTGTGAAATTCTCTGGAAAACAACCAGATACTAAGCCCAAATAAGGTTTTCCTTCGGATTGTCAGTTGTAAGTCATCTTAATTCTAGTGATCTCTTTAAATATTAGATTGTTTCCTCTTTTTGCTCAGCTTGAGTATCCATTACCACAAATTGTGTCAGCAATTTTGCAAGAGGAATTCTTCAATAAACCATGAGTCACGGTAGTATTTTTTCAGCAAAAGGGGGTAAAATGAGAACTAGGGGGGGGGGGGGAGTAACCTCATCAGGAAAGAGAATGTTGAGTTCTAGTAAATATGAACAGTAATTTGTATTTAAAGTCTTTTTGTTAATGTGAAAGGTTTTTATCATAGAAAAGTGTCTTTAAGTGCCCTCATATTCTAAATATGATAAGAAAGAGCTGAAAGGATTGGACTATAAACATTCATGCATACATGTGGCCCCATGTACCCATTTCTGTGTGCAGTGCTGGCTAGAGTTACAGAGCTCGATCGGGCTCTCCGTGACTTGTTACGTCAAAAGTTGTGGTCAGTGAAATCAAAATTATATATTGGGGGAGGGGTACCGTGGAAGTTCTGCTTCACATTTGAAATCTTTGTACTCGTGCCAAACTTCCGATCTGAACTTGGCCAGGTCATGGATCTTGTAATGGAAAGACAGGCATGCAATGACATCTAATGGCGTCAAATTAATTGAGGATTCATCAGAATGATTGGTTTTGTATAGATCAAGTTATTCATCCTTGCACAGACCGGCTGAGACCTGTTAACCCATTCGGTACTAGATGGTTTTCTGATAATACATGTCTGTTTGTTAAAGCCCCACTGCGCTACTTATAGCTACTTGCGCCCTCTATATAGCAAACAATGCCTAATCGGTGCCTGTTGGTCCCCCATGATCCCCTTTTTCTTATGTTAATTTAGAGCTGGTTTGATGAGATAACCACCTGTCAGTGATCTTGCAGGGAGGTCTAATCCCCCTGGCCAAACTAGTGCAGACAGGCTTTAAATAAAATGTAATGGTAATATCTATAGGATAAACGATCAGAGCTTGGGTTGGGTTCCAATTCAAATTTAGGGTAATACCTTGAGGAACAGGGTTGAAATTGTTGCTAGAGCATGTGCCATACAATGACCAACCAAAAATTGTAATGAGTTCCGTAAACCTTACGGTCTTTACAGGTCATTGTCAAGTGTTTGTGAAACATTTTCTCACCAGGAAAAACATTGATCATTTACACAACTATTAATAGAGATGGACTTTCAAGTGTGTCTCGTTGGTGGGGGGGGGGGGGGTGGGGAGGGGTAAATGAAGTGCAACATAAAATTGATTTTCATTCTAAAATATTCTCTTTTAGTACACTATTACAGTGATAAACTGCAAGTTGGGTAATATATCTCCTTTTGCAATGGATAATAATGGGACGTTGCCTACATGTAAACACTAGATGAAGGCCTATGGCGTACCAGCAAACTGACAATACACATGACATAAAAGAGTTTGGGTAATTGCCAAAGGAGAAAGCCTTACAGGGACAAGCCAAGCTTGATACTTAAAGGTCACAGTCAACAATATTGAAAGATTTTGTTGTGGTTAAATTTATTTTTAAATGCTATGTTGGAGGGGGAAAAAATGATTTTCAAAATTTTAACATCATTTATGACATTGAAAGAGAAATTTTGCTCTTCTCAGAAATCAAAATACATACACTTATATGTTTATCAGTTTGATGATTACACACCGTTTACATTTGTACATTGTTATTTTAATAGCACAACTGTCGGTTTAGGAAGTTTCTTTCTATCACAAACTTGAAAGGAGCACACAAATACATGCATATAATGGAAATAAGGTTTGTTAATTAATGTCAATATCGCATGCACATTTTAAAGATTAAGACAACAATGTCCATGTTGACAATAACCCATATTTTCATGTTTTGTAAGACTGAAGTTCTACCAAATGGACTAACACTTGAGGTGGAAGACAGCATCTTAGATTCTTGATGCTCTCAGAACTTGATTTCATTACTCTTTAGAATCTAGAATGCATACCCGGTATGATGACGTCAAGATACATCTGTCATTGCTGAGTCCATGCCAATTCTGTTAGAAATGAATATTCCTTTGAGAATCACTTTCCGACTTCACACAGACAATTCCTTGATGCTGTTCTTTCAGCAGACATACACATCCTCAGGAAGTTGTATTCTACATATGAATTCATGTTGGAAGTGATACTCCCTTGCCTAAAGCGGTGCCATTGAGAGGTGCCATTGAGAAGTTGGCTATGACGATAGTTCAAATAACAGCTTTTGCTTTTTACTCCTTGATGACATGTTGACTTTTTAGAACATCAAAAAGAGTGAAGTCATTCCATGCATCATACTACGAAAAATTCATGAGGTCTGTAGGAATGATTATAAAGGACAGTTTTGCCAATGATTATGTAAGGCATTATGTAGCATCATTTGCTTTTCTCCTGTAAAAGATATTCAGAGTCTAGGTAGGCTGTCCAGTAACAATCATCCATGTTCCCCATCAACTGTCAGAATCACCATGACCAAGATCTTGTTTTGGGAAGAGATTTTATAATTTTGATTATAAAAATAAGTTCATTTATTTTCTGTAAAGGAAATCGGTTGTTATAAGTTTTTGCAAATGGCAACATGATTTTTCCCTTTTTTCCTTCATTAATATTCTTTTGACATGACATGACATGTAATATCTTCATAGTTCATACCAGAGAGCTTATGATTGACATGTTGTATATAAATAAAGTTGAATCAAGTCTTTATATTACTGACATTATTTCAGCCCATTTAGTACAACATTTGAGTGCAACTTCTCTCTGTTTACATTCAATCTATCTGCAGTGAAGATGTAAAGAGTGTCTTAGCACGCTTAGCCATATTCCTTGCCAACAAGCACAGCGTACATGCCCTTGAGCTTATGACCACTATGTTGTAGATGGATGAGAAAATGTTGTTAGCATTAAAGCCCGCTGCACTATTTTGGCCAGTGGGATTAGACCTCCCTGCATGGTCACTGACATGTGGTTATCTCATCAAATCAGCTCTCAATTAACATAAGTTAAAAGGGATCATGGGGGACCAATGGTCACTGTTTAGGCATTGCTTTTCTATATAGAGGGCGCAAGTAGCTATAAGTAGTGCAGTGGGGCTTTATTTTGATATTATTTTGTGCCATAGAAAATTACTTTACTATAACTCTCTTTCTCTGTTTTATCTACAGTGAAGATGTAAAGAGTGTCTCAGCACGCCTAGCCACATTCCTTGCCAACAAGCACTACCTCCATGCCACGGAGCTCGTGACCAAGACCATGGGCCAGCTGGACGGGGACCTCAAGGGAGTCGAGGCCCTCAGTGAGACCAGGATAGAGATGTTTGCCAGGAAAGATGTAAGTCGGCAGTACAGTCACAGAGGTCTAAAATCCATGGTTTCCCCAGAGGAATGTGATGTACAAAGCTGAAAAGACAATTTAGATTAATTAGAGTAATTTTTAGTGCATTGTAATTTTAGTTACACTGGTCTTCTAGAACCAACATTTCAGTTCAGGAAGATTTATTTGTAATCGTCAAAGGTCAGAACTTTGTAAGAAGTCTTTAATCACAGAATGTACTCCTTGAAGTTTAGATATTATTCAAACAAATCAGCTACACAACCTGAAATAGCATGCAATTGATTGAAATTCAATTTTAAGACTCATGAAAAACCATGAGTTATAATAAAGAGGCCTCTGGTATTGCAAATAGCTAAAACCAGCTGGGTAACAACAATGGAGGACTCTAAAGCAGTCTGTATAGACAGGTTTCACTGTATGATAACGATGATCCTATCATGAATATTAATCACCCTCCTCTTGCTCTCAAATCTTCAGCAACTCAACACAACCCTCCTGAAGGAGCTCAGGGAGCACCTCTATGAGAAGTCGGCCACCACATTCCAAACAAACTTCAGCCGCGGAGGATCCCTTCGAGGCTCGGGAGGGATCAGCGGAGAAGTATCGCCCAAGTTGTCACGGAAACAGGCCCTCATCGAGATGGCAGGGTCAGCCAGGAAAGCTGCATCTAAAACACCAAGAAGTATGTATATCTTTCATTTGGTGTGTTATTGCATTGTACATCAAGGCCTTACAAAGAGTTAATATTAATCACAACTTATTTGCGATCGATATCAATCGCAACTATGTACATAAGGGATAGGGGGCTGCAAACTTACGATTGATTAGAGGACTTGGACTTACGATTGATTTGGATCAATTGCAATTCTTTATAAGACGGGGGCCCAGGACTCTTGTGAGTGCATTAAGCTTTGATACATCCAGTGTAAGAGTCTGAGACAACTACACCCTTGCGAAATACACCAAGATTGTCACCCTTTTATAATCAGGGCAACTACTATTAAAACAATACGCAGAGCTGCCAACCTTCCCGTTTTTGGCCGGAATTACTCTGTGTTCTCCTCCAAATTTCGGTACTACCTGTTTTCTTCATAAAATACGTTTTTTAATTTTTTTTTAAAATTTGTATTTATTTATTTATAATTTTTTTTTAAATATTTGTTTAAACATACCGCACATCAAACAACTGTCATAAAATGCTGATTTGATCACAAATTCAATAGAAAACTAAGTTTAAAACATACTTGAAAACATACTTGAAGAGAAAAATATTCTTTAAAAAAATGAAATGCCGATAATACCAATCATATCATATATGACATAATAGTCATATATGACTTAGCCCTTTGATATTAAAGATGTGTATTAAACATGTAATACAGAAGAGTCTTCCTCATATCATTTTGCCTATACTCCATTCTCTCTACCTCCTACAGAATCACCTTTGTTGAGTGCTAGCTCCGATGAGGAGAATCGACCAATCACAGAAGACCTGACAACAGATCCGGAGATAAACGTTGACCATTACATCGCAATCTTGGTAGAGTCACTGTCATTACTGAAGAGAATACCAGAGGCTGTGGAGGTGAGAATGCCACTCCAGGGGAGTGTTTCACAAAGACTAAGATCGACTTAAAGTTGGACTTAACTATGGCAGGCTGTTCATGCCTTTGTTCGCTCTCACTACGTACAGGCATTAGTCTCTCAAGGGACGTACAAATCATGGTCACAAATCTACAAAATTTACATTTTTGATAAGTCATTATTCAAGGAAAAAATATTATCTAAAAATCATAATTGAGAGACCAATAGTGAGAGCAACCAGTGGCATGAATAGCCTGTCATAGTTAAGTCCAACTTAAAGTCGATCTTAGTCTTTGTGAAACACTCCCCAGTAGTGTTACCCAACTAATCTGGTAGATAGTTGACAATGAATGATGATAATTACTCAATGAGGCAAAATCTGCCAAAGTATGGTGAAAGAATCCTGAGACAGATGTAGATCATTACATTGCCATCTTGGTCTCTCTCTCTCTCTCTCAATCTCTCTCTCTCTCTCTCTCTCTCTCTCTACCCCAAGCTGTAGAGGTGAGGAATATCACTTAAATAGTATTTTACACTGGGTCACGATACTCGTAGGTCAAGAGGTCAAGGTTTAAATGGGCTTGAAAACTGGAAGATGGTATGTGACAAAGGAGATTGAGGAGTAACTTGTAACTGGTGGTAGTACCATTCTCACATATTGTGCACTCTTTGGGAATCAGTAGGGACCTTTCTTTGTAGCATGACAAATTATTTACATACACTGTAATGAGAGCTGGGATGTTGTTCCATTTTTCTTCTCATGCTGCTCTTTAACAATCTTCAGTGATTTTTAAACACTGGCCAGTACTGATTCTCTGTTGACTTCATGATACCATATGGAATGCTTTGCAGTGCTGCCAACCATTACGTTTTTCGTGGAATTATTCTGTTTTTTCCCTCAAAATTACGGAAATGCGTTTTTTCTTCATAAAATACTTTTTTTTTAAAACTTTTTTTGTTGCACATACACCACATCAACCAAATGCCCTAAAATGTTGAACACTACTTCAATAGAAAACTTCAATAGAGATTTATGATTTACAAATAGTAAATGAGAAACAAAGGAAAAAAAAAGTGAAAGGCGTAAATAATGTCCAAAAAAATGAAACGCTGATAATACCCCTAAAACAACAAAAAAAAATTACCTACTTGTAAATAAACTATAGGTCCTAATATGGAAATAACAGCATTAGGGATGGACATTCTGCATTGGAAGTGTCGTGCGTGGTTGTAAGTTTCATTTTAATGGATTCCTTTTTTTTTTGCTTGAAATTCCTTGTTTTTTGCCATCATGGTTCCTTTTTTTGGTTGCACAAGGTTGGCAGCTCTGGCTTTGTCATGGAATAAATGTTCAATTACATTTGTAAACAGCAATCAATTTTTTTTTCTTGTCATAGGCAATCAAGGGTGAAGTACAGTCTGAGCTGGCTCAGATTGTCCACAAGTCAACGACAGAGGTTGCAGATAAGTAAGTTGATGTCTAGTATATAATACACCAGTTTACGGTTGAGTGCGCCATTTTAAACAAAGCCAATGACCTAGAGGTCATGTATTTATGCGTAAATTAAGATTGCGCCCATGCAAATTATGATGACATCACTGCCTACGCGCTGCGTTTTGCGCGCACATCATCATTTGCATGGGCGCAATTTTAATTTACGCATAAATACCACTGGTCAAAGGTTATTGGCTTTGTTTCAGGGCCAATGACCTGAGGTCAACTGTCTGCGCATGCGCACTGATACAACCGTAAACTGGTGTATTGATCTTTGAGTCATGTGATATGTTTCTTTTGAAGTCTTACACAGACTTTACTGCCTTCTGAAATGTGTAAGTCCTCTCTACAGAGAGAATACATAAAGATCTGCAATCCAAAGGACTAACAAAAATATCACAGGAAATAAGGATGGGTAGATCGAGATGGTGTGGACCTGTTGTTAGGAAAGAGGGAAGCCAATGGCTACAGAAAGCAATGAATTTCCCAGTGGTCAGCTTAAAACTTTACCTATGGTAGACCTTACACAACTGGGAAAGAGACATTAGAAAAAGTTATGAGAGTTGTCTGGTCTCATCTAGGGCAATGCTGAAGACCAGGTGGCTTGGAGAAAGGCCATCAAGGAAATGCAATACCCATCCCACAGTGTGAGAAAACAGACATTTGAAGTGACAAGTGACAAAATATAATTAGTGATATTAATCTGGATTTGTATAGCATTTGAAGCTTCGCACATAACAGACATTATTAAATATATAACTGATTATCAATTATTTAAACATATTTGTGGCTTACACCCAGTAAATAAGATCAATTAAATAATTGAAATTTCTCCCAGTAAGCATTACATTTATAAAAGTAACTGATTATGGATGAATATTTTGTTTCTGTTTTATAGTGCCAAACAGCGCGGAGAGAACATCATGCAGCAGAACCAACCCAAACTCCTTGAAGAGCTCTTAGATCTCATCTTTGAGAGGTTCAAGTGTGTGGCCTCTGCTCATATGTGTGTACTAGGAGCTCTCCAGAGAATAACAGTAAGCTTCCTCTTCTTCTTCTTCTTCTTCTTCTTCTTCTCCTTCTCCTTCCCCACCTATTCCTCTTTGTCTTAATTCTCAGGTTTTTGGCATCTACCTTGTTTCTATTCCTTTTCCTTTATTCTTTCTTTTCTTCACTATCCCTTCCTCTTCCTCCTTTCCCCTTTTCTTCAACCTGGAATACCATATAGTATATTTACTTACACAGCTATTAAAGTGGTTGACCACTTCAGATGATTCAAGGAAGGTTTATTCTTTCAATACCCAAATTTCAGAGTGAACAAGACAGTGAATGTCTGAACATTTTTCAAAGCCCTGGAGAAAATATGAATCTAGTAAATATCTGAAATACTAGACCAGGAGGGGGACCAAGAGGGAAACCAAGAACTTACTGGGAGTAAAACATCAACACATGGAGTGAAATGACTCTGCAAGAGTGTACTAGGATGGCAGAAAACAGAGATTTGTGGAAAAATGTTGCAATCAACCTCTGAACTGAGAGAAGATATTTTGATACATGAATTTAAAAATCAGTATGATCGAATGATGGTTTGTGTATTACACTAATTTTGTCAATCTGCATCTTTATCTCATGTTCTTTTCAGGCAAGTGGAGATGTCCAGCTGTACACAATGGGAGATATTTGGTCCAAGATTCAAACACAGGTAAAGTCACTTTCACTTGCATTAATTTCATGTATTGCAGCTATGAAAATACAGTGGTTGTAAATTCCCTATTTCCAAAACATAGAATCACATGTACATGTAATATATTGGTTCTCAGACATTCATCTTGGCTAGAAATCTGTAAGAACAATATAGCTCACCTATAATCTGGCAAACAACTGTCTTGAAAGGAGTTTGCATTTGAATGTTCCTTTACTCTTCTCTTTGCACATTCATTGATGTCACCAATAAACTTTACCTTTTAATTTTTGTTTTGTTTTGTTATTGCTCAGCTTCAAATGATCCTGAGTAGCTACCTGGATGTAAGGAATGTAACAGCTACAGCTCAGCAAGCCACAACAGCATTTACTGAAGTTAGCGCTAGGTAAGTATTATAACTATTCTTACAATGTTCATTTCCTTGTCATGGCATCAACAAGGTTTAACTATATGAGCTCTCAACAACTTATTTATGCTTCAGCTGAAAATATTAATGGATATTAGGTAACTCATTAAATAATATTAATAACATTTCATTGACACATGGAAAGGGCATGGACGCAAAATTATCTTTCAAAGAAATAGTATAAATTTTACCATTGGTTTATTAGTAAGTTGTGAAATTAGTTGGCCATTTCATCTTTATTAATTTCTATTAGGCCTAAAAAAAAAAATGAATGAATAAACAAAAATATGTATTTTGTTTGTTGGGATAAATGGGATATAAATGCATAAAATCAAATCATTCCCAAATTCTCACTGCCCTAGTTTCAAAATCCTACTAGCGTAAACATCTCGATCAACACAACATTGCAATCCATGGATTATTATGAGGTGAAAAAAGATATGAATGGAATGATGACGCTGAAACACATGTATTAACGCACTACAAACTGAGAAATATCAGCCAAAAGAGGGCGAGGGGAAAAAAAAAATTCAAAACGAAAAATATCGGAACGAACAAAAAAAAAAACTTTTCCGACCGACCGACCCATGTTTTGGCACCCAAAGGGCAATGCAACAAGTTTTTATTTTAGGCCTTATAAGGATAATGAGAGTCATTTTTGTGTAAAATACCAATTTCATTAAATTTGTATCTATTATTTGCTCACTTTCTTCCTGTTATAATGTAAATGAATATTATAGAAGGAGCATGAAAATGATAACTTTGCTGTACATGTTATATGTCTCATATCTTTATTCATTTTCTCTCTCTTTCTCTCTTCCTGCAGTGATTTGAATACATATTTCAGCAGACGTAAGCAAGCCAGACAGAGGAAGGTTCCTCTATTCCGGTTCGATATGTCGTCTCATGCGATCAGTATGACCAACTACATGAGAGAACAGAAGCAAGAGTTCTATGGCTCGGTAAGTAGTGTGATGTTGTTAGAGGATTGTTTTACCTGACTGCTAGGAAAGTATGTGTATGCTTGTAAGTAAATAACCAGGGGACTGATGGCTCAAAGTCCTCTCTGAAGGGACTTGGTAATAAGCATTAAAGCCTTACCAAAGGGCATGAAGGCATTTACTTGGTTTTGAACCTGGGACCTCCCGTTTACTCGACCACTGCTCTACCACAGCTCTACCACTGAGCCATCACCGCCTCCTATAGTATAATACCAGAACATATCTGCCTGAGGGACAGAAAATCATTTCTCCTTTCTTTAGAAAATGTGGATCTTACTACAAGACACACAGCTGTAGCTCAGTTACACAACTATTTTGAGATAACTGTAAACAAAATACAGTACTCGAGTGAGAAGAATCCATTAATATTACAGGCTTCTGAATTTATTTACCATCCTTATCCTTATTTATTTATAATAAAATTGGGAAAGCCTTTATGCTGCTTATATGAAATTGTTTTTAAACTGTTTTGTACCAGGTATGATTTTCATTTGCATATATAGATCATTTATGATTGGTTGTTGGTTTTTTTCTTTTCTTGACAGGATAATTTCATAAAGCATTTGCATTAAGGGCTTTGTAGATTTTAAAGTCAGATTTACTTTTAAGAATGTCTTTCAATGTTTTTTCCATAGGATGGTCAAGTGCTAGCAGAAGATGAGACAAGTGAACAGACTCAGATGGTTTGTAAACCTAGTATTAAGAACATCACCATCATCTTCAAACCACTCAACAGATTCATCAAAGATATTGAGGCTTCTATGAACGTCACAAATGGGTGAGTTTGGGTTTAGAAAATGGAGAAAATATAGGTGGCTAAAAAAGAATGTACATGTAGGCTGTCAGTTGGATGAGTAAGTCTATTTAACTGCATATATCACATACTGTTATTTGTTGGATCTGTCTCATAATAAACCTGAAAGCTTTATGTAAAATATTGAGCCATGTTTCTCCCAACTCTAGAATAAGAAATTAGTTTTGGAATTAGAATGGTGAATTATTACATTTAGTTATGTATTCTACAAGTATTGCAAAGTTTCAATATGGGAGGAAAATAGCTGAAGAGACTCTCAAAGATAGAGATTAAATCAGTTCAAAAAAGTGGGAAAATTTATGATCCATCCTTTTTTATTAGTACTCCATGAATATCAGCTATTAACTTTGAATACTGGTATCAATGATGAACACATTGTTTGTAGCTTGTAGAATTTTTTATCGAAGAGGCAAATGGATATTGTCATCAAGGTTATATTGTGATTTCTCATGGTTGTATTTTTCAGAAATCACTGCACATTACATCATTTTGTAAGTGACTTTGTGAAGGAGATCTTCCTAGGTTATCTTCAAGGTGACATTGAGGAGGATCTACAAGCTGCTACCAAAGGTTTGTCAAAACAGCTCAAATTTATTTTTAAAGATAAATAATGGATTTTTTTATGAATAATGGTAAAGAATTTTGGTTGCTTTTTGGTGATACCTGTAGTAGCACTAATGTTGAAAAAAAAATTGCAACAAATAATATTTGTGACATATGACAATTTTGATATTAAACTCACCAATTCAATTAGAGCAATTTTTTTTTTTTACTGATAGGAAGTTTATTTCCAAAGATGCTGTATGTTCTCTTCTATCTATGAGACTAAATAATTGTGATATCATGTACAGTATGTTAAGAATATGGTGATTTAAATTGCTTGTCCAATTTGCTCTTATTTTATGAGTGTATGAACATAATTAGGCTACTTATGCCTAAATGTGTGACTGTACAATAAATTGATCAATTCCTTTGACCATAGAGGAAGTGAATGATTCATCAATTTTTTTTCACTTGACCTCACAGGAAGTGAATCCCTGAAGTCACTAGTGGACGTGCAGACCCAGAAGACCATGGGCGCCCCCTGTCCTCTACTCCAGGCCGTGGTCACTATGGACAAGGCCGTATCCTCGCTCCGTCAACTGACCACTGACTTGCCATCGTATGCTGACCAGTTCCTTCAGATGCTGTGCACTATCTTACAGGATTACAAGGAGACCTGCTATGCTACATACAGAGGTAACAAATTTAATCTTTTTTCAAAAGAGACTGGAGAATTTTTTTAATAGAGACAAAAAATATCATTCAGGAGAGAATAACAAATAAGTGTGTAAAGATGTTATCTTCATAGGGCTACTGTCATTGACATAAATGACAAGTTTAGAAATTGTGACAAGCCATGATGAAGAAATAAATCCAATAGCTCGAGGCACTTCAGAAAGATGTATGCATTGAATTTGGTTACATTACAAATCTGTGTTGTGAGGACCATACGTCACAAAAAATGCACTGTGGGGGAAAACCTGCTCGATCATTTTAAACTTTTTTTTTTTGCTCATTAAACAAAATTATTGAAAATAAATCTGAGCACCATTTTCCAAAACCAAGTTATATTTGGGCTTTTTTAGATTTTTATCTCATCTAATCAGCTCAACTTTTCAGTGGAGTGGACTTGTACTTTAAATAATTTGTTGTTGTCTCCTAAGGAATATCTATATTTTAATGGCTATGTTTAGCTCAAAGTGTACAAAACAGTTAGTTGTAAACTGAAAAAGGATTGCTGTTTCAAAACAGTCAGTCGACCTTTCAGATACAGTATGAACGTAGTTTTTTTTTAATAGAGAAGCTATTATGGCTCAGTGGTTAGAGTTGAGTTCTGAGTTAGGCTTCAAGACTGACCTGATGCTCTACCACCTAAGTCCCCTTTAGCAAGGCATTGATTCTAGCCCCTCAGATAGAACTTGAAGATGTAGACAAGAAGATCCTCCTGATGCGTACTTACAAGCACGTTCTGTCTTAGTATCCAAGCTGAGAACAAAACAGTCAGTCAATGCTTATTGTTGGGTTTGTTGGCACTATCCATCGATTCCGATGATTTCTGCCAGGCTTGGTGTGAGAGGGCGTCTTGCTCTTTCTTCTGCAGCTCTACTTATGTTTCTGTGATTCGGATACTTGCCTGGTGTGTGAGATAAAGACTTCCCTTACCCTTTGTTATTGGTGTAGTGCAAGGTTATGGAGGATAAATGCTATTATACTGTTGGTTTGCATTGCCCAGGTCTAGTGCAACCCGAGTCAGAAGACAAGAGAATCTTCAGTGCATCCTGGGTGAAGGATACCGATATCAACCAGTGTCTACGCTACCTACCTAACTGGCTCAACCTACAGGAGGAGAGAAAGGCCGATAAAGACTCCATCGATCAGGTCCCAGAGACAATAGAAGATATCAGAGAGAGAAATGAGAAGGTAGATAACGTGGATGATATTGTCCAGATTAGTTATGTATAAATGACCAGGGGGGTGTTTCACAAACATCCTAAGTTGAACTTATCTATAAGTTGGACTTAACAGTTATGGAAAGCCGTTAGCACATTTGAAAATATTTTGTAAATATTTTAAAAGGCATAAAATGTTGATTCAAATCGTTCATATTTTCTACTATCAAGGAAATTTCACGTTCTTGATGTGGAATTTATGAACAATCTAAAGTACTTAAATTTTCGCTTTTGAATATATTTATTTTAAGGCTACAAATGGCTCTCCATAATTTTTATGCCTCCGTTACGAAGTAGCCGGAGGCATTATGTTTTCGTGTTTTCCTGCCAAACTTAGGTCATGTATATTACTTGCAGAGCCGATGAACTGATTAGATTTTGGGGTCACGAGGTCTAAGGTCACAGGGCACATTATGTATGCAAAAAATAGCTCGTGATCGTATAATCATTAGAACAGATTGATGGATTCCTGCCAAACTTCATTTATGTATCTTGCAGAGCCAATAAACTGAGTAGATTCTTGGTTCATAAGGTCAAAGGTCATGGGCTCATTATGTATGCAAAAATAGCTTGTGAACGCATTCTCATTAGAACTGACAGATGGATTACTATTTAACTCAGGACATCTTGCAGAGCCAATGAACTGAGTAGATTTTAGGGTCATGAGGTCAAAGATCAAAGGGTCATATATGTATATGAGAAATTGCTTGTTGAATAATTGAAGAAAGGGAAAAATGAAGTTTGGGAGTCCAGCCGTAAATGGAGATATTAAGCTGTGAAGCTTATTTATTCGATCTGTAAAAAACAGATAAAATAACAGTGACAGATTTAGTATATCATTCTTGACATGAGATACAATACCAAACATCTGAATAAACCAAGTAATCTATAAAGATTCATTTAAACACATTTTGCCTCCGAACTATTAACTGTCAATCTTGACCTCGTCCTTTAACTATCAGATGTTCAGAGCCAATGGCTACAAAACCTTTTGCATTCTCTAATATATGCATTACTTTCAAACACTCATACTTTCAGAGTTTCTCAAACAGACCTGACTTCCCTTTAAACAGATTAATGTCAATTTGCATGAACCAAAATAAATGTAAACATCTCTATCTTGCATCTATACACAAGCTTGATTATTCACATTTATATGCACAGAATAATTTCTTCTAGAAACCTCAACATTGGATTGTCACTTTAAATGTATCGTATGACCTTCCACTGACTTTGACAGGCACCTAATTTGCATATTTATGCTCGTCTAAGAAAAACTGTTTTATAAAATGACTTCATACAATTTAACCCTGTTTGATGAATTAAACTTAAATATCTGACTTGCATAAAACTTCCCAGTAATAATCTAGAGATTACACTTCAATACAAAATAAACTATCTGGCATAACTTGTAATTTACACCTGTAATTTACACCTGTAATTTACATCTGTAATCTACTCCTGTAATCCACACATGCACTACACTACAGCAATCCTTTCGAGTTTCATTATTAACTCTTAAAATGATTAAACACTTTCTTTCAATTCTCAGTCCAAATACTATGCCAGAGGTGCAAAGCTTAACCTATCAGCTAGTCAATAAATGGTGGCTTGCAACTTTTAAGCAAGCTAAATCAAATTCCACAGACTAACTTTTGTCACCCAAACAAACTGCATAAAATCCAAGATTCTAGCATGCACAAATATAAACATCCTTTATCTTTAGGACTTCTACATATATACACTGTTTACTCTATAAATGACATAAAACGATATTTGCCTATTACTGTAATTCTGTTTTGACAATTATTATTGAACTGGAAAAAACACATGAATAAAAGTACGTCTTATGGGCGCGGCCATTTTAGGCGCAGCCATCTTGGAATTAATGCCACACGTGCATTATGCTAATGAGTTAAATACAGTTTTTTAGAATCCATTTTACAGTACAACTTGAATCTATCTTATTTTCCGTTTTATGAGTTCACATTCCAGTTTATATTAATCTAAACACTCACTTCTGTGGCGGGACAAAACTTCGTCGGGAATACTTGAATGGCAACTGACGGGTTAACTGGTAAATGAGTCAAACTGGACTACATTTCTGACTGCATCAGTGCTGACTGAAGAACATGGCGACAGTGCCGAACCTAACCTATGGTAGCTTATAAGAGCAAAAAAAGAGAAAATCTAAACCAAGCAAAAATCATCGCTCGGCGAAACACTTGTAATCACGATATTCTGAGAACCTGTTAATGGATTACAATTGAACTGGAATTTAAAAAAATTCTTCTGTTTTGGTTTGTAAAATTGCTCTATGACGGAGGCATCATTTTCGACTGCGCGCAGCCGAAGTTCCATCTAGTTAAATCCAACTTAGAGTTAAGTTCAACTTAGGATCTTTGTGAAACACCCCCTGAAGAGCATTATATATGGATTCTGTGGAATGTATGAAAGCCCATTTTTAAATGATTTTTCTTAAATATTGCTTCTTCATTGTTTAAAAGTGGTTTATCCAACCGATATTTGTGATTGTGATTGTAAATGATATTGATGATTTTGTGGATACAAAATATTCAGATTGAGATAATGATCTCATGATAAGGATGATTTTATGGTGTTCATAATTTGCTATTGTGATAGTGTTGTTTGACATCAGATTTCTTTTCAACTTTTATATGTTTATATAGTCATATGTGAACACAATTTTATTTCTAAAAATTAGATTACCAGCAGAACCATAACAATAAAACATTTTTCAATTTTCGTTTGTTAACAGGAGTCAGAATTACTAGTGACTAATTTAGGAGACAAACTTCTTCAAACCCATGAGGTCTTGACTGATCTAGGTTCCTTGAGATTACTTGCTAATCTTCATGAGAGTCTGGTAAGTTGAAAAAAAGACAATACAATTGATATTTGTTCATTTTCATTCAGGCGGTAATTGTTTATGTAATTTCTGTTTCAGCTCAAACAAGTAATAACAACAAGTGATTAGCCTCATTTACAAATGTGCTTAATTTCAGGTTTGGAATAAACAGCAGCATCTGCAAAATGTATGGTCAGTTATTGATGGTAGGATTACTTTGATGTGCTGGCTTGTCCAAGGAAAGGATAAGAATGCAGATAAAATGATAAAAATATGTACAAATCACTAGTTACATAGTAGTTTGAGTGTTTTGTCTATAACAAGTTATGTTGAATTTAATTTGAATTGTGTATGTATGAACGGTAATAATTTGTTATTCTTTTGTTAATGTTATTTGTTCATCTCCACCTCTTGCAGGAATGGTTTGCTTGCCGGGTAAGGAACTTTGCCGGTCAACTACCCAGTCAGGGATTCAACACGCTTACAGTCCAAGGATCAGTCTCATTGGTAAGTCTAGAGCAGCATTTTTAATTTGGAAGTGTTTTTAGTGGTCGAAGGGCTTCATATGGATAGAGGAGCCTAATGTTAAATATCTGCTTTACAATCTTGGCTTGAGAAATGCAGTTTGTTTGTAGGGGGACAGGGGTGGGATTTCTGTTGTATATGGGCTCATATTAATGTAAAGAGCATGTAGACATAATCTGTAAGCTCTTTTGTAGTATTATAGGGGCCAATATGTTATTTTTATGATTTTAAGTCAAAATTGAAAGTCAGTAAAGAAGAAAAACATGATTTGACATCCTCTGTTATGGTTTTATGATTTAAATTGATATATTGTTTATTATATTTTGTTTGTACCACAGGAAATCCCTCCTGTCGATATGAGTCTTCTACATTCCCTCATCGGTCTAGCCAAAGAGTTCCAGGACCTAGCTGATACATGTCTGTTAGTCCTTCATCTGGAAGTGAGACTTCACTGTTTCTTCTTCCTCATGCCAGTCACTAAACAGGTAAGAATCTAAAACTATTCATGCATGGATTATGATCAGATACTGATAGCACGTCATATTTCTGTTATTTTAGCATTTGTATTCATATACAGCACAACAATGCAGTATTTGTTGTTGGAAATGCATTTTAGTAGCTTTTAATTTGATTGTTATAAACGTGGGTAGTAATAGAAATAAATGTAATCAAGGCCTTTTGTTGTGTTATGTGAAATATGAGCTTTTCTTCTGTTCTTATTTGAATTTAAGAATTTTGTTTGTTACACATGTCTATACATTGTTCTCTGTTTACATTGGAGTTCAAGATGTGAAAGTGTGGAGAAGAAGTAAAATCTAGAAGGGGAAAAAAAAATTTAGAGAAGAGAAAAGAATAGGGTATTGCGAAAGAAGAAAAGACATATTGAAAGACATACAGATATACATACAGACAAATTAGATAAGTAGAGGCTAATGGAGATATAAGAAAGGTACATGCGTATACAAGGAGAAAATAATTTGAACGTGTAAATGTAAATACCTAGAGAAATTAAGTACATGTAGTTACATGCCAGTACTACAATACTTTCTTTGTATCTGCTTGCAGTCAAGTTTCTTCACGAGTGTTGATAGCGTGGATCCAGACCCCAATGTGATCAAGCTGAGTAAGGATCTTACCAGTCTGGAGGAAGCGTTGCACACCAGTCTACATCCAGCAAAGTTTAAGTAAGTGGTTTTGTATGATGTTGGCATTGTTGTTGTTGTTGTTGTATGGTGATGGGCCTGTCATTGATCAGACATGATGATGGAGATGGCAGTAGAAGGTGATGATGATGATGATGATGACCTTGGTGGTGGCGCATGTGGTGGTGGTAATAGTAAGAGGGTGATACTATGATACAGTGATGATATTGGTGATGATGATGATAGATTATCGTAATAGATGCTGCTGCTGATGAAGATGATGACGGTGATCTTGGTGGTGTCAGTGGTGTTGATGATTATGATTATGATGACAATGATGATTTATATGATTGTTGTGATGATGGTGATAATAACAAAGTGTTATTTTTGGTAAGACAAACACTGTTATAATTTATCGGTACAGGTAGTTGTAATATCAACAACATTTTCAGTAGATATGATAATAAATGAAACAAAAATTTAAAAAAGATCTTCACAGAATTTAGATTGAGTTTGTGTGTTTAGTGATTATAAGAGAGAACGTGATGCCATTTTTTTCTAAAGTTACTTATACCTTTGTCTTTCCTTCCTTCCCTCTTTCAGGTATGTGTTTGAAGGTCTAGGTCATCTTGTATCATATCTCCTGATCAACAGCTCACAGTACATCAAGAGAATCAATGAGAATGGAATCAAGAAGATGTAAGTTACAGCTTGTTATGTGACTCATATGTGATACAATATAAATTATATTCTCATTAACATTAACATTTTGTATTTAGTATTAATTGAATTATCATGTTGATATTTTAGTTTGAAATCTGGCCTGCTTTTATGCCTAGAAGAACAATTTGATTTGCAAAGGTGTATTGCATGATGAACAGCAGGTAGAAATACCTTGGATACTTTGTATATCAAGCTCATAAATCTAAAGTAATAGTAAAGTTAATGAGATGAGGAACTGATACTTTCCTTGATGAGAGATGAGAAGCCGAAATGTTCAAATACGTATGTAATAGAATTGGTTGTATTGTCAAAAGTATTTTAGTGCTTCAATATATAGTATAAAAAAGCAGCTAAAACTTTATTATTTTGGTTGAAGAATTCCCATTATAGCACAAAGTTATATTCTGACATACAATCATCTTCTTTTCCTCACAGGTGCCGAAACATCTTCATCTTACAGCAGAACCTGACCAACATCACCATGTCAAGAGAGACTGATTTGGACCATGCTAGGCAGTACTATGAACTCATGTACAAGACTACTGATGTAAGTTAATCTATGAATCTATGTTTAAGACCACATGAACATTGTTTTTAGTTTGTCACAACTGTCTACCTCACTATATTTTTATATCTCCCTGTCATCCTTTCTGTGAGGATGTATTTGATTTTGCAACTATGCTCCCACCATTTCTCATTCTATTTTGATGAAATTATTCTCTCTTTTTTTCAATTCTTTCTTCTCCTTGAGGGACAGAATTGAAGTGGTAGTCTTTGAAGTCATGTAGTGAGAAATAGACCTATTGGCTACAAGAACCTTTGACATATGCATGTAGCCTATGATTATGGAAATGAGAGAATTCAAAATTTAGCATCTTGACATATGTTGTGCAATTTACCCTGAATAGGCCTGTATTATTCTTATCCTGATTCTAAGTCATGTTTAACAAATGAAACTTGAACCTTAGTCCAACTGCATTTATAACTTAATGTGAAAATTCTCTAGATTTATTACAACAACAACAAAAATGAAAATGTTCTCTATTTTTGTTTGAATATTTCAGGACATTCTGAACAGCGTCGTTGAGCAAGGAGCTGCTTTCAAGGAGCTAGAGTATAGGAACATCATCAACCTCCTTCATCGAAGCAGCCCGGCTTACGATCAGAAATCAGTCGGACAGAGACTCAAGAAGCTTGAAGAGATTATGACTGAAGCTGTGTAAATTAAGCAGACATTTGGCAGTGGTGGACCCAGGATTCTCTGCCAGACAGGGTGCACAATTCTGTGACAAGCAAACAAAAGATGTTTTTCTTGTGAGGTTAATAATAATAATAGGCATTTCTATAGCGGCGTCTTTCTAGAAATTCTGTTCCGAGGCGCACCTTCTTTTTGCTATTACAGCGCTCCAGCATATCAAGGAATTAATTCCTGCCAGGTACCCATTTACCTCATCTGGGTCAAGTGTGGCAAAAGAAGATTTAATGCTTAAGAATTCTCTGACAAACTTTATTGTCCCCTCTTTTTCCTCCCCCTCCTTTTTGTAAGTGGGGTGGGGGCATTTTAATTTAGTGTCCTGGCTTTAAATGGGAATCTCTGCTCTTTTATAAATCAAGATTTCAAGTGAAAGGTACAATGAAATCAGTTTGATTACAAACATGTTGAAGTTTCAATGAGAAATTCAGAAAGATTAAATGCACTAACTTCAATTGGCCTGTATTATGCAGTAAACCGCATTTTGAGGTTGCTTTATTTCCAAACATTATTTTGATCTCAATATACCTGAGTTCATTCAATTTTGTACGGCAACTTCCCACAAGCACACTGTTTATTTATTTATTCTTTTATATTGGTATTGATAGCAATACAAACAATTTATGAGTCTCAATATGACAGACTTACAGTTTTTGCCATTTTCCGTTATTAATCTTAAAATCCCAAATCATCAAAATTTACTTCTTGTAGGGAAATAATTCTCCCATGTTGAATTTAATCATTATTCACTGAATGTCTGATATACTTACATGATAATGTGGTATATCTTGCCCTGTGAAATAGCTTTTATGATTTTTGTAATTTGTAATACATATATTTATTGTCACTTTAGCAAATTATTTAAGTGCTATATTTACTCTATGAAATGATACCAAACTATATACAATGACAAGGCATTCCATTTAGTGCTGTCAAAAGTATATCAGGGTGTTTATGCATTATTTTTATGCAAGTCAACGACAGGTGGGAAAAATATTGTTTTCCCTCATATCAACTAAGTTTGTTGGGATATGAGCTCCTGTATTCATAATTTAAATTATTTTATGACTGAATATCCTAATCTTTATTGAGCTTCTACTTAATTTATAGAACCAAAGTAGTTATTTTTGAACAAAGTATGTGCAATAGGAGTATTGTACCAAATAATATGTACTCGTATATAATGTAGTTCATTGTAAATTATGCATGTTGAAGTTGCATGTTATGGGTATGGAAAATCGTATGGTGTGTTCAATCTTTACTCTATATTTTTTTTGTATATGATGTGGATTTTTTTTCAAGAGAAATCAGAAGCATTAAATGGGGAATGGGGGAAATGTATTTTTCAGCCCCCAACTGTTGTGATATGTGACAAACCATCTCAAATTCTCTTATCAACCTCCAGACAGATATTATTGAGCTTAAATTCTTATGTCCATCATTTTCTACCACTTAGTGTGGCTTGGATGTTGAGTGGGTAAGTCCAGGGTTTTTATGTTCATTCCGTGCCCCATTATGAATAGACATTTAAATCAGAAGTGTAATTGTGCTTGATATTTCTTCTGATGTAAGTTCTAGGAATGCTGCAAAATTCATATGAACATCAAGTACAGGTCTCTAACTCTCTATCTCTAACATATGGGACAAAAATACTGTCTGCTTGATCAAGAATGGCCATGTGGGTCTCAAACAAGAAATCACTAGTTTCAGGTGATTTATTATTAATGGTTAAAAGTGAGCTCAGTAAATGTTTCTCATCATTAAAGGGAAAGTCCACCCCAAAAATAAGTTTGTTTCGATAGAGGCAGAATAATAAGAAAATCAGGTGAGTGAAAGTTTGAGCAAATTCTGAATGAAAATAAGAAAGTTATGAATTATTGAAGTTGTGATCAATCAAATACAAATTGGCAACTCATCAAAATGCTGTGTCTTCATCCAAAAAATGAAATTTACAGTAACCACAATCCCATATTAAAATCTTTGGTTTAATAATGTACATGTGCTCCATAAAAATCTCTTTTTGTTCACAATGATTTATATCCAAGATGCAGTGAGTTTTCAAGCTAGCCTAATGATCAATAAATGCCCATTTAATAAGTTTTATTTTGAAGATTCCAAAAGCCTTAATCCAATTGATCAAGACAACATCTATAGAAGAAAAAGAAATATTAATTTTCTTGACTGGTGAATGATAAACAATCATAATAATTTACTATGTTAATCATAAATGACCTAAAGAGATGAAACTTCATTTGTACAGGTTTTCCGATATTCTTGTAGGCAACATACAATAGTCACATGGCATCGTGGACTGAAGGTCTCTCCAAGTTCTAGTGAACTAATACATATAATTTTGTGTCATTTTGTCGACTCTCTTCAAATTAAACAAAAAATGCACTTCCCGATATGGCATTGTGCAGAGGTATTGCAGTTGTTGAATTTTTAATACTGTGTATATATGTCATGAACAAAGGTCTACCATGGCCTGCCAATGTTGTGCCATGACCAAAAAATGTACATGAAACACAACATGTTCAATAGAAAAGGCAAATTCCTACACAAGTCACATAGCTTCAAGCGAGAAAGGTGTTGACTCGTATCGGTATACTTATAAAGAGTTAACACTTCTGGCTCTTGACACACACACAATTTTCTATTAGAGACGAATAGTGCACAGTTATCAGGAACAAATAAGAAGTTACTTCATGAAACATAATTATTTCTTCACTATATCTGTGCTATATTATTATTAGTAGAATAGCTTAGTTACGAATACTATGTTCTCTATTCTACACCATATCTCATAATAACTGGTTGACATAGTCCGTCAATCGCTTGTTTAGGGCAGGGAACATGGCAGTGTGCTTGTCACCGCACTTGATGAGGCAGCCCTCGAGGTTCTTGCGGACCTTAGCCTCATCGGCAGACGACATCTTGTCTCGGATCTTGTCCTTGGCTTCATCTTGACACTGGAGGGTGCACCTCTGGAGCCGGTCCTGAAAACAAAACAAAGATGACGGTACAACTTTATGGCTCAAATATGATAATCTCAACCCGATGTTACCGATATCCATAGTATCATATATAGTGGACTGTCAGAGAGTGTTTGTGACATCAAGATAATGATCAAGATAACTTGGAAAATAATCATGCAAAATTTTGCGGACTACATTACATCTCAAAATAATTTACAATACCTCAAGTGCACTTTAGCAAGAAAGAAATATGGGAATTATTTCTCCTTTCTCCTTGGAAAGTTTGCTTGCAACTTTCCAACATGATTTTCAAGCTATTTAGGACACGTTCATCTTTTACCCTAGATGTTGAACAATACGTTTACCGGTAATCAAATTTGAGGTTTTCTCCTTACAACAGTAAACCCAAATATGGAATTATGTCATCAATACTCATCTTCAAAAACATTTCTTTTGAAAATCCTTGCAGAAGTGTGTGTTAAATGACATACTCTATCACATCATTGTACAATTTAAGTTATTTTTTAAACAAGTTTTGGGCTCCCAACACTTCAGAGGGGCTTTAAGACAGAAAAAATCTGTTTGTATGGATTATAAAAAACAAACAATAATGTCTGTCCATCATGCTCTCCTCCAACTCCCAGATGTGGGAGAGCGATTTGGCAAAGCCAGATGTGGTCTCAGTGGACCATATCCTGACTGACAAAGAATGATTTTGTTCGGTCTTGCATATTTTCTGCTTCAATTTAAAAAGTCAAAATGAAATAAAATGACCCTTTCTTACTAAGAAATCTGTCAATTCTTTCTGCACGTATTCTTCTGTTTGTTGTGCTGGCTGCTGACATCTCTGTATACATCCTTGCCGATCTCCTGATGATTGATCACAGCATCTTGCACTGCACAGATACATCTCTTTCTACAAAAATGAAAACAATGACAGTAAAATATGTTAAATGTTAGAAATTGAGAAGTTTAAACTTTATGAAACTTTAAAGTTTAAGCCAAAGACAAAGTGAAAGTAAAAATCATCGAGCCTAGATTTATATAGACATTATTATTACATTATAGCACTAAGTTAGAAACTTCGGTGGTAAGCCGCGCTTTATCAGTAGTGGCGCTGGTCCGAGAATGAGGATCGTCCTCATAAACGAGGATATCGATCCTCATAAACGCGGACAAAATGCATCCTCAAAAATAAGGATGGTCTGCATTTTTTGTCCGTCTTCCCGAGGATTTATTGCTCATAATGTGAAAGTCTCTGTACAAAGTCAATGTAAAATGTACCAAGAAAATCATCGCGGAATCGTTTTTCGCATCGCCAATGCGCCGATCAAAAATATGAATCGTCTGCGAAAATGCAGACAATCCTTATTTTTTAGGACGCATCCGTCCGCGTTTAGTATTTACGAAGACGATCTTCATTTATGCAGACGATCCTTATTGTCGGACCAGCGCCCAGTAGACTACTGATAACATTTAAAATCTGAACTTTGTTCTCAACACATCTGATTTTCCAAATGTACTTTAAACATAGATATTCAAACTGAATAATTAACACAAGCTGAAACAATGAAAATCTCAGAAACTCTGCCAGTTTGATGGGAACACATAACTCCGGGAAGCTCCAACACCGGCGCGCAGCTGCGCGCCGGTGTTGGAGCTTCCCGGAGTTAGGGAACACACAGCTACAATTACAAAGAAAATTCCGACACACACCAGACACACACCAAACTCAACACTTGGGACCGAAGACAGTAAAATTAGAACCATCAAATATCGTTGTAAATTTACCTGTAATTTACGAAGAACTGTATTATCTAAGTCATTGAGTAGTGACTTCATTCCTGAGTCAACCTTACTCTGGCATTCGTGCAACGCTGCTGATACGGAATCTGCCATTTTTCACAAAAAACAAGCTCTCATCAATCGAGAAAAGTTGATTAACTAAAAGCACATGGGCTAACCGCCTAAGCTAGTGAATTAATGTTGGAAAGTGATTTATTGCGCACCTGTCTCCGCACTCAAGTTCTTTCAAATTCTATTAATTTGTATGCACCTGCACGGCTTTTCCAATTCGGCGCCTGATCCACTTCCGTGTTAATTGTTTAAAACCACTCAGAAATGTTGGCGAACAGTGCAATTAACCCTGCGAAGAACTGCATCAGGAATGCATGCATTTCTACAGAACGGTTGTGTCGTCTGGCTACAACAAACGGAGTTGGACATTCCTCAGCAATGGATCTGATTGACCAGGCCAAGAAGGCTGCAGCATGTGCCGCAGTCAACAACCACGTGAAGGTATTCAGTCTAATAAAAATTCAAAACTATAAAAGTAAATGAGATTGAAGAGATAACATTGTCAAAACAAGTAATGATTTTCATTTATTTTGTCAAAAACAATGAATGACACAAATGAATTGTCACATGCTATGATGATGCATGTGCATGTTTTCATGTTCTTCTCTGTTTTAAAGGGGCTGTTGCATGACAAGACTATGTCAGTATGTGTCTTTCCCGTGGCCTGACTCGGGCCAATGAATCAGGTATATACGGACGACGCAGCCGCAGCTCAGTATACGTTACGTGCGTGAAACATACACAAAACCGAGGAGAACTTCGGTCTGTTTCGCGAATGCTAGCGTGCTGACCCAGTTAATTAAGTCCATAGACCTATGTTATTTATGTGCAGTTGTCCAAAAGAAGACATAGTTGGCGTCAACCAGTAGACTTCTGCTAGTTCTAGACCTAGACCTATCTATTTCTCATGCCATGCTACAGCCCCTTTGATATATTTATCTGTAAATGTATTCGAAACTGCCAAATTGAAAACGGATAGTGCCATGGACGGATATCGGACGGTTAAAGCCCAAGTCCAATCCAATTTTCAAAAATTATAGCATGTTGTAAATAAATCATAGAATCTAGGTTAAAACTGCCAAATATCACGGGCGTACTTCAATCAGGTGATTTTTAAGAGCGATTTTTGTTTCGGTTATTTAGAGCGAAACATTTAAATTGCCACGGATGTGAGGTATGCTCCTCACAACGAAAGTGCCAGCAGTATAAATTCTGACAATAGGCTATTTTCGTAATGTAACCAAATTTCAGTGGAGTGGACTTGTACTTTAAACGTTTGATCACAGCACTATACCAATTTTGTCATCGTTATCATCTCTTTTACAAAATATGAATTTATTTGAATTCTCTCAATTTTCAGGACCACTGCAGACTGGGAGTAGGAAGTGGCTCTACCATTGTGTTTGCCGTTGAAAGACTAGGTTTGTATCATGGGCATAAAAGCTAACTAAGTCGGACCTAGCTGGTTCATCAAATTTATGGAGAGGGCTCCCAAATTGTTTTCTTAATTTGCATCAAAGAGTTCATGGTCATTGTTCAGCCATTTAGGTAGACATCAAATTCATGAAAAAGAGAAGAAGAAAAAAATGTCTGATTTTATTTGGTGCCAACGATTTGATTAGCAAATATTCTAAATTTTGTGAAATCATAGGAAATGGAGAAGAAACATCGAACAATATGAGTGGATCGCTTACAAAAAAAAACCTTTGTTTCAAATGTCTTTTCATTGGTTTCTCTTCATTAAATACACCGCCAAAATAGATACATGTTGTATTCAGAACAGTTTGGTATGAGTGTGTGGTCTGCATAATATGTGTATCAGTTAAAGCCGCAATAAAATTGAATTATACAAATTTTATTCCATTGCCAAAGGTTAACACTAACAGATCCTTGTAGGGGGCAACAGAGCATGTATTTTTGTCCAAACCTAATTAAGTGTACTTGCTTGCTGTGAGAAGGGCACATGTTTCCCTATGTCACATTCCATTATATTAGCTTTGGGTAGATGCAGTTCTATAAGGAGAGGTAATGCGACTTATATATGTACAAGTAATTTCTAACTACATTTTAAGTAAACTTTGATTCATTGTATATTAAAGATATCCATTGGGCTATTCCCAAAATATATTTAAATGTGTTATGTAATGAGTACACTATATCGCAGTGTTCTTAGTAGTGGTGTGATGTGTTGCTAGATTGTGGCACCATTATCCTTTGGCATGACAGTTATCTACAGTTTCCTCTCTCTACCCAGGCTTAGTTAATGGGTACCTGGTAGAAAGTGTTATTCCTTGAATGCTTTTATTGCCCTGCCCAGGCAGATTGACTAAAGCCAGGATCAACTGTGTAGGTGCCTTGACTCACTCCAGCAAAGCATAGAGAGTCAATGCTAATGTGTATTGACCTGTAGTACTGCATGCTTGCTGTGAGGCAGGTATTATTAGACCTATACACAAATATACACACCACACAATATTGCATAGACTGCACACAATGATGTTGATGTTGATGCAGCTGTAAACACTGAATTAAATTTTGAATTTTGAAATTATTCTTTTTAACATCAGTAAGTTTAAAAAAATGTGTTTTACTGCTATTTAGGTGTCATCAATTGTCACTAAAGTACCGATTTTGAGTGAAATCAGTTGAGTTTTGTACAGTGGTGTTTGAAATGTTGAGAATCAAAAGCATAGCTTTTACTACACGGCCAGGATAGTGATGCTCCTATGTGTGCCTTGACTAACCTTTTGGATCGATACTTGGGAAATAAAAATGGTGTCAATTTAAAAGTTATTATCATTTTATCATTCCTCTTTTATTCTTTTATTCTCTGAATGTAGCTGAAAGAGTGAAAGAAGAGAAACTGCAAGTGACATGTGTACCTACATCATTCCAAGCCAAGCAGCTCATCGTAGAGAATGGGCTGACCCTGAGTGACCTTGAGAGAACACCAGAGGTAAGTAAACCTCTAGTCTAGTCAACACCACTATGAACATAACTGACAAAGAAAGCGGACAAAATATGCAGTTCCTCAGGTAGACAAACGAACATCCCTTCACTGCTATTATGTAGAACAGGTGTCACATGCATATTCACCTTTTTACATAATAGCAGTGAAGGGATGTTCCCTTGTCTACCTGAGGAACTGTATATTTTGTCCGCTTTCTTTGTTCGTCATATTCATAGTGCACATGCCACATTCCCATGTAATGTATGGAGCTCCATACATTACATGGGAATGTGGCATGTGTTGACTAGACATTCTTTTGTTTGCTCTCAGACTTACAGCAGGCTCAACACTAACAGATACCAACAATTCAAGTGTAAGGACTAGTTTCATAAAGCCTGTTTCAATGACAAATGAAAAAAATCAGTGACAAATCTGCTGATAACCTATCAGAAGCAAGGATTTTACTAGTTTTTCACTGATGACAAGTTTTGTGAAATGGGGCCCAGATCAAAAAATTCTAAATGTGACATTCTTCAATTGGTTTTATATTTTCTGAATTTTACAAAAAATGACTAGGGTCTCATTTTGATTATTTGTTTTATTTGGTGGAGCAGTAAAGCTTAATTTGGCATAGATATCCAAATTTAATTTTTATATGTAATTTCCTTGATTGTGTTACAAGTAAAACAGGATAATGATCTTTGTAGCTTTAAATGAATTTATTTTCATGTTTTCTTTTGTTCATACATTCTTGAAAGAGTAGCAGAGATTGACATACTTCAGGTTTTAAACTTGCACTCATCACAATAAACAGCAAGAATGAAAGCCGAAATCACACAATAAACAGAAGCTATTAACCCTTACTGTACTGGGGGGGGGGGGGCTGGGAGGCCCCCCCTCGACATTTTCGGAGATTGCGCCGCAATCGCTTGGATTTTTGAATTGTCGTTTCATGACTTTTTCCCCTCAAGTCTTACGCACATTTTGATACCATTTTTGTTGAAATCGGATATACCTGTAAGGTGTTACATAACAATTAGTATGCGCATGTCATCAAAAATATGCTATAATTGCATATATTCATGTACAAGCAGAAATGTGAATACTATGAATTGATATCAAATTGCTTTTATATGTTTCTCAAAGTAACTTGATGTATTCCAGAACAAAAGAATCTATTAGAAATGAAACAATAGATATAATTTGAAATAAAAAACAATAAAATACAAAAGAAATTAAATATTTGAAAATTGCATCAAATTTGCATAAATTTGCATTATTAATTACATCAAAATAACCATTTTATGTTAGAAAAGCAGTTTCATAGGAATAATGGGTTTCAATTAACATTCAAAAGTGGAGTCTGACAATTTTTGTAAAGATTCTAGTTCCCTGTATATTTCTAGATTTGATATTCATGAATGCATATTCATAATTTATGCAAATTAACTTATGCTGAATATATTTTGTATAAAAGCTGCGCTATATAAATTTATTATTATTATTATTTAAAAAATAATGTAACCTCATGAATTTGAGATGAAGGAAACAGTTATTCAATACATTTTCAACATTCTTCACAAGTCTACAGACAAATATGAAGAGTTTTTTGTTAAATGCATAAAATTAGCATTTTGCATAATTAATTAGGCTATAACGACAAAAATGTGCATATTAGGAAAAAACTAATTATACCATTTTGTTCCTTACGTAAATATCTACAAACATGCAAATTTTCGCGCTCATCGGACTTTCGACGGCCAAAATCATAGGGGGGAGGGGCTGGGATAGGGGGGGGGGGGCCTCCCAGCCCCCCCCCCCCCCCAGTCACGGGGTACTCAAAATAGCCCAGTACAGTAAGGGTTAAAAGGTACAAAGCATGCAAAAGTAAAGATTCATGATCGCTGTCAGAAATAATTTGAAACTAGATAGGTGTAATAAATATTGGAATTTAAGTCAATATGATTTTTAATGAGGATTGTAAAGGGAATGTTTGTTTTCATTTGACCTCTGACCCCAGCTAGATGTAGCTATCGATGGTGCTGATGAAGTGGATAGTGGGTTGACATGTATTAAAGGTGGTGGGTAAGTACTCACTCCTTCCTTCAAGTAATATTGCTTATCTTCCAATTGAGAATATTTTTTAAATATATTTATGTCCATTGTATTATCAAAGTTCAAGAGATCAAGTATTGGATGAGATGAGAAAGAAGTAAGAACCAGTCCCCTATTGATAGAATAATACAAAAATTCCCTCCCCCCCCCCCCCCCCCCCCCCCCCAAGGAAAAATGTATACCTCTATGTCTTAAAGTGCTTCTATTCAGTTTGTGAATTTTTATGTTTTACAAGATGGCAGGCATCAGGAAATTTTAAACCTGTGAACATTCCTTTCTTGTAATGTGACTACAAATTTACAATTATGATGGCTTTAATATGAAAACTGAAGGAAAATTGATATGTGTTAAAGGTACTATGTCCCTTTTGCAACCAACCTCAAATTCTGTAGAACTTTACAGGAATTATGAATATGTCATGTATGTCCTATCTGTGAAATTTAAACATTAGCAGTGTCCTCATATTCAAATTATGCAAGGAAACCCGTTTACTTGCTAGACTTCACTGTCAGACACTATTGAGTGACTGACTGGCTTTTTTTCTTCTTTGGTAATAACATACATGAAAAGAGTTGTGCAGGGTACATGAGCATTTGTCTACATCAATAACCCACTTCTTGTGATGGCCAAGATTAAACTGATTGAATCTTTGCACAGCATAAAACATATGACCATTCGGTACAATTGTCTGAAAATCAAGACTATTACTTTTGGGCTCTATAGCCCTGAAGTCGATTTGACAACTAATAGTCATTATTTTCCCACTTGAAGACATTTTCAAGCCCCACCTTTTTTAGGGAAGTTCTAAATTAGTATTATCTTTCAAATGCAGTTGGAATTTAACTTTTTCATTTTTTTGGCCTGCAAATGGGACATAGTACCTTAAAACTGCAATACAGTTTAAGTCTTAGTTTATGCAAACTCTATTTTAATGTTAATCAGTACAGGGATTAAAAAACTTACTTTTCCATTTTCTTTGTGTTTATTTTAGAGGCTGCCTGACACAAGAAAAGATTGTAGCTGCTAATGCCAATACATTCATTGTCATAGCAGACTACAGGTAAGTACATCACACTTTCACTAATTTCAATAAGATGGATTTAAATTTACTGGATGACTTCTTTGGGGGTTAAACTTTCCACCTGGAAGAAATTTCCCTTGCAGACACAATTTCACAGGGAGGAAAAGTACTGTGGAGAATGATTTATTTAATATATAAAACACATTATGTTCTTTAGTATGGACTCTTGACAGAAATTTCCACATATTAACTGTTCTTTAGCAACATTTGCCACTTTTGTAATACTTTTTTGGATCAACCATCAATAACTCAGATATTTTTATTTAAAGGAGGATCACCAACTCTGAATAATTTTCAGAGATGATGTCTCAAAGTACACTTTCACTCCAAAGTAATGTGACCATTCTATTTATTCCAAGATTTCCATCTTTCTGAAACTTTTCACTGCAGGAAACAGTCATCAGATCTAGGTATCAACTGGACAAAAGGCATTCCAATCGAAGTCATTCCCATGGCCTATCGTCCAGTCATCAAGACCATTCAGACCAAATTTGGTGGCTCGCCAGAACTCAGGATGGCCAAAGCAAAAGCTGTAAGTTCTTTGCACCAGGGGGCTGCATAACTCTCGTCTAGAATTTAAACCAAACAAATAGATAATAGTCATAGTAGTGAAGAAAACAATTTAGTTTCAGAAAAATACATCTTGAATATACCTGTTTTCTAATGGTATGTGGCCCAGTCATCAAGACAATTCAGACCAAATTTGGTGGCTCGCCAGAACTCAGGATGGCTAAAGCAAAAGCTGTAAGTATTCTACAGTAGAGGGCGACATAACCCTTCATAACTGAAGCCACAAATAACAGCCACAGGAGTCAAGAAAGATTTTATTACATCTGGTTTTTCAATGTCGACTTTTCTTCTTTAAACATTTAGCCCTTTACATATATGTGGCATATCCAATACAAACACAGGGATGAATTGAAAATACTCTCTTTCTCCTGCACTTTTAGTTTCTAATAAAATTTAAGAGCCGTTTGGAACAGCCTTGTACTCTGCATATTTTCAAAGTGACCAAAAAATGGTATGAAATAAAACTGTAATGCATAAAACCTTACTACTTTACTCCTTTGTGTGTTTTCACTTTAACTATTTAAAAAAACTTGTACTTCTTCTTTGCAGGGTCCAGTAGTGACGGATAACGGCAATTTCATCTTGGACTGGAAGTTTGATAAGAACCCTGAGAAGTGGGATACAGTCAACAGGGAACTTATGATGATTCCAGGTATGTCATCATTATATTTTAAACTCTGTTTAAGAACTCTTCTCTCTGAAGATGTTGTGGGCTAGTGTATAGGTTTCCAGATTATGAAGCACAAGGTTTGGGATTCAAATCTCTACCAAATCACTAATATCCTTTGGCAGGACATTATTGATCTTCATTTTGCCACTTTCCACTAAGGTGAAGTAAAAGGGTACTTCATAAGAAGAAAATCCATGAATGCTTGAGCACCTGATGGTAGCCAGGCTGAAGCTAAGATGATATGATTGCATGACCCTCCAGAAGTATTAGTACTAGTGATGCTACACTTAGTAAACAGGATCATATTATTATTTTTGTTGGCATTGGTTGTTGTTGTATTAAAGAGCAAACAGGCTACTGTGTATCTTTCTATTAGTAAAACAAGTTTGTTGTTATCATATTGTATGTATTCACTGAAGACACAATGAGTAACATTGCTATTCATTTTGTGTTAATTTTGGTTTTGATTAAAAAAAAATATATTAATGATACAGTGAGATGTGCAATGTAGGGCAATTTGGAAGAAAGGTTTAACATTTAGATGAATAGTGTTTGTATGTAACATCATAAAAATTGCAGTGTTATTCTTATTGAAATCTGATCATACATGTATGTTATGAAAATAATTTATTTAAAAAAAACATTTACCATCATTCTCAATCTTTTTCTTTTGATATTCTTATTAAAATCTGATTGTTTGTTATGAAAATAGCCAATTAAAACAAAAAACATTCACCATCTTTCTCAATCTTTCATCATTTTTTTTTCAACCAGGTGTGGTAGATACAGGGTTGTTCATCAACATGGCAAAGAGGGCATACTTTGGAATGGCTGATGGGAGCGTTCAGATTCAGGACCCATAAGTTCATCAGCTGTGTTTACATTTGAGGCTCTTAGTACAAATCTAGTTGTTCAGGAAGAGAGACTTTCCATTATGAGTTTCTTTATGAGCTGGTATTCAATCCAAGTCTTCCATTAGAAGAAATTTAAAAAATATTCTGTCTTAAAGCGGGACTTCACTACTTGTAGTTTCTTGCGCCCTCTATATAGCAAACAATGTCTAAGCGGTATCAGTTGGTCCCCCATGGTCCCCTTTTTCTTATGTTAATTGAGAGCTGATTTGATGAGATGACCACCTGTCAGTGACCACGCAGGGAGGTCCAATCCCTCCTGGCCAAACGAGTGCAGATAGGCTTTAAGGACACTCCACAATAATGTTTGTGTGCAACTGAGCTGCACAGGGCCAGCTGGTTATGCACAATGCCTGGAGTTCTTTGTATTGTGCATAGTAAATATATCATAAGCTGACCCTACGCTGCTAAGGTGTGTGTGAACATCGCTGTGAAACGTCCTTACAATCACGGTTCTACCTTTGTCATCATTTGAATGCTTCAGGAAGTATTTGGGCGACTGTATTCTTTTCTTGAGGAAAGGTGTGTTCAATCTTTGTTACTTGTAACAAAATACATGTAGTTAATTGTAAACAGCTTACACAGTAAGATTTATCAAACACACTTAATTAAATGTGATTACTGTTGATTTTATTTTGTTTGTTACATGGTCAATAATGTGAATAATTTAATTTTAGGCATATTTTTCCCTTATCCCTTCCTACTACTGAATACATATGATTAATTAAAATGCAATAGTGGCAAGTAAGGTATTTCTTTACCTATTTATATTTTGTAAGGAACTGTAAGTTCACCTAGTTCTTTTGCTTTACCTTGTAGTTCTTTTTGTAGCTTTGCCACTCTAAATGTATTTGTTGTACTTTGTATTCATTTATCCCAGTTAAATACCTTGCTTTAGTCATTAGCATGGCAATATTGAGATGACTAAGACACTTCTAGTTTTTTAAATATTTATATTTTGTTCAATTTCATCTGTCATGAAAATAAGTTGCAGAGTATAAAACCATGTGATATAATTTCAAATTATTGTGCATAGAAAATGTTATTTTCATATTTGGAAATGGGGATATTAAATTTTAAAATATAATTTTATGGCTCCTCTTTCTATGTACACAAAAAATCCTTTAATGTAGTTTAAGGCTGAATGTATCTCTTAAGTTTTTGTGTTTGTCCATTTAAAGACATTTAGACCTTTCCTTCTATTTTAAGGGTAATTTGGATTTAACACTCAAGCATTTCAAGATATGCTCAGATTGCTAGTATAGATATAGTTGGAACTCTAACTGAAATTTAAAAAAACTACTACTTATTTTTCTTGTGAGAAAATAATGCATGATGAACAGTCTATGATGGTAAAGAAGAACAAACTTATGATTATGGGTAGCTGGAAGCACTGAGAAATATCTACACATACAGGAAAAAAGAATCACTGTACTTATTCTTAACTAGATAAGAGCTTGCATAAAGTTCAAAGGCTAAGAAAATGGACTACCGGTACAGGGCAAATAAATTTGAAAGTAACGAGTTAGCTGAGCTTTGTACAGTGGAGTCTTATGGTAAAGAGCTCTAATATATCGTATAAGGCAATATTTTTTGCGTTAAGGTATTTTCTTGGATCAAGGACTTAAGGACAAATTCGGGTAATGCCACAACGACTACCAATTATGTATCTATTGAAGTGTCCAATTACGGTCATTGTGGTCTCAAACTGTTTTGCATGGCCTGGTGACTGCTCATGTTATAGTGGTAGCCACTTAGGGACATACGACAGGGCTTATTTTAGTGATTTCATAATTCAACGATCCCTGCTTGAAATATTTTAGTGTGTTGTTCAATTTTTGATCAATAATTGATTCACGAAAATAAAAAAATAGCACAAAAATAACTGCTTTACAGTAAGGAGATACCTAATACAACAAGGTAATTTTCATGGAACTGGGGGTGTTTCACAACGATCCTAAGTTGAACTTAGAGTCATTAGTAGCCTTAAAATAAAATAAGATCAATAGTGAAAATTCAAGTATTTTAGACTTTTCATAAATTCCACATCAAGAACATGAAATTTCCTTGATAAGAGAAAATATGAATGATTTGAATCAACATTTTATGCCTTTTGAAATAACTTGTACAAAATATTTTCATTGATGCTAACAGCTTTCCATTATTGTTAAGTCCAACTTAGGATCTTTGTGAAACACCCCCCTGATGTCTTTACTATTTTAATGAGTTCCCATTGTACACATATGACCAGCACTTGTAATACTACTTCGGGCAACCAAACATCCCATGCCCGGGTGGCTATGTTTCACATGTTATATGTTAGACTTTACATTCCATTTTGATTAAGAAGAACTAAATAAGTGTTGCGAAATGTTCATTTCTTCATAATCGGGGGGTGTTCAGTACTTTATACAATAGTCCTGTTGTACCCTGACGTTCCACCAAATAAATTAACATTTTATTATATTTTGGCAATCACAAAATTCATTATGCAATCAGTTGTAGTTGCATAAATTATTCATGTATGTTGTATGATCTTATCAAGGTGATGATTATGAAATATATTTTACAGCATTTTAACTCATAATTGATTATGTATATTTGTCTCGTGTAAATACAGGTTCAAAAGTAAAACTTTTGTTAACAAAAATTAGATCTATTATTGTGTCTTTTGTAAATTATTTTTGTTGCATGGTCACCATATTGGCAATTATAACCACTTTCAGTTTATCAGTATTTAATGTGGATATTGTGTTAATGACAGACAAAAACTAAAGTAAAAGATGAGAAACTATGTCCCAATTTGTTTGCAGATGCATTATAAAGGCAAACAAAATGTTCAAACATCAACATCAATGTAAATTTTCTAAAATGAACTGAAAAGAAAGAATTATAGCAAATCATAATTCTTACAAAAAAACTAACCATTTAAAAAAAAAAAGTTTTATTTAATTATGTTTGGTTTTATCATACCGTTAACAAATCTGTACTTTGATTTTACCGACTTTGTACAGCAACATTGTTAACACAAAATAAAATCAAAACAAAAATTACAGTAGGAAATAATGAGTGTAGGTGATAAAAAAGTAATGGTCACTGCATGTTTATATGAGCAAGAATATCTGAGAGATCATGTTTTCCATTATATGGAAATCATAATATTTCTCTGAAGTTAATAGATGGACAGTTGAAATCGTGAGTGGAATGAAATTGACAAGTATGATTACAAAATAAGTAAACAGAAAACAAATCAGTTGAGAGAGGAATAGAGCAAGAAAAGCAAAAAGGGAGAAGATGAAAAAAGTTTGGTTTAAGTATATAGTGTTGGCTGAGACTGCAAATTAATATCATATCTTCATATTGGAAGAGAAGGCTGGAAATATCTACTGTACTATGACGGGCTGTAGGACTGTAGGACACATGCTCTGCAGTCAAGATGACTTACCTTACCTGAACCCTAATCCTTAACTTAAGCTAAAAACCTATATGCAACCCCACACTTAAAATCTTTGACGAAATGGAGGCCGGAGCAATTGTCGACTTGAGCACACCAAGCTCTTCAAGCGGTTCCCCCTGGCAATAAAACTTCTGTCCAATCAGATCAGACGATAACGTCTCACGTCGAAGGGGGCGCTATGCGATTTCAAATTTAGCGATCGTGAAATCCAGACTAGAGCCAGCACACCGAAGCTGATCAACTTTGTCCTAAAGTATTCTCAAATGTTTGCACAAGTCATGTCTTCGATAAGGTGAGATTGTGGTTGTGATAACTAGATTACATGGAGTATGAAGAGTGAAATGTAAAAGTGAATTTAATGATAGTATGTTGTCTCCATCCAACATTCGGGACCATGCCATGATAAGTGGTCGAGAAATCTACCCTAACGTTCAGCAAATCCTAGCCAATAGTCTGGGCGTCCATCGAACTCGTGACCCGCTGAAGCCTAGGGTAACCTCGCGTGACTTTGGGAGATCCCAAGTTTAGGGCCCTCCTTGGATCATTATTAGGTGAAATGTTTTGCCCATTCTGAGGCCAAGTTCTGGATATGCTTCTGTTGAATAATGTGTTCAGGCATGATAATTACCCGATTTAATTTTTTTTTTCTCTGATTTTTTCCTGATTTTTTTCAAAGTTTCTTACTCAAAAGGCGGGGAATGTTGTTAAATGCCCCTTTTTTCTTGATTTTTGTTTGTTTTGCTACTCAAGGGGTAGGAGGTTGAGGACAAAAAAATTGGCTAATTAATTACAATTGAGTGAGGATGAGGTGATGATAATTCAAGCTTTGATAGTTTGATGTGAAAATTAGAGGAGATCTAGCAATGTAACTTGACATGTCATTCCAAGGTGAATTTTTCAAAATCATTTCCAACTTTGTTGTTGGAAATATTATTTACAGTATAGTGAAGTATAGTTTGTGGTTTCATTGTAATGGCATCGCTAAATTGATTTTGATAGCCTCGGGACGGAATTAGAACTTTTAATAGCAAGCCAGTGATACAGTCATAAAAGAATTGTGGTTAATATTCATTGTCAAAGATTTGACTTACGGGTTGCACCAACTCCTACCTCTTCATTGTACTATTATATTTGTAGTTGTTGGAATCATGTGCACAAAAATGCATGTTGTCATAACAGTAATGTTTGCAGCTGGTAATGACTAATGTTACTAAAATTCAAGGGCTAGGATTTGATTTTGAAAGTGGTGATATTCATAAGGGCAAAATATTCCAAGACAAGTCCTTGTTATTCTTTAAATGAAGCAACAAAAATGTTGAAGGATACCATTAGTGGTACATGCCATGAAGAATATATATGTACTTTCTGAAGGATCTAGTAAAATTCAATGAGGGTATACATGCAGTATTTTGTCAGTAGAATCTTTGTCTTGTGTACTATGTACTATGATGGAGACATCTTTTTACAAAAAGCTGATGGTTTGTCAATTACTTTTGACCTTATCCTAACCTTCAGACAGAATACAATCATAGTTGAGTCATATCGCTGTCTGGTACCTTTGTTGTGGTGATTTCAAGTATGTATAATACTATCCAATTCCTCTGTTTAATAGAATTAAA